ATTCATTTCATATACATTTATTATAACTAATCAACGAAATATTTTACATTAAACTTTTTACAATAGTCAATTTCAGATGTGCATAAATATATCATTAGGAATGTTGATAAATTATGTAATTTTTATTATCAGACTATTATCATTTTTTTAAATATTAATTAAATCAACATTGTCTGCATTATTAATTACAGTGACAAGTGGTTTATGGTAACTAAAATAAGACACATGGACGTTCGTAGATACGTGGTTCACGAATCTTGAAAATACCGCATCAATGGTTGTACCATACCTCGTTGTCCCCATTGCTCTATCAGAAACGATATCTAAATTCAGTTCAGATTTTAAAAAATTTAGTAATGTCAATCCGTCATCTTTGTTTGTCAAAATTGCGCGACATAGGATGCGCACCAAAAACGTAACGAGGTCATTCATCGATAGATTTTACTTCACATTTTTCTCATACCGGGCCCCTTATATATGCAAATCGATTCTTAAGGAGTAAACTCCAAAAAAACAAAAATACTTTATTTCTATAACCAATATTATGCTAGTGATACAATATTTGAGAATCCCTAGTAGACAAGTTTATTTGCCTGTGTCAGGAACTCTCGCTCTTCCATAACTTTTCCAAACTTAATACCATATTGGTTACAAATATATAACGACTTTTACATTTACAAAATGTAGTTAGTTAAAGTGTTCAATATATATTTTTTTTTTATGTTATAGGGGGCATACGAGCAGACGGCTCACCTGATGGTAAGTGATCACCGTCGCCCATGGACACTTGCAGCACCAGGAGTATCACAAATGCGGTGCCGGCCTTTAAGGAAGGAGTACGCTCTTTTTTGAAGGTTTTTGGGTCGTATCGGTCCGGAAACATTGCTGGCGACAACATATTCTACAGTTTTGTCGTACGTGGTAAAAAATTTCGACAAAAACGCACGGTTGTGGATAGCCACGCATCAAGATGATGGGGATGAAATTTTTGTCGCGATGTACGATGGCGAAATGCAGCAGCTGGAATTAATCCGAACAATTCCTCAGAACACTCCCCGTGATAAATGCGATAGAAGATGCAGAGCGAAGCTACATCCCTACGCAAAGCCAAAGGATCAAGCTGATCGGAAAGGTCGTCGACGATTCTGTATGATATCTGTTATGTTTGTGTGTTTGTGTGTGTGTGTGTATGTACGTGTGTGTGTGTGTGCAAAAAATAGTTTACAGTAACGAGACACGTCAGCAACTCTCTTGTGTTTGGTGTCTATTTTTAAGTAATATTAGCATCTAGTAATTCCTTTTTTGTCTTCTAATAACAATGTGCCGAAATATGTAAATACAATAAAAATTAAGACTAAATCAAACGGTTTTTGGGGTTCGCACCCAAAATCTAAAAACGGCACCGTCATTAGAATAGTAATAACTAGCAAACCAGTGAACCGAATGTTCACCAAAACCTGATTTAAAAAAAAAGATAAAAAAAACTGTATTTAATTAATTGAGAACTTCGGAGATTTTGTGTGGTTTCGTTTGAAATTCGTGATTTCTCGAAAACCGGAAGTGCTACGTTACTCAAATCCGGTTTGTAGTCTTATCAGACTATTATTAACTTATAACATAAATATTCTCTTTATCTATCTCTTACGGTTTGGCCGCTGATATAGCACCACAGATGGACGGACGGACTTGTCTAATAGATAAGAGATAATACTCTTTACTAGAAAAAAATGCACGCGGACCAGGCAGCGGACGGGTCTCGAACCCGCATCCTACGCAATCCGGGCGAATGCACTGACCATTATGCTACCACGGCCCTATTAGCCGCGTCGAAATTTTCCTAGCCTTAAGCTGCAAAGCTGCCGAATGGTCAGTGCATTCGCCCGGATTGCGTAGGATGCGGGTTCGAGACCCGTCCGCTGTCTGGTCCGCGTGGATTTTTTTCTAGTAAACTTTTCTTTAGATTTAAACATCTAGCAGTTTAATGCTTAAAAATAAATAAAATCATAATAATACTCTTTATTTGCATTAAATAGGGTTGATAAAAGATGTTTGCATAAAAAGCGTATGTTACTAAGGCTCCACTGTCTGTCCGTCTGTCTATCACCAGGCTGTATCTCATTAACCGTGATAACTAGACAGTTGAAATTTTCACAGTATGATTTATTTCCCTTGCCGCTGTAACAACAAATGCGTTTATTTTGTCGTTTTCTGCTCTATATTAATAACCGGCAACAGGTAGACGCTTGAAAAATACGCACAGAATATTTAGTTTTTACTTATTTTATAATACACATTCCGTTGTAATAAAATAAATTCGCTGTTCTATCCAATACCTTCGTATAGTGACGATTTTTTTAGTTTAGAATAGCAAATAGTTCACAGTAAAGAGGCACGCCAAAAATAAATAATTAAAAAAGTGAAAGGTAGCGCAGATGAGGTTGCGCACAAAAACGTAACGAGGTCATTTGTTCAGTAGATTTTACTCCTCATATTTTTTTCATACCGGGGGCCTCATATGAAAATCAATTCTTAAGGAGTAAACTCATATAAAAGATATATTTAAGGGGGCTCCCATTCAACAGACTTAATTTTTTGCCCGATATAATAATATTCCTAGTGTCTAATGTTGTATAGATAATGGTGCGGAATCCATCATGTGAGAATTTGACTCGCATATGGCCAGTTTTTATCTCATTTATTATTGGTTTGCTTCAAATGACATTATAAATTGTTTTATTGATTTGACATTTTTAACTATTTTATTATATATTTAATTAACTTTTACAATGGGTGATTTAATAATAATTATTTCAGGCATACTACCCATATTACATACAGAAATAGAAAAAAAATGACAATTAAATGAAATAATTACAATCACAATAATAATAATTCAAATATAAATTTCAAATAATTACAATTCATTTAAATTACATCATAATCCAATAATCCAATTATCAATCAAATAAAATAAAATAAAATCAAAAACAAATAATAATTGAGTCCAATAAAATAAAATCGATTACAGCAGGCAAGACTTGTTTCTATTAAGTAGTAATTTGACATTAATATTTGACATTACCTAACTATTTAACTATTTGGCATTACTGTTTTTTTTTGTTATAATTATTATTATTTGATTATCTCTTTTTCTTAATTTTATTGAATTTAATGAATACCTTCTATGATTGTTAATATTTTGTGTGTATGACTTGCCGGCGTTTTGGATTATTCTGTAAGCCTGCACGTTTAAATTGAATAAATAAATGTTTGTTTGTATACTAGTTACAATTAACATTAGTACATTACTCGCTCCGCTCGGGCGCTAACTTCACGCCGTGCAGTAATAGGCAACTTAGGTCACGCGTATCGTATAATATTTTATAGCAAGTGTGACATAAACCCGCCCCGGACGCGGGCAAGAGGGCGGGTTCGGGGGAGGCCCCCCCGAGGGATGCGATTAGTGTTTTGAAATTAAAATTCATGTATTGCAATCACAAAGAATTGCAATACAGACTGCAAGTCAAACTCTGAAAAGAAAGAATTCCAGTTCAGATTACCATTTTGAAAGTATATTTCAAAAGGAAAAAATCAAATATCATTACAACAAAATAACCTAACCTATCGCTAATTTGTCATTTGTTTGCTGTGAGTTTTTAAGCTCCAAATGACATTTATTTTTTCTACATGAGTGAAGTTGGTCAATTCATTTACACACCGTGCAGAAATAGGCAACTTAGGTCACGGAAAAGCGTGCGTAAAGTGCGGGTTTAGGTCACACTGTGCTATAAAAATAATTACGCGGGAGCCAAAACCGTTTTTTTGCATACTTTAATTTCAAAGCAATATAAATAAGTCCTTTACTAATTACTTTCCGTACCTCAATAGGACAAAATGGAACCCTTATAGGATCACTTTGTTGTTCGTTCGTCTGTCCATCTGTTAAGACCCTTTTTCTCAGGAACGCGTGGAAGTATCAAGTTGAAATTTATATCAAATACTCTGGTCTACTGTGCTTTGGAGCTGTGAAAAAATAAAACTTCTTAGCCAACGCAATCAAAAGATACACCCGTTATAGCCGCAAAATTTCCGCAAATTTTCGAAACTCGCAAGGGAATCAAAACCTACAGGGTACTTCCCGTGAACTCAGAATCTTGAAATTTGGTACGAAGCGATGTCCACATTTGTCGAAGAACCGATAACCGTTGGGGTTCGAGTTCTGGAGTGGAGACCGCGTCTAGGCAAACGTAGTGTAGGACGTCCTCAGGCGCGATGGAGTGACGATTTGCGCAAGGCTGGCAGGAGCTGGATGCGAGTAGCCCAAGATCGATCTGAGTGGCGTGCAATTGGAAAGGCCTATGTCCAGCAGTGGACTAAGATGGGCTGTTGATGATGATGATGTATTACATTGCAGATAAAAGAAAAATTGCGAAAACCGTAAATATACAGGTTCGTACGGAACCATTTTATAATAAAACTAGTTTTTACGGGTTAATGCACGAAACTTTATTTATTTATTGACGTTTCGCAGCCTTTTCAGGTCTGCATCGTCAGAATAATGATTTTTTATTTAAAATTGTCGAGCTACCTTCGAAAGACTTATATTGAGCGTTCGGTTATTTCATTGGAAGATTTTTAAATTTTTTATTGTCTATGTATGAATTTATTATTTAATTTACTTAATAAAGTATTTTCTTTAGATTTAAACATCAAGCAGTTACATGCTTTAAAAATAATAAAAATTATAAAGTATTTTATTTAAAATTCTTGTTTGTAATTTTGAGTTTATTTATTTGACCCTAACTACCGTAAACTACCACCGGTTCCAAAATTGGGAGACCTTCCTGAGAAGAACCGGCGAAACAAACTCAAGAGAGGCTTTCTATCTCCTTCTTATGTTAAATTATGCAAACAAAAAGAACTAATAGTATCTGATGGTCTTGCAGTGTGTGCTCGGGGTTGGGATTTTATCTCCTATATATGTATATAATGAGTGATGTGCGTGAAAACCTAAGAAACAAATACGGAACCATTTTTTTTATTACGAGAAGAACTTATCAACATCGTTACGTCCTTGTTAGAATAGTTATTTGAACAGCATAATTTGATAATAATACTTATCACAACATTTCTTATATCTAATCATTCTCCAGCTTTGGGGCCTTAAAAAGGTTTTGTTTTAGGTTTACCAAAAAATTAACCATGTCATTCTACTGTTATACTTAATTTACCACATGGAAATTTAGTTTATCATTAAGTTTTTGATAGACAAGTAGTAAAGTGAGTTAAGAAAAATGTCTGCTGAGAAAAATGACGAAACCAAATTTGAAGCAAATAATTATGCTAAAGTGGACATAATAAAGAGTAAGAGGTTATGTTTATTTAATTTTTGTGTTGTTTACTGAAACTTTAATTTATCATTTATATTGATATTAATATATTTTGATATAAGTATTTAGTTTATTTAGTAATTTTAATCCATTTTGTGCTTTTAAATAATATATTATTTTAGGAATTTGTATATCTCTTATCTATTAGACAAGTCCGTCCGTCTGTCTATGGTGCTATTTCAGCGGCCAAACCGTAAGAGATAGATAAAAAGAATATTTAAGTTATAAGTTAAGAATAGTCTGATAAGACTACAAACCGGATTTGAGTAACGTAGCACTTCCGGATTTCGAGAAATCAGGTTTTGGTGAATATTTGGTTCACTGGTTTGCTAGTAATAAATATATATCCTTGTAATGTTACAATAATACTACTCTTTGGGAGATTCTACGCATCTTGCAACCCAGTGCATAGAAACCATAGAGCAACACGGAAGGAGGCTCTGAGTACTTAAACCTATGGAGATGGCATTGCATTATTTAGGAACAATCAAGGAACTTATACTCTATCTGGAATGCTTACGAAACAATATTAGATTTCAAAAAATGTACTCGAACTAGTGTTACTTATAGTACATTTTTGTTTGTCACTCTATATATTTTTATTTTTTAGGTAAAAAAAATCATATTTGGCTGATAAATTATATACGTATTTTTGTTTGTCACTCTATATATTTTTATTTGTTAGGTAAAAAAAATCGTATTTGGCTGATAATTTGTACACGTATTAACTAAATAACAATTTGTGAATGCGTCCTCTTCTCTATTCTCTATTTGCTGTGCCCTGTTCAGGGTCTACAATGATCCAAGCAATGTACCTACTAAGATCTAAGAAAACATTGTAGAACGCAATAAAATATTGATTGATTGGATGATTGATCACGTTTTGTACAATAGGGATGATGAATATTTTTTTTACTTCGTTTATCAGGTAGATTATCAAAAAGTATTGGACACGTATTTTTTCTTTTCTCACATAATATAAACATTGCAGAGATACATTGATTTGAATAGTCGCATGACGTCACGTTTTGGTACAATTTTCACTTAAAAATGACGTCTCCCGTACTCCCAAACTTTGACGCGCTATAACTTTGTCATTTTTTGGTTGATTGCCCAAAGAAAAAGTACGTATCCATTAGTTTTTGATCATCTAACTGACGGACTACATTGAATTTCGTATACTGTACCCCGTCATCACCCCTATTGAATACATTATAACAATGCTGAACTTCAAGTTGTTATAAAAGGACCCTCAAACATTTATCTTGATTTTAACACTATCGATTTCCCTTCCATTTCGCTACACTCACATTATTCATCTGTTAAACAACAGTTATTTATATATTTTTTTTTTTTTATTATTTTTAAAGCATGTAACTGCTTGATGTTTAAATCTTGTTGATGTTTAAAATTGTGGGTTTACCTATAATGCGAAGAGATGGCGCTGCCTTGCAGCTTAAGAATAGCTAGAAAGAATTTCGACGCGGTCCGTGAGGGCCGCGGTAGCATAATTGGTCAGTGCATTCGCCCGGATTGCGAAGGGTGCGGGTTCGAGTCCCGTCTGCTGCCTGGTCCGCGTGGAATTTTTTCTAGTTATATTTTCTTTAGATTTAAACAGTTATTTATCTTATTTATCTGTTATACAATTTGTAGTAATGAAACGGTCAAGCCACATAATATTTGGCTGAGGTGTAGAGTTTGTGAAGTTAGGACTTATATAAGCACGAAAAGGCTTGTGTTATGGGAAACTAGGGTAACGGACAGAATACAGATACTGTCCATATATAAATATATTTTTAAAGAAATACATATTAAACATACATGACTGGAGTACAAATGCTCGAATTCATCACACAAACATCCCCCCCTGGGAATTCAACCCGGGAACTCTCGAATCAGCGACACCATGAAACCCGGCGTACAAACCACTAGGTCACGTAGGTCGTCATTATCATACTCTATTTAAGAATATATATATTATATCTAAAGAAAAGTTTACTAGAAAAATAAATTCCACGCGGACCAGGCAGCGGACGGGACTCGAACCCGCACCCTTCGCAATCCGGGAGAATGCACTGACCATTATGCTACGCACAATGTCAAATGAATACTTTTTATAGTATTAAACATTTGAAAGATGAAATAGGAATTATACTTATATTTTTATTTATTTTTAAGCATTTAACTGCTAGATGTTTAAATCTAAAGAAAAGTTTACTAGAAAAAAATCCACGCGGACCAGGCAGCGGACGGGACTCGAACCCGCACCCTTCGCAATCCGGGCGAATGCACTGACCATTATGCTACCACGGCCCTATTGGCCGCGTCGAAATTTTCCTAGCCTTAAGCTGCAAGGCAGCGCCATCTCTTCGCATTTTCTTCTAGTAAACTTTTCTTTAGATTTAAACATCTAGCAGTTAAATGCTTAAAAATAAATAAAAACCATAAATATATATTATAATCAGTTAGAAGGGTGTTGTTATTAATTTCAGATTATGGATGGGGTATCCGGCACCTACAAATAGCTTGTATGACCCTCAACCTAATGTGTTTGATCATAGCTCGAGCCAGCATGGGCATAGCAGTGCTAGCTATGTCCAACACGCAGCAAAAGAATACAACAGACATAGAAGTAAGTTTGTCTGTTCAAAAGAATTCGTAATTGTCAACCGCAAGAAAAAAGTTAGCCTCACCAGGGCTTGTAACCGGTTCGAAAATACCGGTAAATAAAGGTTAATACCGGTTTTTAGTAAAGGTTTTGTTCGGAGCGCGTCCGAAATGAAAGCGGTACCTAAAACCTTAATAAACCGGTTTAATCCAGAGCGACACGTGCACGTGCACTGAAGTTTGTTTTCTCAGAGATTGATGCATTTATTGACAGGTTTGCTAGCGTCTAGTGTGTCAAGTTATTCATTTTGTAGTTGTGTACTTATACTACTTCACTCACTCGCTCTGAAGTTGGAAAGAAACTGACATAATTTAAAATGATTTCATTAGTGGGATTTGGGCTGTGCGTTGATCACTATGTCAGTCAGTCACCTTTGAGTTTTATATATATAGATAAATCATGATTGTATTGACGTAGTAACAACATAAAGATTAGTAAATGTTGTTACATTATACTTTTAATGTTGTGGAGTTTTTTTTCGCTCGTTTCTCACCGCAGCTAAAAAATATGACCAATAACGAGTGGTAGAGAAAACCAAAAATTGGACGATTCAAAAGAGTTGTACTATACATTTTTTTTATAGATAGGTCCGACAAATGACTCTTCCCCACCTGATGTTAAGTGAAGGTGAAGTCCAGACGCAAATAAAGCTGATACAGCAGTTCTACCTGCCACACCAGCCATCCTCACCCTGCCGGCCTACATGTTGCTTCTTCACGCTTCTTTTAAAGGATCCCAGGTTGTAAGAGGGAGGGAACACGTGAGTGGGCAGAGCATTCCATTTACGGATAGTGCGACAAAGAAATGAGTCACCAAATTTCTTTGTACGCGTTGGAATTGTAGTCTCAGTTAGACGGTGACAACGTAAGCCAGCGCACGTGGTCCTCTGAAGGAAACGGGAAGGTGGAATAAGGGAGAATAACTCCTCAGAACACTCACCGTGGTACAGACGATAGAACGCGCTTAGTGACGCCACGTCACGGCGTAATTGAAGAGGCTCTAGGTGTTTAGTCACCTCCTCATCGCCTATGATGCGGATTGCGCGCCGCTGTAAGCGCCAAATTTTGAATAAAACAAATTAGAAACTTTACTATTATTATCAGACTATTCATCTTTGAGCGAACTTGTGAGACCGCTTTTTGAAGTTATACTTCTTTAGGCGCGTTATGAAAAAATGATGAGAGTGAAATTTTAAGATGCGCGCGCATCACTGTAACACCTGTGTGTGTTTACCGCACATTAAGAAAATCTACCAAAAAAATAGAAATAGAATCTCTATTTTGTGGGTGCTAACGACTGCATTGTGAAGGCCTATCAAAAGTATTTATTAATCTGGAACAACGGAACCAAAGCGCGATTCAGGAGACTACAGCGCCATCTCTTGACCATTGGTGTAGTAGAACCAAAAACCACATCTTTATTTTTTGTAATAAAGTAACAGTTATAGGTATTCATATTTATAATATTTATCCACATGTTTCTAGTTTGTATATTCGGAATACGTGTTTGAGTTTCATACAAGTGCAAATCACATATGTTCTAATAAATTATATTCAGTAGCGATTTTAATTGAATATTTTGATTATTTATTTATTTTTTCAAATTAAAACTGAACTTTATTGACTGTGTCCTTTTCCAGACTTTTTATTAATTTATTGTAATTAATTATTTGCATGCAATTAAAAACTTATTTTAAACGATGCCAAAGAAGGATAACTTCTCACGCGCCTACATAAGTACATGCACCCATTTTTTCTCATTAGGCAGCAGTCTCAAGAAACTCATTGATCAGAAGCCGAAATAAAGGAAAGTGTAACCTTTTGCAGGTATATGATTGGGATAAAAATACACAGAGTCTCATTTTGTCCTCTTTCTTCTGGGGCTACGTGGTGATGCAGATACCGTCTGGTATTCTGGCCAAAAAATTTGGTGGAAAACCTATCCTGCTGATGTCCATATTATCGAATGCCTTAGTATGTGTTTTAGTGCCAACGTTGGCGGCGTGGGTAAGTAATCTTGAATCTGTAAATCTGAAGATTTCTCTAAATACTTACTGCATAAGTTCGTTGGTAAAATTGTACTTCCAGAGGTTAAGAATTGACACTTCACTATTATTTGATTAAAAGATCTTTACTAATGAAGTCGCTTTGCAAAGTATCCATACCAAGACGGTATCTAGTAATTTGTTTTCTAAGTAATTTTGAAATTTTATTTTTAAAGAAACGTTTTACTAGAAAAAAAAATCCACGCGGACCAGGTAGCGGACGGGACTCGAACTCGCACCCTTCGCAATCCGGGCGAATGCACTGACCAATTATGCTACCACGGCCCTGATGGCCGCGTCGAAATTTTTCTAGTCTTAAGCTGCAAGGCAGCGCCATCTCTTCGCATTGTATTCATTCGCCCGGATTGCGAAGGGTGCGGGTTCGAGCCCCGTCCGTTGCCTGGTCCGCGTGGATTTTTTTCTAGTAAAACTTTTTTTTAGATTTAAACATCTAGCAATTAAATGCTTAAAAAAATAAAAACATTTTATTTTTAATTATGTTTTGAACAATTTTGCTCACTTCCAGCTTGAAATTTATAATGTAACTTTGAATGATGAGATTGACCGGACTATAAAATAGCAGTAAATCGTACAATAAAATATTTTTAAGTATATTTAATATTTATAAGAGATAAAGATATATTTGTTTCTTAGGTTTTCACGCACATCACTCATTAAATAAAACTAGTTTTTCACGGGTTTATGCACGAAACTTTATTTATTTATTAATGAAAATAAATAAAAATAAAAAATTGATTCCGACTACGCAGCCTGTAAAGGCTGCGAAACGTCAATAAATAAATAAAGTTTCGTGCACTAACCCGTGACAAACTAGTTTCAGACATAAAGGTAGTTGAAATATCTTTGATGTTGAGGACAGTGTTGCCAGGTCTCCAGATTTTACATGAATCTCCTCTTTTTTTAGAATACGATTTTCTTTTTTAAATTGCATGTTGAGTTGCATTTTTCGTCATTAATAATGTAAATAACCTTAATAATTATAAAATAAATGTAATTGTCTAAAGAAAAAATAGCTTTGAGGGGCGGCAGAAGCCACAGAAACACATTCGTTACTGGTCTCTATCTGAGGAGGGGGTGCAAATCGGAAAAAGTACACCTCTGCATCTACTGTTTTTCTTTCCATACATCTACTGTTTTTTTCTATAACGCCTCCCGATTTTTGAAACTCCGACCTGGCAACACTGGTTGAGGAGTTGAGTATGAGTATTGCAAATTGATTCTCTGACAAATCCAGGGAGATTGGAAGTTGGTGTGCGCAGCTAGGATTGTCATGGGTCTGACTCAAGCGTGCCTGTTTTCTTCAACCCAAACATTGCTTGGGCAGTGGTTGCCAGCTAATGAAAGGACCACTTATACAGGCATTGTATACGGAGGTAAGGATTCCAGTAATAAAAATCCGATCAAGTGAAAGAAGGACTCGCGCACGAAGGGTTTCGTACCATTCATCATCATCATCATCAGCCTATTAATGTCCCCACTGCTGGGGCACAGGCCTTCCCTATGAAATGAAATGAAATGAAATGAAATGAAATGAAATGAAATGAAATGAAATGAAATGAAAAGTCATTTATTCAGTCTAGGCTGTTACAAGCACTTGTGAAGGTCAAGAAGCTACGCCATCGGTTCGCAAAACTACGGCGGGAGACCTTGTACTGAGAAGAACCGGCAAGAAACTCAGCAAGGGCTGCTTTTTTCTCCCTGTATTGATATATACAGAGTCGTCAAGTTGAAAAATGATTTCAGAGATACATCTGAAATCACCTTCCATTACATTATTAAGGATATAGATATATAGTTACAATAAATTTTATATTTAGTATATAGGAAGCGGCATTAGATAGGTACCATATTACTGTTTCAAAAACTGACTCATACCCATCAAATAACAAATTACAAGAAACACTATGTCCATGCATTTGCTATGGATGGAATAGGGAGATTGGATCATGACCTGCCACGCGGGCCCAATGCGGATTGGCGGGTGCTAACGACTGCAGATGCAGCCGGGACCAACGGCTTAACGTGCCTTCCGAAGCACGGAGGAACTCGAGATAGAAGATTTTTGGTCACCCATCCAATGACCGACCACTGCGAAAGTTGCTTAACTTCAACGTTCGCAGCCGAACGCGCTAACCACTTGCGCCATCGAGCTCCTCTCGTTTCGTACCATTATCAATCCTAGATTAGATACTATACTAGCAAACCAGTGAACCAAATGTTCACCAAAACGTGATTTAAAAAAAAAATGTATTTAATTAATTGAGAACTTCGGAGATTTTGTGTGGTTTCGTTTGAAATTCGTGATTTCTCGAAAACCGGAAGTGCTACGTTACTCAAATCCGGTTTGTAGTCTTATCAGACTATTCTTAACTTATAACTTATATATTCTCTTTATCTATCTCTTACGGTTTGGCCGCTGAAACAGCACCACAGACGGACGGACTTGTCTAATAGATAAGAAATTCTAATATCGACCAAACGTCTTTTGGTCAAACAATAAATCACGTCTGCTGTGTAGGAGCCCTTCTTAAATATTTATTTTATTTCAATTTAATTATTTATTTTTAAAGTGAATATATAGCTAAGTATTCTGTGAATATTTTAAGTAAATATTTCCAACACTCATACCAATTAGCCGCCTAGCCCCAAAGTAAGCTCTGTAAGGCTTGTGTTATGGGATACTAGGGTAACGGATAGAATACATATACAGTAATATATAAGTGTATTTATTATTTAGAAATACATACTAAACATCCTGGAGTACAAATGCTAGTTTTTATCACACAAACATCTGCCCCCACCGGGATTCGAACCCGGGACCTCTAGAGTAGGCGACTCCATGAACCCGGCGTACAAACCACTCGACCACGGAGGTCGTCAATTGGTTTGAGTGTTGGAAATATTTGTTTAAATTTATTTATATTTTAAGTTTCTAAATGTTGCTTGATGTTGTAAATGTAGAGCAAAAAACGGAAAAATACACTTTTGTTGTATGGACCCCTCTTTAATATTAATTTTATCCTGTTTTTAGGGTTCGGTAGTCCTGACAAGGAACCCTTATAGTTTCGTCATGTCCACCTGTCTGTCCGTCCCCGGTTTTGCTTGGAGACCATTAGCACTAGAGAGCTGTAAGCTTGTGGGGATATGTATATCACCATCATCATCAGCCTATTAATGTCCCCACTGCTGGGGCACAGGCCTTCCCTATGGATGGAATAGGGAGATTGGGCCATGACCCACCACGCGGCCCCAGTGCGGATTGGTGGGTGCTAACGACTGCAGATACAGCCGGGACCAACGGCTTAACGTGCCTTCCGAAGCACGGAGGAGCTCGAGATAGTAAATTTTGGTCACCCATCCAAAGACCGACCACTGCGAAAGTTGCTTAACTTCAACGTTCGCAGCCGAACGCGCTGACCACTTGCGCCATCCTTTTGCGAAATATGAAACTTTAATGTGCTAATTTTTGTTAGTGTAGGACACTCCCCCCCCCCCCCCCCCCCCGTTGAAAGCTAAACTGTTAGCTTGAAAAACTTGGAAAAATAGATTAAAATAGTGCTTTTGCATGAACTTGTAACAAAAATTGTAACGGTTAAAATAGATTTGTTAATGTAAGAGTAATTGTCGTTTAACTATGACAACCTCCGTGGCTGAGGTCCGGGGTTCGAATCCCGGTGGGGGCGGATGTTTGTGTGATGAATACGGGCATTTGTACTCCAGTCATGGATGTTTGATATGTGTTTCTATAAAAATATACTTATATATGTACAGTATATGTATTCTATCCGTTACCTTAGTATCCCATAACACAAGCCTTACAGTGCTTACTTTGGGGCTAGGCTAATTGGTGTGAGTTTTGAAAATATTTATATGTAACTCCTTAGTTTTATCGCACCTACAATATTGTGATATTGTATTTGGTCCGTGTTTGCTTGCAAAGACTAAGCAGCAAATTCAGAGGGTACAGAATGCTTGCATGCGATTTTGCTTCCCAATAAAAAAGAGGGATCATATTACTCCCCACTTGGTGCGTAACGGGGCTCTGAATATGGGCGGAGTAAGGGATTTGAAATATGTTTGTTTTTTGTATTCCTTGCTTAAAATAAATATACCGGAATATTTGGCTAGTAAGTTAAAATGGAGGACTCGTGGTAGTAATTTGAGGGACACTGGCCTGCGTCTGTCTCTGCCTTTATTTAGAAATGCTGTTGCTAGGGGACATTTTGTATTTTCCGCTCCGAAAATATGGAATGACTTGCCTCCTCCTTTGCGGCAAAGTCTTATAATATCCGAAAGCAGTTTTAAGCAAAAGTGTAAACGGTGGTTCCTTGAATAACAACACGAGGCGGCAAGTACAAAACATGATGCTGTTTAATCAGTAACGACAAAGATGAGAAAACTTTTATGAATTAATGTCATAACATAATATATCATTAAACTAAGAACCTTCAAAAATATAACGTAATAACTAAAACTAAAAAAAAACTGCTGTTTAATTGTTGTAGTAATTAAAACTAAATTATTGTCTCGACTTGCTGATATTGTCCTTATTAATGTGTTTTTTAGAAAATAATAATTGTGAGGTGGTGGCAGAATACCAGCGACAAGTCAAAACTTGACTGTCACATGCTGAGCCACATACCTTTTTGTTTCAATTTTTTACTGTCATTCTATTTGTGTATTGTACCAATTGTATGTTGAAACAAATAAATAATTTATTATTATTATCATTATTATTATAATGATATAATATTAGTAATTCACAAACATCTCAATCTTTAGTTTTATATATATACTAGCGGAACCGACAGACGTTGTCCTGTCTACACGTCTTTGTGAATCTAAACCATTCTCAGATCCCCTTGAACACACACAAAAAATTTCATCAAAATCGGTCCAGTCGTTTAAGAGAAGTTCAGTGACATACACACTCACAGAAGAATTATATATATAAAGATATATATTTTTTTTAGTGTTCAGCACAAATTTTAAACAAAGAATTCTTGAAAGAAAGTAAGCTACAGTTAAACATGTCATATGTATGTATGTATGTATCAGGTAACCGGCCTCGGAATCGCCGGAACCAGACACCTTTCGGCCAAAGTTCTTCTTTCATAAAAGTCGCTAGATATAGCTCACCACAAATGAATTTTTAGTGTTTGTTGTTATAGCGGCAATAGAAATACATCATCTTTGAAAATTTTAACTGTCTAGTTATCACAGTTCATGAGATACAGCCTGGTGACAGACAGACGGACGGACACTGGAGTCTTAGTAATAGGGTCTCGTTTCTACTCTTTGGGTACGAAACCTTTAAAAGAATAACGGAAACAAAAGAAACTGGCCTTATGCGTGTCGCATCCTTCATCGTAAGCTTTGACAGTTGTTGACATACGTTGTTGTCACTATAGACTTTCTCTTGTAACAATGTGGCTTAGGTACCCAGATTAAATTCCTATCCGTTAGAGCTCCGACTACCTCACAGATTGTTAGTAAATCTGGAACCAAATATAAAATAAAACAATCCAAAAGACTTGTGATATTTTGATCCAAAGAAAATTTTACTAGAAAAAATCCACGCGGACCAGGCAGCAGACAGGACTATTATATTGTCACAAACGCTCCTGACACGCAACAACTGGTGACAGGTGACATTCCAGTCACACCGCGCGACGGAAGCGAAGGCGTACGCACTCGACGGCAGGCCGTAATGGACCATTCGCGGGAGTCGGGAGTAGCGGCGCCTGAAGATGGTTCAAGCACACCACAGACGGCTCATCACAGTGGTGTTGCCGCTACAAGTACTGCGCCTGCGTTCGACATATCATCGTTAATGGCGGCTATGCAAGCTATTCAAGAGGGCCAACGACAAGCTATGGAGAATCAACGAGAAGCTATTCAGGACGTCAAGGAGAGTCAGCGACAAGCGCTCGCGAATGTCAAGGAGGACATGAAGGCAGCTATTGACTCGAAACTTGAAACATTCAAAACAACTTTGAGTGACCTCCAAGACGAAATAGAATGCGTAAAGTGTCATACTAAGAAACACCAGGAGACCTTAGAAAAATATCAGGAGACTATTGGCAAATGCAAGGAGACTACAGGTCCATGAGAAAATGTTAAGAGACCTTCAAAAAACCAAGGTCATCAGCACCGCCATAGCAACCACGGGTACTACAGCACCAATGTTCAAGGTATCAGCGTTTGATGGTACAACTTCTTGGACGGCATTCAGGCACCAATTTGAAGTCGTAGCCAAAGGGAACGGCTGGGAGGACGAACATGCCCTGTCCGCACTCACTATTGCGCTCAGGGGAAATTTTTCTGATATTGGAAAATATACCTGCCGATCAACGAAGTTTGAAGACTTTCCTCAAAGCTCTGGAAGCTCGTTACGGCGATAAACACCTAGAACATGTGTATCTAGCGCAACTAAAGGAACGGTCACAGAAACCAGGAGAAGGATTGCAGCAGTGGGCCACGGAGAGTGAACGACTGGTACGTCGCGCTTATGCGTCCAGTAAGACATCCATAGAAGACATTGTAGTTCAAGCTTTTGTGGATGGTATAAGAAACCACGAAGTAAGAGCGGCCGTGCGTTTGGGACATCATACGACTTTGGAAACCGCTTTAGCACACGCGCTGGAGGTAGAGACGGTAGGCAGTGACTACAAGACGCACAGAGTGCGAGAAATTGTTGCAGCAGTCAAGCCTCGAGGTGGACCAATGTGCTATGGATGTGGAGAACGAGGGCACATCAGGATTAACTGTCCGGTTCAGCGGAGAAACCGGACAATGTCAACCGCTGCTCAGGTTTATTGTAGCGTGGACTCGGTTGCAGGGCGGGCACGAGCTGGACGTCGTTTAGCCCTCACAGTACGAGTGTCACAGGCATGTGATGGAAATAGTCTCGTAACCGCAGGAGAAATAAACGAAAGCCTGCCCAACTTACAATTGACACTGGGGCATCTAAAACTATCGTGCGGCCGGAACTTCTCAAGCGTACAATTATGTGGGAAGGTACAAAATCGGCGTGTCAATTGCAAACAGCTACAGGCCAGCCAGTGACCGTCCTGGGAGTGACAGACATCACATCGAAACTAGGAGACAAGATCTACAGACAAAGCGTCATGGTCGCTAACATAACGGATGACTGTATACTCGGACTGGACTCCTTACGATCACAGCAGTGTGTGGTGGATATCGCTAGAGGAGTATTGAATTTTCTGGATCAAGAAATATTTCTAGAAGAAAAGCCTCCACCAGTAGTCTACAACGCCAGAACGGTTACTCTACCAGCGAGGTCAGAGACATTGGTAGAAGTCAAGTTTCCGGAAGGGGCGTCACCTAATCGATGTGCCGTGGTAGAAGATACCGGGAGTCACCGTAGTTGGATCACGGCAGCAACTTAGACCATTCAACCAGGAAAGGTTCCCGGGACGAGCATGTCTAAGAGGGGGGCAGTGTCACAAACGCTCCCGACTCCCACGAATGGTCCATTACGGCCTACCGTCGAGTGCGTACGCCTTCGCTTACGTCGCACGGTGTGACTGGCATGAGTTGTTACATGTCGGGATGGGGTCCGAAATTATATGCCAGTTCACGCTTGACAGTTCTTTATTCACCACACAATTAAAACACAATGTTAATTACAAAACACATTGAACACTTTTGTTGCACTTTGATCGCCTTTGGATTCGTTCCGAAATCGAAACGTAACAATATTACATATAGTAAAATTTTCTTTGGATTTAAACATCTAGCAGTTACATGCTTAAAACAAACGAAATATACCTTTGAATATTGTTCATTATCTGTTAACCTTTTGTGTTTATTTTGACTTTGGACTTCCACAGGAATACAATGTGGCACCATTATAGCCATGCCTTTATGCGGCTACCTCGCTGAGACTTCAATGGGATGGAAGCTTATATTTTACGTGATATCTGGTATTCTATTGGTGGACTTGGCAATTTGGCACTTTTTCGGAGCTAATTGCCCAAGAGAGCATCGCTGGATTAGTGGAGAAGAAAGAAAGTACATTGAAGCTGGCCTTAATGTTTCAGGATCTGTAAGTATTGTCACAGTAATAATCCTGTTCGGAGTTCGGATGTAAGTATATTACAAGCAGGTACAAAAACTTTGTACGTGCTTGTAATAAAAGCAATTAAAGCATTTCCTCCAAATTGTGATGCCGTTCTACCGGCAGGCATGGTAACATTCAGAAAACTAAGGATGTTTATTTAACCCTTGGTTTACCCGGTGACTTCATACATACACATTTTACCCGGTGGAGTCCCCAGGACTCCCGGGTTTTAAATCGTAAATATAGTAGAAAATAAACCATTTTTTTAAATGAAATGCTAGTTAAATTTGCTTTTTATGTATTTGGTTTTACATTATCTTAACTTTTTAGTTAAAATCGATTTCGGATTCAATTACAGTCTTTTATTAAGGAACTTTTAGATAATCGCACTTTTTGTAACAAAATTATGAGACCTATCTTCTAATGTCAACATTTCAAAAACAAATCAATATTATAAAGTAATCTTCAAAGAAATATAACAAAAATATAAACAATTCTTATAAAAAGTAAAAAAGAACATGGTTTGAACAAGAGAGAAAAAACGTGCAAGACCTTCTAGTCACGGTTGATGTCACAGTTATTGCATACTTTTTTGTATAGCTGAGGCACACAGGCTTAGTACAACTATGGCAAATATATGAAGTCGTCTATATATGAAGTCAAGCATCTTCAACAAGGACGTTTATACAACTACGAGACGCCATTATATCAACTGAAAGTAAAAAAAAATCACAGTTAAAAATACCGTACATAGACTAAAACTGTAACATTGATACCCCGCTGGAGTCCCACGGACTCCACTAGCGTGATTACTTACCGATGGAAGCCGCGAACGGCAACGTCTGTTCTCCCCCGCACTCGGAGCGTCACTCCGTGAAGGTATTGGAACGCACAATTTGTAATTCCAAAAACTAACGATTTTATGAGCGCGGAAAGTTTTCAATGGAGTCCCAGGGACCTACCGGGTAAATTAAGGGTTAAGTAAAAATTAAAAGAAAGTGTGAGCGTCTCGGGACGAACGACATAAGTGATAACTTAAACTTATCTAAGGCGCTGCGGGTTAAAGTGAGAGAAGAGGAATATCTACATCAAAGGTTGTTAAACTAAATGAGCACAGAAGATTGGTAGATGAAAGGGGGATTGGAGGGTGAGGGAGTGGGTTGGCTCTAAGGACACCCCTCTGATCCTTTATTCTCATTTGTTCGATTCATTAGTTCGATCGTCGAACTAGTGAGATTTTTGTTCCCATTAGTTCGATCGTCGAACTAGTGAGATTTTTTTTTCTCATTAGTTCGATATTCGATCTACTGAGATTTTACTGTTCTCATTTGTTCGACCGTCGTCGAACTTATTTTCTTTATTTATCCATTTTCATTACCAGAACGTCTTAGTTATGTATGGTCTCCTGGTACTTTTTTCAAAATAGTGATTTTTATAAATGTTTATTAATAATAAGCGCGGAAGGTCGTTTAAAGATTTTAATAGTTTTTTGGACTTTAAGCTAAGGATATACAATTGAAAATTAGAAGGTTACTTTATTCAGAGAAAAATTTTTCATCACTTATGTTACTGTTCGGAACGCTTTTGAGGGTCAGGTCAGTATTCCAGATAGTATGTAAGTTCCTTAGGATAGACTGACCGAAGGTGTCAATCGCTACGAAGAAATAAAAAACAATAAAAGTTTTAATAATCTCTCTCTAATACGGGAGTATATGCCCTTGTCAATATTGCACTATTGAAATACGTACCAGTAAGAGGTTCTGGTAAGGAAAATGGATAAATAAAGAAAATAAGTTCGGCGAAGGTCGAACAAATGAGAACAGTAAAATGTCAGTAGTTCGACGATCGAACTAATGAGAAAATAAAATCTCACTAGTTCGACGATCGAACTAATGAATCGAACAAATGAGAATTAAAGGCCTCTGGTATCTGGGCGAGCTGTGGTGTCTATCTCCTTGGACCGGGGTCGCGGCGAAGGGAAGCCAGACAGACTGGCCCCGTAACGCGTTACGTAACGCAGCGGTTTACCCTCTCATAATAAGTTATCACTTCAAAAACATATAATATGAGTTAGGCCTCCGATATTTCATCATATTTCTATTGCGTCGAAATGATCGTAGGACTGTTGATACACATACATATTATGTCAGCTACACATAACTTCATAGCGTTTCCCATACATAATGTCCCATAAAAAATTATCGCAATAACAAATCCAGTATTGTCGACCGATTATAACACGCATATGGGGGCGCCTTATCGCTTGCTTGAAGCTAAGTGGCCATCAATAATTAAAGGCATCTATGAATAATACCATCGATCGTCGATCCCACAGTGCCTTAAAAACGAAAGTCTTCAATCAGTGCGTCCTAAAAACTCGGTGTTTTTAGTAATTTCTCTTTATGTAATAATGGATACAATTTACAAGTAACAGTTTTCTTGAGAGAATGAATTTCACAAGTCATGACATAATAGCCGGTAAAACAGCCGAACACACGAACACGAGCGACATCTGCCATCTGCGGGCGACATCCAATGACGTTTGTGTTAGGCGCGCTACAGTGGTACGATCCAATAGATGGCGCCACCCGTTATATAAGTGTGATTCTTTGCTGTGATCTGTAATATTCCTTTTCTTTTATATGTATATATATGTGGGGTTTATACGGCTGCGAACACTACTTGTGATGACATACGAAGCGAAAACTGACGATACGGCTGGTTCACAAGTTTAAAGTCACTCAGTGCGCTATGGAAAGGGCTCTGATCAGCATTTCTCTGAAGGATCGCATCAAAAATGAGGTGATCCAACAGAAAACCAGAGTTACTGACGTAGCCCACCGGATTAGCAAGTTGAAGTGGCAGTGGTCTGGCCATATTTGCCGCAGAACCGATAACCGTTGGGGAAGACGAGTTCTGGAGTGCAGACCGAGTCTGGTCAAACGTATTGGCTGGCAGGAGCTGGTTGCGAGTAGCACAAATATCCTGTGTCCGAGATACCTATGTCCAGCAGTGGACCAAGATAGGCTGTTGATGAATAATACGCGGCACGAAAGATGAGACTTGACACGCCACGTGGTTCGACATGCGCAGAATACGATTTATAGGTCTCTTAAACCGGCGTATTGTGTTTTTTCTGAGATTTGTTTTTTTATGTGACTTGAACATCATTTGGACTTACGAAATCTTTCCCTGCGACTGTTGAGTAGTGCTTACCTAAGACTTCCGAATCTGATATTTTTGGACGACTTCTTGCTGTGGATTTTGGACACGATTTTGTCCCATACTGTGGATTTTATTTCATTATATCTACTATCTACAATATTGTGATGAAAGATGTGGAATAAAAAATATACAAAAAGTGTTTCATATTTAATTAATATCCCATTAGTACACTGTTAGAAATCCTTTTTTATACTTTATTATTGCTGTGGGCGTTTTAAAATTGTTAAGTACTTCTTACAGCACAGACAGTGGCGGCGCTAGGCGTCGGCGACGTCGGCCACCGCCGACGGCCTCGCGCCTGAGGGGGCCTCGCAAAAATTTTTTACAAGTTACCTATTTATTTTCGTTTATCCTGGCCTGGTTTTTGAGCCGACCCCGAACAATTAGGGGAAAAAGCTAAGCAGATGATAATGACTTGTATTATTTTCGAACACGTGCGTGATGGAAGCGAGTAGTACTTTACGGGTATTCAGAATCGTCTGTCTGGTAACACTATTTTTGTAATTAAATTTCTGTGTTTGTAATTATTTTTGTCATCATTTCATTATCAACAATAAAACTCGTTACTCATACGTTATTTTATAATTTGGCTCACTTAATTTAACGGTTTTTTACTGCAAATTAAAATAGGCCTCGCGAACTTGATGTCGCCGACGTCCACATGTGGTCTAGCGCCGCCACTGAGCACAGACATTGTATTCGAACTCAATAACACTCGTCTGTTAAGTATTAAGCGGTATCAGGTGTAAGGTGGGAAGGGATCGTGTGCCATCGGGGTGGCAGAAAGAGCGTGGGCGGCGCGACATGGTGCTCGTCAAGTCTCATCTTTCGTGGCGCGTACTGTACCAAGATTCACACACAAGCTTACTTTTCCAAAAATTTGATTGTTTTGATGTTCGCAATAAGCATAATGTTTCAGAATCTTTTATTAAGGATTTAAATCATCATTATCAGCATATTGATGTCCTACTGCTGGGGCACAGGCATTCCCTATAGATGGAATATGGAGAATGGGTCAATGCCCACCACGCGGGCCCAGTGCAGATTAGCGGTTGCTAACGACTGCAAATGCAGCCGGGAACAACAGCTTAACGTGCCTTCCGTATCACGGAGGAACGCGAGATAGAAAATTTTCGGTCACCCATCCAATGACCGACCACTGCGAAATTTGCTTAACTTCAACGATGACAGCCGAACGCGCTAACCACCCGCGCCATCAAGTTCCTCGAGAGAGAGATCCTCCCATCGAGATTTAAATCATAGGTGTAGATAAAATAAGATATTTAGTTATCAATGTGGATTAATCTCTTATCTAATAGACAAGTCCGTCCGTCCGTGGTGCTGTTTCAGCGGCCAAACCGTAAGAGATAGATAAAGAGAATGTTTAGGTTATAAGTTAAGAATAGTCTGATCAGACTACAAACCGGATTTGAGTAACGTAGCACTTCCGGTTTTCGAGAAATCACGTGATTTCTATTTCAAACGAAACCACACAAAATCTCCGAAGTTCTCAATTAATTAAATACATTTTTTTTTTGGTGAACACTTGGTTCAAGGGTTTGCTAGTATCTTTTAATTTTATTGGATTTAGTTCACTTGTCTTGAGTAGATTAGTTTAATCTGCCACTATTAACGTCTTTCTTTAATTTTCTAGAAATATCCTACACCGTGGAAGCACATTCTGAGATCGAAGCCAGTGTGGGCGCTGCTCGCGCCGCAATGTGGATTCTTGATCAGCTTCGTGTTCCTATTTGTCGACATGCCGACTTATTTGGAAAAAGGGCTAGGGATTTCCTTAAAAAATGTAAGTAGTTCATGTGATTTTTTTTTTTAATATTAGCCTTGGTATAATGCGATTCAACTAAGAATAGGACCGACTGGGCGCCATATTTTGACGTCATAGCTGTCAATTCAAACCAAATAGGTAGAGTGAGCAAAAAAAAGTTTCTATTTAATAAAACTTATTTACTTAGATTAAGTGAGAAAAAACATCAGATTTTTAATAAAATTCATTTAGTAAGATTGAGAGAAAAAACAACCGATTTTTAATAATATTTCTTTACTAAGACTGTGTGAGAAAAAACGTTAATCAGAATCTAGCTCTTCAATTGCGCTCATCTTTGCATTACCGCCGGAGTAGTTATGAATAATCATGCAGGTTACATACGAACATCCATCCTATATGTAAACGAAAGTATTTGAACGCAACATAAAGTGGCATTTGGTTGACGATTTAGGTTATCAACCATTCATAGCCAAAGCTAAATAAATGAAAAAAAATATCAACCAATATTAATTATCAATATTTGTTATTGTTTGTTTAAAAATGTTTGATTTTTATTCTAGAATTAGCTGAGTGCTAAAAAAGTGATCCGAGATTTTTTTGCAAACTGTACTTTTCAAGCGACATTTGACAGATGGAGGTCATTAGCTTTCCTATTCTTATGATCGACATTTATTACCCCTAAAGTGCAAAACCTTGTCTTGTATTGATGTTTGTATAAATACCGGCCAAGTGCAAGGCGGACTCACGCACATAGGGTTACCATTCAGGGGTACCATTATCTATGCAACATTAGAAACTATTTTATAATATTGTGCAAAAAAGTAAAAAAAAGCGTTTGTCATATGGGAGCCCCCCTTAATATTTTTATTTATTTAATTATTGGAACGAAGTTCGAAGAGGAACGAAGAGGGGATAGGGATTTTGCTGCGCGACCGAACTGAAAAAAATGTGATACTAAAACCGTAAGAAAAAATCCGTGGAAAAAAGTGCGTGGAATAAAACCGTTAAATTAGACGTGCGCAGACACGACAGTCCCATACACAAGCGAGTTTGCAATTTGTGTCGATTCTACATTAGCCGAAGGAACTTCGTTCCTACCTGGTGTCCCACGACACCACATCATTTTTTTTATTTTCAAAGTAAATTTATGTACTCTGTTAATATTTAAACCTTAATATTCTGTAAATATTTGAAGCGTCTACCTGTTGTCGACGTTAATAAAGCAAAAAACGCCGATGCCTGAGGTTTGTTGTATGGGATTCCCTCTTAAATGATTGTATGTAAAAATTTCAACTGTCTAGCTATCACAGTTTTTGAGATACAGCCTGGTGACAGACAGACGGACAGTGGAGTCTTAGTAATTAGTATAGGACAGACGGACAGTGGAGCTTTTACACTTTGGGTACGGAACCCTAAAAATCTTCTTCTTCTTCTTCCAGTGCCTCTTCAATCCTGAAGGTTGGCCGTTAACTTCCTGTATGTAGTTCTGTCAGCCGGAACAGCTGTTCGACGGAGGCAATACCGGTCCACTCCCGGATATTCCGGAGCCATGACTTTTTTCTTCGCCCAGCACGTCTCTTTCCGTCCTAAAAATCTACCTAAGTTTATTTGCTATCTTCTCTTGTTCCAGAGTGCTCTGCTATCAGCGTTACCATACGTCGGCATGTGGTTCGGCAACAGCTTCTCGGCTTACTTATGCGAAAAGATCTACAACAGGGGCTTGTTAAATTTGACCGCTTGCAGGAAAATATTCCAATCTATATGTCAGTTGATACAACAAAATTTGTTAGGGTGTTACCACACCAATCGATCGATCGTCGATCGATGTCATCGGTCGGCATCGGTCGACGTTGATCGATTGGTGTGGTAGCTTTAATTGATCGACGGATACCGGTCGACTAACCAATCGATAGATTGCCGGTTGATGGCATCGGTCGACGGTATCCTGTAGACGTAGATCGATTGACCCCGGCTATATTCCATAAGTTTCTTTCCAAATGTATTCACAAGAGGACGCGTTGTTGTTGGCCAGTACGATTTTGCTCGTACTATTATTACGGACACGCAAACGCAGTACACTCTGGATGCGACCGTTTTTTAAAGCCAATGATCGCTTACATCATGCAAATTACATTTTAAACAGCGGTTTTATGGATGCTTTTCGAATAAGTTACAGTGATATTGAAAATCTCTTAAATATGGTGGCTCCTTAGACCAATTAATCAATTGGTCTAGCAGAAACAATCGATCGACGTCGACTAATCCATTCTAGCATCGATCGATGGCATTTCTCGACTATCGATCGATTGGTGTGGTAGTAACTTTCGATCGACGTCGACTAATCCATTCTACCATCGATCGATGGCATCTCTCGACGATCGATCGATTGGTGTGGTAACACCCTTAAAATTTTTTTTACTAAGAACCAAATATTTTATTTTTTTGTTTATTGTGAAAATGACGACCAACATTCATACAACGACGCGTGATATTAAGGGTGCTTTTACACGGCGCAAGTAACTTGTGCATGTTGATCATTTTTTGAGTGTGTTTGCTGTTGGTCGCAGATTACCTTTACAGAGTTACCTGGTTTGGGGACGGCGAGATCCTAAGGGGACCTCAAGCGGAGAATTGGCAAGTGTCTCTAGAGGTATTCCAGACTTTAGACCACTCGAACCTGAGGGTTCTTATTTTACCATGATCTTTTCTATGGATATGAACTGTTTGTTGATATTCTTAAGTATATGTCATGTTCAGTATCCTATATCACCAAGTCGACATATGTCATATTAACCACAGCCATTTTGGCACAATAGTCTGTATCTTACTTTTCGTTTACATGCAGCGCGAGTAAGGAGGGAAGTTGGCATGACGAGTATGTAAACACGATACTCGTCATGCCGCTGCCATTGCCACTCGCGCTGCCCGGCGCTCCCCAAAAGAGCGGTTTTTTGTGCGGATGTCAAAGGACCGGCAGCGCGAGTGGCAATGCGTGTTCACACTCTGCGCGTCGCTTAGTTCGCGCCACGCGCTTGGTGGAGAAAGACTTGTACTTTTTTAAGATAAGCGACCGTCTACGATATTACATACATTGCAAGTTATATAAAAGCTTTTAAAAAACAGTTATGTGGGTTGGTAGCTTCTTTACAAAATTCTATTACGATGGATAGATAACATCCACCATCTTCTACGACGAACTTTCTTTTTTTGTACTTGATATATTTCTAAATTTCGAACATAATTATGGATTGCAAAAGGACACAGCGCGGCCGCTGTAATTACTTCGACGTCTGCCATTGCCGAAACTCTGAAGCGAAGTGAGAGGTAGGGCAGTATGTAAACACATACTTCTCTCAATCATGCCGCAGCAATATTTAGGGAATTATTGCCGGCAACGCGAGGGGCATGGGCATGGGCATAGTCTAAACGAGGTTTTACGTTAAATAACGACAATAATGTTGTAAAACAAGGGCATTTTTTTTAAGTCAACATATTTGACAAATTATATGGTAATTCTTGACATGAGATCTAATATGAATCTATTTGCAGCACTATTCGGCATCGCTATCGCGCTGGTAGTTCTATCCTTCTTGGGTCCCGAAAATAAAACATTCGCTGTGGCCGCACTGATTGCTTGTATGACTATGCATGGGTTTAGCACGGCTGGTTTTGTCGTAAGTATCATCATCATCAACAGCCTATCCTAGTCCACTGCTGGACATAGGCCTCTCCAATTGCACGCCACTCAGAGCGATCTTGGGCTACTCGCATCCAGCTCCTGCCAGCCTTGCGCAAATCGTCACTCCGTCGTACCTGAGGACGTCCTACACTACGTTTGCCTAGACGCGGTCTCCACTCCAGAACTCGTCTACCCCAACGGGTATCGGTCCTTCGGCAAATATGGCCAGCCCACTGCCACTTCAACTTGCTAGTCCGTAAGTATACCGAGCAAAAATTCCATTCATCATCTCTAAATATAAAATAAAGTCGTGTTAGTTACACTATTTATAACTCAAAAACGGCTGAAACGGTTTGGCTGAAAATTTGTGGGGAGGTAGCTGAAAACCAGGAGACGGACATAGGATACTTTTTATCCCATTTCCATGGGACGTGACCTAAAACGTGGTATAACCGACATAGCTGACCTGGCGAACTTTGTTCCACCTTAGAAGAAATTAATAAGCAGATTTGGCTGAAAATTGGTGGGGAGGTTACTAAGAACCAGGAGATGGATATGGGGATACTTTTTATCCCGTTTCCGTGGGATGTGACAGCGACAACATTGACCGCGCTGGTCAGCTATACATTATTGAAGGCAATTGATGGTGGAAATAGTGGTTTAAATTTCCTGGATGCCCCTGGTGGAACTGGTAAGACATTTCTCATGAGAGTAGTTTTAGCCACTGTTCGTGTGAGATCCAACATTGCGATTGCAGTTGCTTCTTCTGAAATAGAAGCCACATTGTAAAAAGGATGCCACACGGCTCATTCAGCATTAAAATTGCTATTATATCATCGAAGTATTGAAGACCCAATATGTAATATTGCAAAATACACTCGGAACGAATACACAATGGCGCATAAACGTGAATTGAAAGTACTTAACCGAACATTGAAAGATCTACGCAATGACTCAAGATGTTTTGGAAGCGCAATGATTTTACTGTCTGGCGATTTCCGCCAAACACTGCCAGTAATTCCAAGATCAACTGCTGCTGACGAAATAAACACTTGCCTCAAATCATCGAATTTATGGCGCTATGTGTAGAAACTTCAGCTGACAATAAACATGAGCGTTGCATTACTGAACGATACATCTGCTGAAGACTTTTTTGGTCAATTCCTAACTATCGGTAATGGTCGAGTACCTTGACGAGTTTGATGTGTTTAGGAAGTTGTTATTGCATCTATCGTAGCTACCACTGTTCAATCTATAGGGAAGGCCAGTGCCCCAGTAGTGGGAACATTAATTAGACACGTTCAAATCACTTATATGTTACAGGAACATAATATGCGCTCTCATGTTTGTAGGTCAACCAATTGGATTTGTCCCCGAACTTCGCTGGAGTCATAATGTGTCTTCTAAATTTCGTCGCCAATTTGGGATGTTCGGTCACACCAATAGTGACAAGCAAGATTTTAAGGAATGATTCGGTAAGTAACAACATCTCGAACTTTTTATTCCTAAAAAGTTAAATAAAGCCACGTATTGTTAAGGTGGTCAAATGGTTGATAGACAAGCTTATGACTCGCCTAATGGTAAGCGGCCACCATGGCCTGGAGACGCTTCATCATCATCATCATCAGCCTATTAATGTCCCCACTGCTGGGGCACAGCCCTTCCCTATGGATGGAATAGGGAGATTGGGCCATGACCCACCACGCAGACCCAGTGCGGATTGGTGGGTGCTAACGACTGCAGATGCATCCGGGACCAACGGCTTAACGTGCCTTCCGAAGCACGGAAGATCTCGAGACAGTAATTTTTGGTCACCCATCCAATGACCGACCACTGCGAAAGTTGCTTAAGTTCAACGATCGCAGCCGAATGCGCTAACCACTTGCGCCATCGAGCTCCTATAGACGCTTGCGATACAAAAAATATCATTCGCGCCGTTCTCAACCCTGACCCAATCCTCTGCTCCGTGGAGGATCCCTTACTCATCGACAGAAACACCCCAAGCAACAAAATGTAGTCTAGTAATTGTCCTGGAAACACCAATTCATTCGGACTATAGCGGGATAGTAAGCAATTGTAAACACGGAAAAGGGCCCAATTTATAGGCGTATTTTAACCAATTAAATATCTATAGTCGATTTGGTGAACACCACTTTGACTAATAACGACTTTAAAGTTGGACTACGTAAAACTATTTGCGCTCGCGAAGCTAACTATTAGCGCTTAATAGAACCAAACACGACAATAACGACCTTATAATAGGGATGATGACTATTTTTTTTTCTTCGTTTATCAGGTAGATTATCAAAAAGTATTGGACACGTATTTTTTCTTTTTTCACATAATATAAACATTGCAGAGATATATTGATTTGAAAAGTCGCACGACGTCACGTTTGAGTACACTTATAAGTGAAAATTCACTCAAAAGTGACGTCACGACCCTTCTACTCCCAAACTTTGACGCGCTATAACTTTGTCATTTTTTGGTTGATTGCCCAAAAAAAAAATACGTGTTTATTATTTTTAGATCATCTAACCCGTCCGTAAGGACTAAATAGAATTTCGTTTACTGTACCCCGTCATCACCCCTATTGAACTACGTAGAAAAAATACGTGTTTATTATTTTTAGATCATCTAACCCGTCCGTAAGGACTAAATAGAATTTCGTTTACTGTACCCCGTCATCACCCCTATTGAACTACGTAGAACTATTTGCTCCCGCGAAGCGAACTATCAGCACTTAATACAACCAAATACGCTAGAAACGTATACGTATACAATGGATCTCTTACAAACTAATACAAAGTGTGGTGAATTGGTGAATATTTCTGCGCACATTATAATGATTAATATTGTTAAAGTTAAGTTATTCATCCATTCCTCATAAATATTATCTAGGGTATCGATAATGGGTAGTGTTTATTTATTTATTTAGTGTTAGTTAACAATAAGTCAAGATGTATAATGTGTTTGAATGTATATGGCGCACGTATATTTTCCGAGAAATATATTAGGTTTCTATTACAAAATTCTTACGCGCCCCTTGAAATTGGCATTTTTAGGAAGTAGAATTTTAAAATAATTTTAGTTTAAGTGAAACATACAACGAAAAGCCTCCATTTTGACAAATTTAGTTTTCCCAAATACATTAAAAAACCATTATAGGCGTACTTTGATTAATAATGGTAAATATCAGAACCCTTGGATATATTGTTTTGAATTAGAGTTCCGCAAATATTTCATAACTATAATGCGATTCAAATAAGAATAGGAAAGCCAATGACCTCCATCTGTCAAATGACGCTTGAAAAGTACGGTTTGCAAAAAATCTTCGAACTCTTTTTTAGCACTCAGCTAATTCTAGAAGAAAAAAACCAAACATTTGTAAACAAACATGACGACGATGACAACTCCGGTAGTTATGCAGAGCTGAGCGGAATTGAAGAGCTAGATTCCGATTAATATTTTTACTCACAGTCATAAATGTTATTAAAAATCGGTGGTTTTTTTTCTCAATCTTAGTAAATTAAATTTTATTAATAAAATCTGATGTTTTTTCGCACTTAATCTTAGTAAATAAGTTTTATTTGAAAAAAATCTGATGTTTTTCCTCACTTAATCTTAGTAAATAAGTTTTATCGAAGAAAAACTTTTATTGCTCACTCTACCTATTTTGTTTCAATTGACAGCTTTGACATCACAAAATGGCGCCCAGTCGATCCTATTCTTAGTTGAATCGCATTTTAAACGGTTATTTTATATGGTTATATGCTACTTATTTTTGTTTAGGTGTCGGCATTGAAAATGGTATTTTTTCTGGACGTCGATCCCTTTTTGGAAAGTAAAGTAAATGGAACACCAAGTCGGTAACGAATACGACACAACAAAATAAAATGTCCGTACTGAGACTATAACAGCATCCATGTGCTAGAGCTAGACCATTAGAAACCAATGTTTTCTTGTACAGGTCACCACGGATATGGTTTTATATAATAATTATATTATAATAAACCTTTATAATCATCTTATGATTATAACAATATTGGTTTTTACCACTATAAAACCGCTCCGTTTTACTTATAATTGTTCAGTAAAGTGAATTTATAAAGCCTTATAAAACCAAGTAATAAATGCAAATAGTTTGCAGTATGTTTAGTTTTGTTTATCACTCCTAATGGCGTACTTTACTTATAGTAGTTCTGTTATGCTTCTTGTTAGCAGTATAGCTTACCATTTTATCTACTCTTGAGGGCATTTACACCCTTGTGATACTTTTAAAAGTCACCCAAGCTTATAGTGCACCCGTAATTTCGGTCTTTAACTAATCTCTTATCTATTAGACGAGTCCGTCTGTCCGTGGTGCTGTTTCAGCAGCCAAACCGTAAGAGATAGATAAAGAGAATATTTAAGTTATAAGTTAAGAATAGTCTGATAAGACTACAAACCGGATTTGAGTAACGTAGCACTTCCGGTTTTCGAGAAATCACGAATTTCAAACGAAACCACACAAAATCTCCGAAGTTCTCAATTAATTAAATACATTTTTTTTTTAAATCAGGTTTTGGTGAACATTTGGTTCACTGGTTTGCTAGTTATAAGTTAATGTATAAGATCAGATATACTACAAAGCCAATCTTACTCCATGCTTTCTATTATATGCGTGGCAGTAAATACTAAATCATATAATACAATACAAAATCTGCACTATAGGATAATTTTGCTGCTTGGGACAGCACCACCAAAAACATGTGTCATTTCACTGCATCCTTCTGTAAGGTGGAGACCTCCACGTTACTGTTCAAGTTCATATAGTTCTTTTATTAGAAGCAAGATGGCGCTGTAGCAATTGTTACTCGCACTATGGTTTGAGTTCCTTAGTTTGACATAATAACAACTTTAGTTTTTTATTTAGTTAATAGATGTCACGTTAAGTCCTTGTAATCGCGGTATAGACTGCTGCAGTGCGTTTCTATAAGTAGTTTCCTATATGAATAGATATTGTAAGATCAAGGATTCAGTACCAGATCAAGATTCTGTTTGATTTATGTTTTTTAGAATACATTAGTTCAAGTACAAACTTCTATCATTTCAACGAATCCCAATTCGCCGAGTACTTTTGCTGACCCTTGGTTTCAAACAATGGTCCTTCGTCCTCCAGACGGGCGCTCCAATGCGAGTGAAAAATTCGCTATGCACTGCTTCTCTTATTTTTTTTATTGAATTTAATTTTAAGTTTACCATCGTATTTTGAAATTTTAGCTTTGTTTTCAAAGAATTCTCTCTCTTATCCCACCTTCTCCTTTCCTTCAGAGGACCACACACGCTGGCTTACGTTGTCACCGTCTAACTGAGACTACAATTCCAACGCGTACAAAGAAATTTGGTGACTCATTTCTTTGTCACACTATCCGTAAATGGAATGCTCTGCCCGCTCACGTGTTCCCTCCCTCTTACAACCTGGGATCCTTTAAAAGAGGCGTGAAGAAGCAACATGCAGGTCAGCAGGGTGAAGATGGCTGGTGTGGCAGGTAAAACTGCTGTATCAGCTATCTTCACGTCTGGACTTCACCTTCACTTAACATCAGGTGGGGTGGAGTCATTTGTCGGACCTATCTAATTATTAAAAAAAAATAAAGAATTGACAGACAAATATCATGTTTCTATTTATACTATACTTCCGTATATACCATTAAACTATCCTTTTCTCTCCAGTCTGACGTTAGCCGCTGGCGGATCGTGTTCCTACTGATGGCAGCCATATGCGCCACTGCTAACGTGATCTACCTCGTCCTCGCATCCAGTGAGAGGCAGCCATGGGACGACCCTAACTATCTCAACAAGAGTATTGCTGACGCAGGTGATTCAACATCATCGGCCCATTAATGTTCCCACTTTCAAGCAGTGCAGCATAGCATAGGGGGCCGCGGTAGCATAATTGGTCAGTGCATTCGCCCGGATTGCGAAGGGAGCGGGTTCGAGTCCCGTCTGCTGCCTGGTCCGCGTGGAATATTTTCTAGTTATATTTGATATTTGTCAGAAATCCGAATAAATGAGATCGGAAGTGAGATTGCATCTTACAGAATACCGATGCAGTTCAAGGAAATTGTTTTCATAAAAATATATGTACCATACCACCACTTGGTAAGCAAGGTACTTAAGTTTTTCTCTGTGAACAGGGATTTTTTAAAACTGCAGGCAAAATTTTTAGGCTTATACTATCGATATAGTATATATATATATATATAAAACTCAAAGGTGACTGACTGACATAGTGATCTATCAACGCACAGCCCAAACCACAGGACGGTCCGTGTTGAAATTTGGCATGCAGGTAGATGTTATGACGTAGGCATCCGCTAAGAAAGGATTTTGATCAATTCTACCCCCACGGTGATAAAATAAGGAATGAAAGTTTGTATGAAACTTTGTCAATTTTAAACCAATCGGGCTGAGACTTTGCATGCAGGTATAAGAAGAATCATAGATGAATGTCATTGTCTTTAATACAAGCTTGAGATCAAAAACTGTAGTCTACACTTCAGCTCTACACCGAAGCGAAGCGAGGACGGGCCGCTAGTCTATAAAACATAGTATAAGCCTAAAAAGAATTTAAAATGTGGTATAGCTGCCGGTTTGATTCTAATAAATGCTGAGTATTTTGAAACAATTTTTCCAATGGGCTTAATCAGCCTTCCAGCAAATTCTTCAATTCTCATTTTACGTGTATGTACCACCACCCCTAGACTTAGAGCATAATATTCCTTTACCCCATACACAAATATAAAAAGTTAAGCTTCAATTTGAACAAGCAACCAACATATCAAAGTTTTTGCCGTTTCGATTGGCGCAGTGTAAATATATTCCCATGTACACACAACGCTGTGCAAACACGCAATAATAAATGATAGCGTATTACTTCTGATAGAGTTGATTCTCAAGTCCAATAGAATAAAACCGAATGTAAACAGTCTAGGCTATATACGAGCCCTTGGGAAAGTCAATGAGCTAAGTTATCAGGTCGCGAATCTAATTCGACTTGGGACCTTGTAACAATAGGCAATAAACTCAGGGAAAGTGGTTTTTTCCTCTCTTTTATATCGAATATGTTATCTGCTTTCGCTTCTTCTTGGTTTAGATTCCATTTTTTTATTCTAGGGCTTGTATTATAAACAACATTGTAATAGGGATGATGACTAATTTTTTTTTCTTCGTTTATCAGGTAGATTATCAAAAAGTATTGGACACGTATTTTTTCTTTTTTCACATAATATAAACATTGCAGAGATATATTGATTTGAAATGTCGTGGGGCGTCACGTTTGAGTACACTTATAAGTGAAAATTCACTCAAAAGTGACGTCACGAGCCCCTACTCCCAAACATTGACGCGCTATAACTTTGTCAGTTTTTGGTTGATTGCCCAAAGGAAAAATACGTTCCCGTTATTTTTAGATCATCTAACTGACGGACTAAATAGAATTTCGTTTACTGTACCCCGTCATCACTCCTATTTGAATATTGAACTCAATAACTAACTTAAGATAGATATTTAATTATTAATAATATCGTGCAATGGTAACAATTTAACATAATCATTAAAATATTACAATTTTAAACACGGTTTTATAGTGAAAACCTTGAGGAGGAAGCTATACTAAGAGGTATTAAATTAGTTCATTATTCAATCCAAAATCTATCCCAAATTATCATATTCGGCAAAGGGCAATTGGCAAAACGCACCTTACGCAATTTACTATAACAAACAGAATGTTTAAGAAAAACTCAAACCAAGCGGGGGATATTTGGATTTACTCTATTGCGGCAGAATAACATAAGGGGGCACCCTTGCACCTTGTGGAGTACTCCCATAATTCCTCAGCACCTTATAGGGTCGAATTAACTAACTAAATTAATTCCCTTGTTTCATTAATGTTCGTTCGTTATATAGTACTTGTACATATTTAACTTAAAATAACTAAAGACCCCCGGGATGGAATTTGATGCGCTTTGACACAGATAATCTCGACTATAATACCTTTCAAACAAATCTAGTTTAAACCGTGGCGGACGTGGGTGCAGCGTCCATACATTTTTGCCCAATGTCCTTTGATTATAACTTTTGCAAAGGTGATCAAGTTTCATTCATATGAAGTTTTTTTCTGCTATAAGCAAGTAAATCCTTTGCTACTGTCTATATTAGCGATGTACCCCTCAACTGTAATGGGATTTTCTACGCCATATCGAATGCCAGTTGATCGATGAAAATTCACCGAAAACCCGATATATTGCTTTGCCATTTGATCGAAATTTCAATAAATCGATTTTCAATAGATCGCTGTGACATTAGATCGAAATTTCCATAAATTGATTTTTAATGGGTTCATTTCAATTAACAGGTAAAAGTACAATTAATACAAGTGTTGACAATTTGACATATAAATATAATTTTACTGCTAGAAATCTGGGATATATTCATTTTTTCTTTAATAATCATCTAGGCATTCGATTATTTGCAATTGCGATCTATAGCCATTACGCGCTATTGGTCTGTCGATTGTTTGTCATTCGATCAAATGACTTGTCGATACATTGAGTTTTCGGTTAATTTTCACCGATCACTGGCATTCGATATAATGGCATTCGATATGGCTTAGAAAACCCTCTGTAATATGCTCGTGTGGGTAGTAAATGCCTTTTTTCTTTACGAATTTGAATTTTTATAATAAAGGCCCCGTCTTCCTTTAGGCGGTAAAGAAACTATTATATTTATTTATTTAAACTTCATTGCAACATAACACAGCAAATGGCGGACATAATGCCATAAGGCATTCTCTACCAGTCGACCAGTAAGAGTATGAGAAAAAACTAATATGACGGGGGCGCAATAAAGACAAATCACACTAATATTATAAAGGCGAAAGTTTGTGAGTATGTGAGTGTGTATGTTTGTTACTTCTTCACGTCTAAACGGCTGGAACGATTTTAATAAAATTTGGTGTGGAGTTAGCTGATACCCTGGATTAACACATAGGCTACATTTTACTGCGGGAAAATATCTTATTTCGATGGGAAAATCGATGCAAATGAATTTTGTTTAAGTAGGTACATATTTTTTGACATTCATGTCAAAGCTATTTTGAACATTCATGTCAAAGCTGTTTTGAACATTCATGTCCAAGCTATTTTGATAGATTAATATTTCATACATATTTCTAGGACATTATATTGTAATAATTTTTTTGTGTATCTAATTATGACTCACAATTGTAAACCAAATCGTTCACAGAGCTCACAAAGAGCTTCATCTATGAAAATTGCAAGACAGCAAGAATCTACTTATGATACTGAACAGCGCAGACGTGACCAAGCAACACGTCAGGCAGAAGTCAGAACTGGAGAAACTTCTGCGCAAGCTGATGCTCGGCGTCTGGAAAATCCTATCCGCATAGCTTCTCAGCGTGCATCAGAGACAACTGATGAGGCAGCTTTTCCGCGTCAAGAAAACGCACAGCCTATGGCCACACAGTGATCCAATCAAACACCTTATGAAGCAACTTCTCGACGGCGAGAGCATGCCCAGTTTATGGCTAATCAGCGTGCATTAGAGACACCTGAAGTAGCAGCTACTTGGCATCAAGAAAACGCATAGCGTATGTCCACTCAGCGTGCCATTGAAACACCTGATGAAGAAACTTCTCGACGGCTAAATCAATCCCAGCTAATGTCTAATCCCCGTGCTTCCGAGATAGTAGATGAGACAAATTCTAGACGACTCGCAGTCGCTCAGCATCAAGCATAGTGCCGACAAACATTTACCAGAAATGCTTGGGGGTTATTTGAAAAATGTGGTTTTGAATATGACTTGACATTGGATTACAATAGCCACAGGCTCATGAAAATTTGCCGTATGGAAAATGTGTGTCACCATTGTGGGGCATTAAAATGGAATGAGGAAAGAGCGGGAATGTGTAGCTCTGGGGGTAAAGTAGCCATTCCTGTTTTAGAAGAGCCTGTGGAACCCTTAAATACATTATTTACAGGTGAAATTGATGAATCTTGACGGTTCTAAAACTGCGTACAACCCATGCTTTTACATGTCGTCGTTCGGGGCGGGCAAAGGACAATGGCGAACCCCCATACATTTTTTTGTTGTAATTTTTTCTTGCGTCTATAAATGAATTGCATGTTAAATTATACAGTTTACATTCTTGATTCGATTCATCTTATTTCTTATATTATAGGAAGTCCGGATTTATAGATATTCTACTTTGAAGTTTTGGAGGTTATGTCCTACCAAGTAATGCAAAAACGAATTATAAAAGTTTGTTTCAAGAGTATTTTTATATCAAAATAAAAAATACGCGGAACGGAACTATAGAAGTACATCGGTCCTGAAGAGTAGTGACGAAAAAAAATGTTTTTTACAATGTATGATCAGTTGGCTTTCTTTCTTTCTTTCTTTGGCGTAGGTACTGACCCACTGCGTCAAAATACTTATTATCAGACAAGAGTTATTGAGTTCAAATACAATGTCTGTGCTGTAAGAAGTACTTAACAATTTGAAAATGCCCACTGCAATAATAAAGTATAAAAAAAGGATTTCTAATAATGTACTAAAGGGATATTAATTAAATATGCAACACTTTTTATAAATTTATTATTCCACATCGTTGATCACAATATCGTAGATAGTAGATACAATGAAATAAAATCCACAGTATAGGACAGAATCGCGTCCAAAATCCACAGCAAAATATCAGATTCGGAAGTCTTAGGCAAGCACTACTCAACAGCTTAGATCAAAACAAAAAGGGTAGATACGGCACTAGCCTCACAAAAGTGATCCGCACAAATTGTGGTCCACGACCCTAATCGCTTTAGTCACAACTTGACATGCAAACGACGTACATGTGAACGCCAAAAAGAAATATTGATAATATTTTGTGTTTATATGATAAAACAATGCCTGAGTATGTTTTTAAAAAGTGCTCAAATTGTTCAAGAACTAAAAATAAAACCCACGGCATCACTTTTCATTCGTAAGTACTATAAAATATATTTTTTCATATAAATTGCTGTTTGTTTTGAGTCTTATTCGGTAGTGACGTCGAGTACTGGTCGCGTGATTGGTCGGTAATGCTGTAACGCGGATCTCGCCGTCCCGTTCGCGCTGTCGTGGGATCAGTTTTTGTTTGATGCAAGTATGAGCGTACCGTATCTACCCTTTTTGTTTTAATCTAAGCTCAACAGTCGCAGAGAAAGATTTCGAAAGTCCAAATACAGTCAAAGTCACATAAAAAAACAAATCTCAGAAAAACACAATACGTCGATTGAAATCTTTGCAATATGCATGCACCTAAGCACAAACAATGTTATATAATGATAACAATAACAACAACAATTCGATGACAAGCATGACAGTGACAGTTATAGTTTTTTTTCGTTAGAATTGTCGCCATACTCTTTTTGTATTGTGGAGATTATTTAATATGGTTTCAGTATAATATTGAAAAATAATGTTTCCCGATATTTTTGTTATATAATTAAATACAGTTCAAGCGTAAAGCGATGCAAAACATACGAACAACATATTTAAAGTTGATTTCATCACTAAAATCACTTAAAATGAATGGCTCAAAAGCCATCATGGCCAAGCCATAATAAAAATAAAAAATAAATAGTCAATTGTGTTTCCCTTTTTTTAAGTTTTTAATTCCAGACTTAGACATCCCTCCTCAATGGTTTAATAAATCTTTTGAGATTATTTTATTAACATTTCTGATAATGACATCTATAGACGCTATAGATTTACTTCAACAAATATTTCGCCATTGTCCTTTTTGCAATGCCTGGATTTTCCCCAACGTTCACAGTGCATGGCCAACTACATCACAAAATGGGTGATGATCATCTAATGATCAGCCACAATTTTTACAGGTGTATTTTATGGGAGACGATGACGCGGAAACTGACAAACGGTGTCAAATCATTCAAGGTATGGAGCGAGCAACTGTGCCAGGAAGACGAGTTTGCTCGCACGTGGAATGCGTCACGAAAACAATGGAACGAAATGGAACCCGTCGTCAGTTGGCCTGGTGTGAAAGCCTTAGATGCCCACGGTAGAATTTATACCGTACACATAACACACTTTGAGTGATATTGTGTACGGTTGCTGTTGCTATTACTAGAATCCGGGGTCCTACCAGTTTTCAAGCGCTCAAAATCGTCGATGGGCAGGAAAAGGCCACTTTTCAAGAAGCATGTGAGGCGATGAAGCTGCTTGAAGACGACGGCCACTGGGACAATGTTGTGCCGGTCAGCGACTACGTTGAGAGTTGAGCTCTTTGCGATTATGATAAGCACCTGCGGACTCTCCAACCCCCGGCAATTGTGGTGCAAGTATAAAAAGCGCTTTGTCAGAAGACATTGCTCGCCGATACCAAGGGATCATCATCATCATCATCAGCCTATTAATGTCCCCACTGCTGGGGCACAGGCCTTCCCTATGGATGGAATGGGGAGATTGGGCCATGACCCACCGCGCGAGCCCAGTGCGGATTGATGGGTGCTAACGACTGCAGATGCAGCCGGGACCAACAGCTTAACGTGCCTTCCGAAGCACGGAGGAGCTCGAGATAGTAAATTTTTGGTCACCCATCCAATGACCGACCACTGCGAAAGTTGCTTAACTTCGACGATAGCAGCTGAACGCGCTAACCACTTGCGCCATCGAGCTCCTCGACAAGGGATAACACTAGACATAATTTTTAAAGAAGCGCTGAAAGTCTTATTTCTTGGACGCACCAAGGGGCACCGGCAAGACTTTTTTTAATGAACTTGCTGCTGGCACAGTTGTGCAAAGACAAAGTGGTTGCGCTGGCTGTTGCATCCTCCAAAATAGCCGCAACCTGGCTGAGTGGTGGCAGAACCGGACACTCAGTATTTAAGCTCCCGCTGAAACTTGCAAGTGAAGAAACGCCCATTTGCAACATCAGTAAAAGTAGTAGTCGTGGTGCTCTATTGCAATGGTGCAAATTGATCGTATGGGACCACATGCTCCCGTGTGTCGAGAGCAAGAAACACATTTTATTTACGCAGAAAACAATAAGTCCCGCATTGTGGTTTACCGGGATGTACTGCAGTAAAGTGATTTCTAGGTCTCGCTCTACGACCCGAGACAAAAAACAATTACATAAGACAGCATAATCATCTCTCCCGTTCTGTCAGTTATCAAATTTTGTAAATTGATCTTTCCGATGTTTAAGTTTAAATTATTTTGCTTCTAAAAATGTGAATAGTCATTGTTTTTACTGTTAATACGCAATTTAATTTCCCTAATAAGCCGCGGGTAACACCGCGGGGCACATGTAAGATAAACCAAGGATACAAATACTCTTAACAGAATACACACATACATACACACACACATATATATATATATATACACACACATAGATACATACATATACATACATACAATACATACATAAGTATACGATTATGTCAGTCGTATATGAGAACGCTGTTGAGATAGTGGTCACGAACCAATCCCCTAAATGCAAGTTTGTTAGGAGCTTTACGTATATTGGGGGGCAAGTCATTCCAGAGTCGTACAGCCGTGACAGTGGAAGAGTAGGAGACGAAGCCAGAAGAATGGACGGGATATATCACTTTTGATAATGACTTCCTTTAATTTAGTGATACTGTTTTATATTTTTGTCTTTTTATTTAGTTTCTTTTTCTTATTTACAGAGGAATTAAAACCGGTGCTGATCAATGGACAAAAACACAACGAAGATAAGGATAAAACTGAAGTCAAGCCAAAATAATACTAACTATGAAGACTGTAAAATGTTTATTTATATTGTGGAATTACATACAATTTTATACTTTAGCGTGTTTTAGTTAAAATGTTAGATTTCTCTTAATATTAAATGTGGTAGAATTTAATTATTTTATAATAGCCCCTTTACAACCTAATTACTACTCCAATAATAAACATAAAAATATGGTTTAATAATAATAAAAATAATAAATATATGTCTTTATTCAAATAAGGTCATACATTGCATAATAATACTAATAACAATATAAAGTACAAAATAATGGATGCCTGAACTAGGTTACAGTTAAAATTGTACCTGTATTTCAGGCTTTTATGATCTAAATAATATATTGAATGATTAATAAATTAACAAATTAACTAAAACAGAACTTAAAGTAATCATTGTATAAATGTTGGTAAATGTAAATTATGGAGGTTTTATTTTATTTTAAGCATTTAACTGCTAGATGTTAAATCTAAAGAAAAGTTTTGATAGAAAAAAAAAACAGATTTAACATCGAGCAGTTAAATGCTTAAAATAAAATAAAAACATAACTATAAATGCTATTTCTTCTTTCAAATGTTTAATACTTGTAAAAGTATTCATTTGACATTGTGGGTTACCTATATTGCGAAGAGATGGCGCTGCCTTGCAGCTTAAGAATAGGAAAAATGCGACGCGCATAATGGTCAGTGCATTCGCCCGGATTGCGAAGGGTGCGGGTTCGAGTCCCGTCTGCTGCCTGGTCCGCGTGGATTTTTTTTCTATCAAAACTTTTCTTTAGATAAAAAAAAATACTCATTTATTTGCCGTAAGCTATTATTATATTATTCTCCGCGCAGATTGTAATCTCCAACCTTTTTTTACACGCTTACTAGCCTAACCTCAAAGTTAGTACTACAAGGCTTGTGTTATGGAATACTAGGGTAATGGATAGAATTCATATTATATTATACTGATACATCTGAGTATTTTTAAGTAGAAATATCGCACCTTTAGAATTGAAGTGACCTAATCCAAAATTCTTGTTTTTTATTAAACGCTAAAAATGTGATTGACATGTTGGCCATTTTTTGTTTTTCTATTATAATGCTATAAGTTGTACGTTTATTATCATATTTTTTATTGTTAATGGTAGGATAGGAATTGTTTTCACGATTATTTACTAAACCAGTCTGTATAACTAATAAGAACCTTTGTTAATTAATCATCAAAAAAAAACATGTCACTTATTTTCCGAAAACAGTTTATTATAATTGACTTATTTCACTGTGTGCCCATTTTTTACTAAACAACATGAAACAAAAACGTAACTATTTAATAAAGAGGCGAGTCATTTTTCTAATGTTATATATTTGATAGATGACCAATTTTGTAATATGCTAGTTTAATAATTAATGATTTTCTAAATTAAAGGAAAATGATATTAATGTCCACGCAACACTGAATGGGGTACTTCAATACTAAGGAAGGTGCGGTATTCATGTCATTTCAAAGAGACGGAAATAGTACGTTTGTCTTCTTCTGGCCTAAAAGAGCCTGTTTATTATTAATAAACTGATAGAATACATGTTTTTATGTCGTTTCACGTTTAAAAGTCGATTTGCTATTTTTTTTATTTAAGTCACTTCAGTTCTAAATGTGCAAATTCCATGACTTAGGAATTAAAACTAGTTTTCATCATACTCACATTTGCCACACCAGGATTAGAACCCGGGACCTCTGAGTAGGCGACGCGACGTCTTGAAACCGGCGCATACATACCACTCCCTCACGGAGAACGTCAAATTTTATCACACAAGAGGTCCAATAAGGAGTCGTAATGAAGTAACTTGCGTTTGGCAGGTAAAGCTGCTGCACTAGCCAGGTTTCCAATCGTACAAATAAAAGAGTCTCGACCAACATCTAAAGAGTCTCTCGCTAGATGGTTGGGTCACGGGGCAGATGTTTGCACCAGTACTGGACACGGCGCGCATCGTCAGGCGGTTTCTTTCCCTTATACGAGGTTTCTGGTCTTCCGTGCGAGGTACGAGAACTAAATACATCTTGTACAATTATGAGTCTGAGTATCATACTGAGTCAGGGCAGTCAGGGCAGCAACCTAAACCTATTAGAATTTATCGTTATCATAAATGACCTGCCAGAAGTGGTCAAGGATGCTTAATGTCTACTTTTGAAATTGTTGTGGGCCGTAAAGGACCGCGAGGATTGTGAACCGTTACAACGAGACATTGACAGGGTGGTGGAATGGAGTCGAAAGAATAAACTGCAGTTTAATATTAACAAATGCTCCATAATATTTTTCAGTAGAGCACAAACTCCTCTCTACTTTGACTACAAAATGGACCATTCAAAATTACATAGGACCGAAACAGTCAGAGATTTGGGAGTGCAATTACATCACAAATTAAATTTTAAAGATCACATTACAAATACCTTTTTTTTTTGGTGTCTGGAAAATGCCTTACGCATCCTTCAACCTCTGGGGGAGCGAGTATGTGGGACTCCTCCCTGTCCTCTTCAGCCAGCCCTGGAGCTCGCTGATGTGAACAGGGCCCTACCTACGCCCTGCACAGGGCCACTAAAAACCAGACAATACTCCTGCACCGTCACCCGACACGCACTATGAGGACCGCGGTCCCCCTAGTGCATACCGAGAGGGCGGGTGTGGTCGCGGAACCCGTCTCCGAATGGCCGCGCAAACACATTACAAATACCTGAAAAAAGCAGACAGAAGTTTGAGTTTCGTTTTGCGTCAGTCATTAGGTTTTACGAATATGAAAGCGATTGTGGCCCTAATTAAAGCGCATATACGAAGTCGAAGCTCGAATTCGATAGTATGGTCTTCATGGTCTTCGCCTCTGACGCGAACAATACACACGCTTATTGTAGATGCCGAGTCTATCGATTTGTTCAACTGTTCAATAGGGATAATGACGGGGTACAGTAAACGAAATTCTATTTAGTCCGTCAGTTAGATGGTCAAAAAATACTGGACACGTATTTTTTCTTTGGACAATCAACCAAAAAATTACAAAGTTATAGCGCGTCAAAGTTTGGGAGTAGGGGCTCGTGACGTGAATTTTCCCTTATAAGTGTACTCAAACGTGACGTCATACGACTTTTAAAATCAATATATCTCTGCAATGTTTATATTATGTGAAAAAAGAAAAAATACGTGTCCAATACTTTTTGATAATCTACCTGATAAACGAAGAAAAAAAATTCGTCATCATCCCTAGTGGCGAGTTTACGAAAGTGACTTTGAAAGTGTTGTGCTTTAAATAAAATTATTGACATTTTAGTGTAATATATTTTTTATGTATTTGAGTAATGTATTATGAATTTTGGATTTTATTAACAATTATATTTTAAGTTTTTAAAGTGAAAACTTCTTTAGCGGCGTATTTTACCGTATTATAATAATAAGATTAATAAGTCTCTATCTAGGACGTCCACTTGGCAGCTTTATTGCGAAGAAAATGCATTTTTTTTACAATAGATGTCGCTAGGGCGCTTACATGTGATTCATGTAAGTTGATTTCTTCACAATAGATGTCGCTAAGTGCGCTTAAACGTGATTCATGTAAGTTGATTTTTCTGAGAGATATTTTTTTTTACTGTGATATCATGTTTATGTATGATAGCGCAATAAATAAATAATGTATTCTACCACATACATGATAGTACTTTTATACTGATAATTAAAGCAATTAGTGCAAAATTATTCCCTAACTTATCTTATCTTTTTTACTTTTTAGTTCCATTTTCGATTTCGAAGTCGGTTTTATTTTTTGTTTAAATTTATGTTGTACTAGTATTAACCTGTTTCACATAAAGCAGAGTAAACCTAACACATTTTGTATTACTAGAGTTTAGTTTCAAATTATTTACCGTAACCTAATAAAGGACTTGAGAGAGAACACAATTTACTTCGTTATAACAATCATTTCCTCTTCTAACTTTAAACACTAAAGAGGTGTCATCAGCAAATAGTCTCACACAAATCTCTGGTGAAGTGAGTAAGTTCATTGATATAAATAAGGAAAAGCAATGGGCCTAATATTGAACCCTGAAGCACGTTCATAGAAATGGGTGCTCCTGAAGATTCAGCTTCATTTAAAACTATTTTCTGAATCCTAGCAGAAAGATAAGACTGTATCAGTACATAGTGTACTTAGTGAAATGTTTGATAGATCATAATGCCTCATATATTAAACAATGTTTCGTGGCTAACGCAGTCAAACGCCTTTTATACGTCACAAAAAGCACCAACAGCGTCATGCTTACTCTTCCAATTATCTATACAAACCAGTCACTGCGGTGTTGGCAAAAGTTTCTCAGGTAACTCAAAATTCACGGTGTATTAATTAATATGTGCAATTTGGGTATATGATGTCTCATTAGCTGTATTGAAACAAACAAAACTGAAAACTGAAAACGCTGATTCATAATGTACTTTGTAAGTTGTGCCGAAAACAAACAAATGATTTTCCGGAACTCTAATAGGGCGAGGCCAGACTCGTGCTTGGCCATTTTTATACTTATTTGCCCTATCAGTATATCAGAAGTACGAAATCAAAGCCTTTATTTATATTTCATAAATCTACTCTTGATTGCTAAAGATTACTTTATTTACCCAATGTTTTGTGATATAATGCGTGTCGCAATTCGCAACATTTAAGACAATTTGATCTCTATAACGTATGCTTAGGGTTACTTTTACGATGATGATAATTTTAATCGATGCTCGTAGAATTATGAGCGCTTCTGCATATGCTTTTTCAGTTCATACTTACCTTTTCAATTGTACTGAAGTGATGTGAGCTTTCAACAAAATGGCTCAGGAAACCAATGAAAAGAAACAATTAAAAGAGATACTCGATAATGAAGAGAAAATGAAAAGTAAGTCATTATTTTCATAAGTTATAAATATATTCTATTTTAGTAAATCTTTTGTATTTAAAAAAATGACTTTTGCAAATCCTATTAAAAAAAACCCATACTGAAAGGAAAAATTAGTTTAGACTGGATAGCTAAAATGTCAATTGATATATTTTTTACATGAATGCTGCAATTGATTTAGAAGAAGCCAATGCATAAACTATCGAATTTATTGTACATCACATTGAGCAAATTGGAGCGTCCGTTTGGGGAAGCAACCTGTACCTTACAGTAGACCACAGTAAACCTTTTCTTGGTGTTGCGTTTCTGCTGGTGAGTAGGGTTCCAGGGCTCCGTGTGGGTAGGGAGGTGGGTTCAGGCCGGCAAGGTGAAGATGCCTGAAGTACCACATCTGCCGCAACCAGACTCCACTTCCACTTAACATCAGGTGGAGTGGGGTAATTTGTTGCGCCTCGTATAAAAAAGGTCTATTATATCAATGTTCCAGTCGAAACTGGCAAGAAGCGTTGTGAATAGTTCAAGTTTAAATAAAACAAAACTCTGATGACGCAGCCTTGAAAAGGATGGAAAACGCCAATAAATTAATAAATCAGTGCATCTATACCGTTGAAAATTGTTTTTTTTTTATGAGTGGTGTGCGTGAAAATCTAAAACACCAATAAGTTCAAGTTTAACTTCACTGCACTCTGTAATAAAATTCCGTCATGATCCTTTAGATACAGAAACCTAATTACAGCGTTGATACCATAATCGAAGATCGAATCCGAATTTGCCTACTTATAATTTTGCACTTTGCTTAAAAGTATTGGAGTTTACTCCTTAAGAATCGATTTGCATATATAAGGGGCCCGGTATGAGAAAAATGTGAGGAGTAAAATCTATCGATGAATGACCTCGTTACGTTTTTGGTGCGCATCCTATGTCGCACAACTTTGACAAACAAAGATGACGGATTGACATTAATATTTTTTTTTAAATCTGAACTGAATTTAGTTATTGTTTCTGATAGAGCAATGGGGACAACGAGGTATGGTACAACCATTGATGCGGTATTTTCAAGATTCGTGAACCACGTATCTACGAACGTCCATGTCTTATTTTAGTTACCATAAACCACTTGTCACTGTAATTAATAATGCAGACAATGTTGATTTAATTAATATTTAAAAAAATGATAATAGTCTGATAATAAAAATTACATAATTTATCAACATTCCTAATGATATATTTATGCACATCTGAAATTGACTATTGTAAAAAGTTTAATGTAAAATATTTCGTCAATTAGTTATAATAAATGTATATGAAATGAATAAATATATATTTAGATTATTTTCATTAATTTGTTAATTTACCCTTTCATACAGTATCAATCTTTTTTAAGTTAAATAAACTCTTTTTGCGTCTGGTTAGACTATCGAACTTAAGGAGTAAACTCCAGTCGTGCGTCGGAGCTGACACACATAATTTTTTTTATCATTTATTTCTTGTTGAGCAATTCACATCATATTCCGAAAGACATATAACTTAACAAGGTTGAATAAATCATTAGTTTTTTATCTACTTATAGGTCAAGTAGTACCCAATATTAACAAAATTGGACATACAAATCCATGTTCGCACCAAAATTGTGAGAGGTTCTTTGTAGGTAATAAGCAAATCATGCATGATAGAAAAATTATGAAAATCCTCAATTTGTTATAATTTTTAAAAGGTTGCTGATAACTGTTGTTTCTAGCATAAGTAAAGGACATTGCGCAAAATTGTATGGACGCTGCACCCACGTCCGCCACGGCTTAAACTACATTTGTTTGAAAGGTATCATAGTCATGATCATCTACAATCATTTACCAAAACGCATCAAATTCCATCCCGGGGGTCTTTAGTTATTTTAAGTTAAATAGGTACAAGTACTATAACGAACGAACATGAGTGAAACAAGGAAATTAATTTAGTTAGTTAGTTCGACCCTACATAGAGGGTAATATGGGTTTACTTCACAAGGTGCGAGGGTGCTATGCCCTTATGTTATTCTGCCGCGCTAAAGTAAATCCAAAAATCCCCGCATGGGTTGGGGTTTTTTCAAAAAGTCTGTTCGTTATAGTAAATTGTCTTCTATGTAAAACGGAGCGTCCACAAATCACACAAACTTCGGAGAAAACATGCTGCCAGTTCATCCATACGGAATATTATTATGGTTACTAATAATATAAAATGAAGGAACTATAAAATTAATTTATTTAGCTACTTAAATATGCACATGTGTCATATCTTTTGACTACCAGGATATTTTTTACGGTGTCATACCTCTTGACTACCGGGATATTTTTTTACGGTATCATATTAAAAGTGGCTAGTTTTTCATAGATCTATCGATTCATACTAATAACATTGTTGGCGGAGTTAGGTGTGTTTTGCCCATTTTCCTTTGCAAATCTTAATTATAACAACAATGACTAATATGTTGATTGCAGAACTGTTGCAGTGAGAAAATAAATAATTATAAATCTATGATCCTACCATAAACCCACATGTTTGTCCTGTCTCGTATTTTTAATGTACATCAATGATTGCTGGTATTGTGTCATTTTTAACCTTCAAATAACACTGACACTCATAGTATTCTACTAATTTTAATTAGTGCGACAGTTTGTACATTTGTTACTCAATCACGCGAAAATTTGGTACACACTTAGTTTATTACCTAGGTTGAGTTATAGGATATTCTTAATCCTGGGAAAAGGTTAGGTCTTATAGGTTTTTCCAGAAAACTAAATTTTGAATTAAACTAGCATGTTATATCTAACTAACCGAAATAATAGTAGGTACCAGTTACTATGGTCCATCTTTTTTTGTGGAATTATACGGTTTAAGATCTTTATTCTCATAAAGAATTACAAAATTCACTTACCATGAGAACATAACATATTTTAAATATTAATTTAGTTTAATACGGAGATACATTGAAGTGAGGGGGTAGAACTAAAAACAGTGTCATTGCTCATTCATTACGTTTGGGGAATAGATTTTTATGGTTTACAAATAAAGAACTCTGAAGACAGTCGTACACTAGTACGACGCGGAGCTATGTACTAGAAGTGGCTTGAGTTGCGTGTGTTAGGAGTTTAGTGTGTAATAATTTATATTTCTTATATTGCCAGTTCAACACCGCTATTCATATTTTATTTGATGCAGTCATATTATCACGGAAAAACCTAGTAGTATTTTTTTCAATAACACTTATTCGTCTATTTTATTTTGATGAGTTTGGTATATTAATAACTTTATTTATTACTTTTATTGATTTTTGTTTTTTTATTAGTTAATTCTTTTTATACTGTTTTTTTGTGATTTATAATTTTATACGGAGAAATTCATATTATATAAATATGTAGACATATCGAAGAATATTTTTGTAGTTTTATCTATTACAAGGTAATATAATTATTAATATATATACAATCTACAATAACATACAATCGAGTAATCAATTATGTTGTTCTCTAAGTCGCTTTTTAAAGTCTAAAATTGTTTGTGATTCTTTTATGTCTTTAGGGAGTTCGTTATTTAATACAGCTCCTTCACACAAAAGGCTTTTTTTACCATAGTTAGTCCTAGGTGCATGTTAAATAAGGTCATTAGCATCTCTTAGCTTAATTTTTAGGATTTGTCTCTATTTAGTGAAGTTCATTTGAGTGTGAATATCCTTTGTTAATATTTTACGAATCAATAAACATGTGAAATAAACATACGATTTGGACAATCATTTAGCAGTTTCGTTTCTCCGTATAATTTCTTAGTTGGCGTGAGATAATCATAGTCAAAGAGAACCTTTATAATTTTATTTTGGGCTCGTTGAACTGGGTCCAAGTTACTCTTTGCAGCAGCACCCCAGACCTCAATCAGATAATCTATGTGAGGTTCCACGAAATAATTGTATGTAAGGTAACGCATCTTATATGGAAAACATCGTGATATTCCTCGAAGAGTACCAGTTATAGTGGATAATTTTGATTTAATTTTCTCTATGTGCGGTTTTCATGAAAAAATGCTATCAAGAAGCAGGCCGATGTACTTTTCACAATTCGAACTTTAAATTTTTTGGTTATTTATGCTTAGTGGTTTAAAATCTGGTATTTTTTTAAATATAATTTAGTTAGTTTTAGATATATTGATTTTCAGTAGATTATATTGAAACCAATGATGCAATGCGTCAAGATGATTTTGAGCATCTTCAATAATAGTATTAATTGACCTTCCGAAGTAGAATAAACTTGTGTCATCGGCATATAAAGTTACGTCTCCTCTTAAGCCTATTTCACTTATGCTGTTTATGTAAATAAGAAATAACAAAGGATCCAAATTCGAGCCCTGGGGCACGCCGTATGTTACAGGTTTTTACTGGCTCTAGAAATTACCAATTTTAACTACTTGAATGAGATTTGTTAAGTAGAATTTTATCATTGCGTATGCGATACCCGTAATGCCAATATGTTCCAGCTTAATCAAAAGCAGATCATCACTCACTCACGGTATCGAACGTTTTTTTTAGGTCAATGAATATGCCTAATATAATATGATTTTTATCAATCTTAGTTTTTATTTTAGTGGTCAAATCTAACGTTGCTGATAAGGTTGCTTTGCGCCTAAAAAAGAAAAGTTTTCAAGACGGTTATATAATAATATTTTCTCAAATACCTTAGAGAGCACTGGGAGAACTGGAATTGGTCGGTAATTGCCAGGGTTGGATTTATTTCCAGATTTTTGTATAGGAGTGACTTTCGCAATTTTGAGACTACAGGGGAAGACACCAATTTCAAGACACTTATTTATACATTTTGTGAGCTCAGGAACAATAAGCACTTAATAGATTTAGTGTTTATGCCATCTATATCTGACGTTATTTTTAAGTTTAAATTATTAATAATCTTAATATATATTGGGAATATCAAAAACTCAAATATAGCTTGTAAACACTAACCTACGTTTAATAAATTAAATTCTAATTCTGCTCTGATTAGGTTATGGATGGGGCGTGAGACACTTGCAGATTGCCTGCATGACCCTGAACGTGGTGTGTCTGATCATAGCACGAGCAGGCATGGGCATAGCAGTCCTGGCCATGTCCGAGACTCAACACCAAAACAATGGAGAAATCGAAGTATGTACCCAGTTAAAATCGGTAGATTGTTAATATGAATTTGCTATTAAAGATAAAAAAGAATTCAAAATGTTATCCAATCAAATTTGGTCCATGAAAAGATTGAATATTTTGGAACACAAATATCATCTCCAAGCAACGGTTTAAAAATTTTTTTTGACAAAACTTGCTAGTCGACTTTATAAAAACAAACAATCACCATTAAATATCTGAAGTACATTCAAAGTGCAATTTACATTTAGTGTCATGCTTCTTCGCGAAGAAGCTTCGTTTGGCTTTGATACTAAATGATTAATCAAAAATGTAAACGGAGGTTATTAATATCCGCTTATACATAAATTAATAAATAAATTCAGATTTTCAGCGATTTTTATTGAATTTGTTTTAAATTTTTATGAGTGAGTCTTTTTAAGTATAATATTAGATGTATTTTGAGATATTTTGTACCAAGGTACAAAATTGGGCAATAATCGAAGGTTACCTTTGGATTTGCTCTGTTGTAACGAATTATTAGGCTGCGTGTTTAAAGACGATAGACGATAATTTGACACCATAAGAAAAGCTGTGGGAGACAGCAAATTCGTATATGCAGCTAAAATAAGTGTTCAAAGTTCAAACTCTTGTTTTAGCGCATTTTAGTACCAAAGCTTAGTCATGCAGGTATAGGATAAGCATCAGCGTAAACCCAAGTGGTGAATGGCAACCCAGACATGCCATGCATGACACCGACTTCGATCTCGAACTATGCAAGATGACCTAGGTACATTTACTTTGGGATGATCCGAAAATTATATATATTACTAGCTGACCCAGCGAACTTCGTACCGCCATAAAAAAATTAATTAAAAAATCATTGTCCAGCGGACAAAATTGTGAATCTAAACCATTCTCAGATCCCCTTGAACACACACAAAAAATTTCATCATAATCGGTCCAGTCGTTTAAGAGAAGTTCAGTGACATACACACTCACAGAAGAATTATATATATAAAGATAAGCTGCATAAGCTTTCCAGATAGAGCAAACACAACTACCAACGCAAATTAACAAATAGGTACAGTTCATGTATTTAGAAAGTGATAAGATAAAATTAAGTACAGCTTTTGTCTCGTTGATTTTTCTGTCATGGGTTAAATTATCGTGGCATTGGGTCAGTGTACTCATAATAGGAAAAATTATCTTCACACAGCAAGCACATTTGAACAGCATTGCATAAAATAATTAAACATCGCATTTGCACATGACTTCAAGTGACTCTTTCAATTGCGATACCCTACACTACAGGGTCCATAATGCACTTTTTATCTGTTAATATTACCACCTTTGTATCTCCATTCTGGTCTGCAATAAATGAATTGAATTGAATTGAATTAACATTACTATCGCCGTAAATAAAATTTGCAAACAGGTGGCGTAGTTTTTCGACATTCGTAAGTGTTTGTAACAGCTAGCCGAGAATGAATAAAGATATTGGATTTGAATCAAAGGTGCTATGTTTGATTAAAAATATGTTTTTGTTGTTGAGAATAAATAACAATCTATAATTTAAGTAATCACTTTGTAAACCGTTATAACATAAGACGCAAACAATTGTGATTTTACCAAAATCTTGAAGTTTTGATCCTTTACAGGCTTCTAGTTTACAAGATTTATACCTTTCAAATACCTGTTCAAAAAATGTTATTATGATTTATGATTGGCATACGATAAAACATAGCAAACGAATTAATGGCAATCTGTAAAATAATTCGCACAGATAACAATTTAAAACCTTTACCTTCTTTTGTGGAACAAAATCTGTTGACATTAGAATATTCGTTGTATAATGCGATTCAACTAAGAATAGGACCCATATTGTGATGTCATAGCTGTCAATTCAAACGAAAAAGGTAGAGTGAGCAAAAAAAGTTTTTATTTAATAAAACTTATTTACTAAGGTTATGTGAGAAAAAGCATCAGATGTTTTTAATAACATTTATTTACTAAGATTGAGAAAACAAACCCACCGATTTTTAATAATATTTATTTATTAAGACTGTGAGAAAAAACATTAATCAGAATCTAGCTCTTCTATTCCGCTCATCTCTGCATTACCGCCGGAGTAGTTATGAATAATCATGCACTATTACTGGGTCACATACGAACATGCATCCTTTAAGTAAACGAAAGTTTAAAATTGAGTTTCTAACCGCAACTTTAAGTGACATTTGGTTGACGATATAGGTTATCAACCATTCATAGCCAAAGCTCAATAAGTGAAAAAAAATATCATCCGATAATAATTATCAATATTTGTTATTGTTTGTTTACAAATGTTTGGTTTTTATTCTTGAATTAGTGGAGTGCTAGAAAAGGGTTCCAAGTTTTTTTGCAAACCGTACTTTTCAAGTGACATTTGACAGATAGAGGTCATTGGCTTTCCTATTCTTATTTGAATCGCATTATATTTATAGATGTAAATATTAAATACCAAGCTCACGAAATGTATCATTTCATTTTGGGCTTTTTTTCTGAATTATCATTAACGTTCAAGTAAGCCATGTAATTGAGTCAATCAATCGGAACCTGTACAGAATTTCTTGATTTGTATTTAACTTCTTTTTGTAATTTTTTGCAGGTCTACGATTGGGATAAACAGACACAAAGTCTTATATTATCGTCCTTCTTCTGGGGTTACGTGGTGATGCAAGTACCGGCGGGTATAGTCGCTAAGAGATTTGGTGGCAAACCAATCCTTTTGTTCTCTCTGTTGTCAAACGCGATATTATGTCTTTCGGTGCCATCACTAGCTGCATGGGTAAGAATTTAAATAAAAATCTTAAAGCCGTAAAATACTCCATACAAACAAACAGTATCTCGGCAAAAATCAAAACGCAAAGGTAAAAAAGGAGAGACTTATTATTCTTTATATTTTATATACAAATAAAAAAATCGCTGTTATCCTTGGTGACGTCATGATTTTTCTAAAATTTTCTGACACTCTGAAATACTTTGTGGAAGGCAGGGCTTGTTTACCGGTTAATTTTCAAACCTAAATCAGTGTCAAGTACTTTTTATTTAGGTTTGGCTTGGCTCTACCTTAACCTTAAAAAAACCGGTTTTTCTAAAAAGCGAAATCATATTTAGTGGTTTTTAACGGGTTTCGTTTCGCTCTTACTGACGACTGAAATAAATACACAACTACAAAATTAATAACTTGACTCGCTAGACGCTAGCAAACGTGTCAATAAATGCATCAATCTCTGCGCATTAACAAGTTGTGACTTGATTAGTTCAAACAAACTTCAAGCGATGCCGACGCGTGCACGTGTCGCTCTGGATTAAACTGGTTTATCAAGGTTTTAGGTACCGCTTTCATTTCGGACGCGCTCCGAACGAAACCTTTACTAAAAACCGGTATTAACCTTTATTTACCGGTATTTTTGAAACCGGTTACAAGCCCTGGTGGAAGGTTCTGAAGTTAAAACGGGATGAAGCCAATGGCTGAAGCAAGTAAGTAATAATATTTCAGTCCGGAGTACAAAGCCACTTGTGAAAGTTTTAAATTCAATTTAATGGTTCGCTAACCGTACAAAGAAGCAAAACATACATAATTATTGAATACAAATTCCCTTTGTCAGAAAATCGATGCAGATTATAGTAAAGTGCTATTGTTGAATAATGTCATTTAATATAGGTAACATCCATTACGTTAATAGAAAATGTTGAGCATAATTCATTTAAAGCTGAAGCTCTTTGACGTTTCAAGTATTCTACCAATTATTTCGAGTTCTAAACCTAAGACGAGAAACGTTTTCTGAGAAAAGTTTTTTGGATCTGTAAAAATTATAGTTTATTGTGTAGACATATTGAGTTTTCTTTGTACGCATGTAATGATTTCACGTCGAAAGTGATGAAGCGACTGTATTAAATTTTGGATACAGAGAGATGGAATCCTGGAGATGGTTACATGTTACCTTTTTTAGTGGAATTAAAGCTGGAGGTTGAGGAGGGGGGTATTAAATTTTGTATGTGAAACCACACATATTACATACCGCATTATACATACACTAGCAAACCAGTGAACCAAATGTTCACCAAAAAAAAAAGTATTTAATTAATTGAGAACTTCGGAGATTTTGTGTGGTTTCGTTTGAAATAGAAATCACGTGATTTCTCGAAAACCGGAAGTGCTATGTTACTCACATCCGGTTTGTAGTCTTATCAGACTATTCTTAACTTATAACTTAAACATTCTCTATATCTATCTCTTACGGTTTGGCCGCTGAAACAGCACCACGGACGGACGGACGGACGGACGGACGGACGGACTTGTCTAATAGATAAGAGATATGACACATACAAGGTATGGTAGGATGATAGAGCATCGTGGAAGGGAGAATCAATAAATAAATATTTCCAATACTCACATCAATTAGCCTAGCCCCAAAGTAAGCACTGTAGGCTTATGTTATGGGAATCTAGGGTAATGTATAAAATACATATACTGATTTATATAGAAACTAGCTATTCCAACGAACTTCGTACCGTCATAAAAAATAGGGGTTGGTGGTAGAACGGTGAAAATTTAGGGTTGTATGTATTTTTGTATGATGAATCATAACAAAATAAAAACAAAAAAAAATGTCCAAAAAGAAAACTTTAAGGGTGAACCACCCTTTACATTTAGGAGGATGAAAAATAGATGTTGTCCGATTTTCAGACCTACTGAATATGCATATATATATATATATATATATATATATATATATATATATATATATATACAAAAAAAACACGTAAATCGGTCGAGTCGTTTCGGAATAGTTCAATTACGCACACCGTGACACGAGAATTTTATAAACATATTAGATACATATTAAACATCCACCACTGGAGTACAAATGCTCGTATTCATCACACAGACATCTGCCCCCCACCGGGAGTCGAACCCGGGTTCTCTCGAGTAGACGACACATTGAAACCCGGTGTATAAACGGACGTCGTCTTTATATACTATTCTGCCATTTTTTGCTATTGGGAATATTTTTATCCGTGCGGTGACGGAGAAAGAATACCACTCACTGCCCCTTCACTTCCCGCGGGTGTCGTAAGAAGCGACTGAGGGATATCTAACACCCGCCTGGTTTGTTACCACCGTACGCATGGTGAAGAACCCGTGAAGACAACCAGAGCTCGAGTGGAGATTGCCGCGAGGAATTCGGTCCAGTGGAGGCATCCGTCGAACCGATGCCGGGAAGACTGCATCGACCCACCGGCCAGGGAGACGCGTAGAAACGGCTGTCCCGCTGGTCGCCCGTGGCACAGTACCGGGGCCCGTGCGTTCCTAACCAGTTCGCTAGGCTGCCTTATTATGTCAAGTATAATCTCGGGGTGGACCGTCGTGCTGGGTGGTAAGATGTGCCTAGGCCGACGGAATCGGAGGGATAAAAATGTAATACTTTGGAAGGTTTTTGTTTTCCGGTCCCATGTGCATCGTAGTGGGTCCAATGTTCCTTTATGAATAAATATGTAAAAGACTGGTAAATATCGTGATGATGATGACTGTATAAACTTAGATTAAAACAAAAAGGGTAGATACGGCACTAGCCTCACTAAAGTGATCCGCACCAATTGTGGTCCACGACCCTAATCGCTTTAGTCACAACTTGACATGCAAACGACGTACATGTGAACGCCAAAAAGAAATATTGCTAATATGTTGTGTTTATATGATAAAACAATGCGTAAGTGTGTTTTTAAAAAGTGCTCAAATTGCTCAAGAACTAAAAATAAAACCCATGGCATCACTTTTCATTCGTAAGTACTATAAAATATATTTTTTCATAAAAAATGCTGTTTTGTTTTGAATCTTATTCGGTAGTGACGTCGAGTACTGGTCGCGTGATTGGTCGGTAGTGCAGTGACGCGGATCTCGCCGTCTCATTCGCGCTGCCGTTGAAACTTAACGTGCTGTTTCGCTCGGGTCGGTAATGCAGTGACGCGGATCTCGCCGTCTCGTTCGCGCTGCCGTTGAAACTTAACGTGCTGTTTCGCTCGGGTCGGTAATGCAGTGACGCGGATCTCGCCGTCTCGTTCGCGCTGCCGTTGAAACTTAACGTGCTGTTTCGCTCGGGTCGGTAATGCAGTGACGCGGATCTCGCCGTCTCGTTCGCGCTGCCGTTGAAACTGAACGTGCTGTTTCGCTCGGGTCGGTAATGCAGTGACGCGGATCTCGCCGTCTCGTTCGCGCTGCCGTTGAAACTTAACGTGCTGTTTCGCTCGGGTCGGTAATGCAGTGTCGCGGATCTCGCCGTCTCGTTCGCGCTGCCGTTGAAACTTAACGTGCTGTTTCGCTCGGGTCGGTAATGCAGTGAACTGGATCTCGCCGTCTCGATCGCGTTGCCGTTGAAACTTAACGTGCTGTTTCGTTTGGGTCGGTAATGCAGTGACGCGGATCTCGCCGTCTCGTTCGCGCTGCCGTTGAAACTTAACGTGCTGTTTCGCTCGGGTCGGTAATGCAGTGACGCGGATCTCGCCGTCCCGTTCGCACTGCCGTGGTATCAGTTTTTGTTTGATGCAAGTATGAGCGTACCGTATCTACCCTTTTTGTTTCAATCTAAGTGTATAAATAAATTACATGCTTATTTTCGCAGTATGAAGCCATTAGAGGCTAATCCGTCATAATATCGATACGATATGAATAAATACAGCCGTTGTTTGTTTCATTTTTTCTGACATGAAAAATGATGACTGAAAAGTTCGACTTACAATGACCTTCAATATATGGAAGGCATTGGCGTCTTAAAACAAGGCTCTTTTCTTAATATTTGCAACCTCATGACAGTGATTGGTCGTTTTCTTTTTTTTTATTCAGTCGCAAAGTAAGCATTGTGTCAGAGGACTTCGCATATGTTTGATATCAATGTAAATATCTTAAGTACTTGTATTAAATGACGGTAACACAATACCTAGACTCAGGATGATAAAATGCCTTTTTTTGACTTAAAATTGAACCTGGCATGTACGCCTTTTCCCATACTGGTTTACAAGGTAAAATATTGAAAAACAAAATGAAATTTTAAATTTAAAAAGTTACTAACTTTTTATCACACTATCACACTAATATTATAAAGGCGAAAGTTTGTGAGTATGTGAGTGTGTATGTTTGTTACTTCTTCACGTCTAAACGGCTGGAGCGATTTTAATAAAATTTGGTATAGAGTTAGCTGACACCCTAGATTAACACATAGGCTACTTTTATCCCGAAAAAATGCTAGGTTCCAAAGGGATTTTCAAGAAACTAAGTTAACGCAGACGAAGTCGCGGGCGACCTCTAGTGCTTACATAAAAAATAAACGAAATATTAAAAGATTAAAAGTCTTGTCAAGAGCTTGTAGGAAATTCTGCAAACTTTAAGGATACTTTCCAAACGTTTACTTAAAATTTTCATCAGGGTGGATGGATGCTAGTATGTGCTGCCCGCATCACTATGGGCTTGACTCAAGCTTGCTTGTTTTCGTCTACGCAAACGCTGATCGGACAATGGCTGCCGGACAGCGAGAGAACCAAATACACTGGGGTTGTATTCGGAGGTGAACTTCTTTTTTGTTTATACATTTTACTACCTCACCTGAAAACTTAAAAAAAAGAGCTTACTCCCTCCATAAAGGCCGACATCGCATCTGTGATAGTCCTGGTGTTGCAGGTGTCTATGGCCGACAGTGATCACTTACCATCAGGTGAGCCGTCAAATCGTACGCCTCCTATAATATAAAAAAATATATAGGTGGTTTTCCAATTACAGAGCATAATGCGACTCAGTGGCGCACAATGCCGAATTATGCTGATGCTTAATTGGAACGTGAATAAGTTTTCAAATGCACCAGCAGAGTGCGCTAAGTTCAGTGTTGAAAAAAAAGTCAATGTTTGTACCTTCATCCATATTTATATTAAATTTTTAACACAGTTTGAATTAACTTTGATTATTTAAAAAAAAACTATTATGATGAAACGAAAGTTTTAATAATTTTTCAACAATAAATAATATTACTAACGATAACATATAAATAAACCATTTCGATCAATGCCAACTTATGTTAGAAAAAACACTTGTTAATTTTCTGTCTCTGAGTTGGTACGATTGCACGCATCACACGAAAGCATTACTTTTGAGAGTGCTCAATTGTGCGAAGCGTTGCTGTAGTTGGAACACTCAACGTTAAGCATTATGCCGCATAATGCGCTATAATGCTGTAATTGGAAAGCTACCATAACCACCTCTAAATAAAAATAAAAAAAAACAATATAAAAGCGTAAAGTCTGTCAAATTCAAAACAATTAATTCCAAAAGCTTCTATTTGATCTAAATATTTGGACTTCCACAGGGATGCAATTTGGGACCATTATTTCCATGCCCATGTGTGGTTATCTTGCTGAAACCGGATTGGGATGGAAGCTTATTTTTTATGTAACTTCCATTATTTTGATCGCTGATGCGGTTATTTGGTACTTCCTCGGTGCTAGCAATCCAAGGGAACATCGATGGATCACTGCAGAAGAGAAAAAGTACATAGAAGCTGGCCTGAATGTTTCAGAGTCGGTAAGAATATTACAATATTCAATTTATATCATACAGTATAAGTCACACGTAACTGTCATGAAGGAAAATAATAATTATGTACATATTCATTCCAATTATTTAATAAAAGTAAAGGAAAGAACAAAGAGTCGAAAGGGTGAAATTCTGCCCCTTATCAGCTGAGACATCATTATGTCATAGTTATTTCCTTTATATAAAAGTAAAATCGATTTCAAAAGTATTAAAAATATTTACAATGTAAGATTTATGCCAGGAATGCCCTGGCGTAGTTGAGAGCAATTGAAGTTAATGTTTAGTCACACTTAATATAAATAACACTATTTGTATTTATACTGTATGACACAGCAATCAAAATGCAGGAAAACAATTAATGTATATTTAATAATTATGTAATGAAAGGTGACTTCATGAATCATCTTTGAAGTCATTTTTCAATTTGACGACTCTGTAAAAAATAAAACAGGGAGAAAAAAACAGCCCTTGCTGAGTTTCTTGCCGGTTCTTCTCAGTACAAGGTCTCCCGCCGTAGATTTACGAACCGATGGCGTAGCTTCTAGACATTCATGAGTGCTTGTAACAGCCTAAACTGAATAAATGATTTTGATTATGATTGATTATGATTAGAGAACATCAAAGATGCGGTAGTTTCAAAATATTTTAATACAAAAATGTACCTTAACCACGCCATATGTGGCACAAAAAAGTTTTCCGGAAACCAAAGTGACAGGTAATCTGCCCGTCGCTTACAATTTCTGAATATTTTTGATGTGAAAGGGGTGGCAAAAGCATATGGCCTGACTGATGGTAAGTGGCCACCATAAAGGTGCTTGCGACACAAAAAAGTCTGACTCGCGCCGATGCCTACCCCAAACCAGTCACCTACCCCGTGGAGCTAGTTAAAGCAGAGCCGAGATAGGAGGTTAAACAAATACTTTATTTTATAACTGAACCTATAGGTACAACTATTGGCAGCTCCGCGATGGAGGCCGGTTGATATAATAATGAATCTAATAAAATTAAATATTGAACGGATGTGTGTTGCAGTGTCAGCGATTCAACGTATGTGGATATTAATCTGCTGACACTGTAACATGAATATAAAGAAAAACAATTTTATTAAGAAATAGCAAAAAATATAGTTAAGGCTAGGACTACACAATTATATTTTAAGATAGGTATACACTAATTATTATGGGTTTTATCAATGTGCACACATATAACAAGCTCTGGAATTTATTTTACTGTTGTCTTCTGTAAGGTAAATGTTACTTCCCCAGACGTTTGCTCCAATAGGGATGATGACTAATTTATTTTCTTCGTTTATCAGGTAGATTATCAAAAAGTATTGGACACGTATTTTTTCTTTTTTCACATAATACAAACATTGCAGAGATATATTGATTTGAAAAGTCGCATGACGTCACGTTTGAATACACTCAAAAGTGACGTCACAAGCCCCTACTCCCAAACTTTGACGCGCTATAACTTTGTGTCCATTATTTTTTGATCATCTAACTGACGGACGAAATAGAATTTCGTTTACTGCACCCCGTCATCACCCCTATTCAAGCGAAAAAACCCACCATGCCCTACCCCCCGTAAAATTAGCTCATATCTTGCATTGCTGTTATGTCTTATATTGGTAAGGAAGACAGGTTCTATAATATTGTTGTGTATTTTATGAATTTTATGTGCCGTGGTAACGACAGTTATGAAAATTTCTGTGTGTTACTTTATTGTGTTGTTATCCTTTTGTTTACGATAATATTTCTTTTTCTTGTATTTTTTTTTGGTTGTTCAAAATCTTGTATCTACTATCTCGTTGTTTGTGTCAAAATAAATGTATTTTCTTTCTTTCTTTCTTATTTTCAGGAAAGACCGCCTACACCGTGGAGGCATATTTTGAGGTCGAGGGCTGTTTGGGCGCTGCTCGCGCCTCACTGCGGATTCGCCATAAGCTTCGTTATGTTCTTTGTTGATATGCCAACGTACATAGAAAAAGGATTAGGAATGTCGTTGAAAGATGTAAGTCTCATCTTTATATTTGAATTGAAGCCTGCGATTAGCAGTCAAATAATAATAAGTATAAAGATACACCCTCATATATATACGATAAAATACACGCACATTTTTAGGTACACACATACATACACTCTCTCTCACACACACACACACACACACACACATACATTAAAAAGTTTAATATCTTTAATTAAATAAACGTATTGTAATTTTGAATAATGACTTTATATTTTTTTTTTTGTTTATTGTTTGTATTGGCTTTTTTTCTGAACCTGAAAATAGGGGAAGGGCGCTGAAGCCAAAATACAGGATGAACTCCCTAGTTTGGCTGAAGATGTCATTTAATATTTAATGTAAAATTAGCCTTAGTGTAAATAGTCTTATAATAAAGTACCATGTAAGAACGTGTAATTTATTGCAAATAAACATTATTATTATTATTAAAAATATCAGAACCTTCCCCTCTAGCATGAGCATATTACACAAGAGGAAAATAGGAAACAATAGTTATTTATTATACAAGAGTGGAAAGTTCCTTTTTAACCGCGTGCTCGATTTGGATGACCGAGCAAGCGAAGGATTCTAAAGTTGAATCACGAGCGCAGCGAGTGATTCTAAATTAGAATCCTGAGCGTCAGCGAGGGAAACAAACGAGCACAAGGTGAAAAATCTTTCCACTCGAGTGCAATACGTAACTTTTCATCCCACCTCAGCGAGGAAATGACAAAATGAAAAAGAAAACAATTTATAATGACAAAATATTTTTATTTCAATTAAAACACATTAAGATAATCTATAAATTGAAGAAAATAATAAGAAGTAGAAAATAATTAAGAAATATTAAATGTAACGTTGCTACAGTTACTTATGTTAAGTTTAATATTTTTGTTAGGTAATGTTATGTTGGTGTTTGTGAATTGTGCGCTGTTTTGTGGTAAACTACTCGTATCAGTAATTTTAAATAGTTGTGCCGATTCATTGGATTCTATTGGCGTAAATGTTGGCGAGAGAGGGCTATTGTTTCCAATCTTATGGGGGCTCATTTTAGATGTAGAAGGGCGAGACCAAGAATCTGACAGAGGTTCTTTCAGCGTTATGGCCTCCACGATACTATTACAAATTTTTGATTTACTTTGGATTGAATCCTCTATGTATCCCTCTACAACCGAATTAGACTTCCAGCCTCCATGGCGCTTAAGCGATAGAAGATCAGCCCCTGATTCGGCCAAAAGTGTGGCTGAGGTTCTTCTAAAACAGTGACCGGTGTATAACGGGGGTTCTAAAAGTCCGAGAAAAGTTGCTATTTCTCGTGGAATACTGCCAATTTTATTCTGACCCATAGGTTGTCGGATACACTTTCCGTTGCGATATTGTAGAAAAAATCGTTCAATTGGGGTGTTAGAAGGACGTAAAGCTTGATATTTCTGAACAATGTTTACATATTCCTTGCGAATAACGAAGTTGCGGTCTTTTTTTGTCTTGGTATTTAGTACATTAATTAATAGCAATTCATCAGAATTATGAGAATATTTTGATACGTTATTGACATTAAGTAGTGTAAGTTCATTTGTTCGACATGCTCCGGTTATACCAATAATAAGAACAACCTGTAACAAAAGAAGTATTTATAATCGTAAATAAATTAATCAAATTAAAAATATTGTAAGTACTATGTACAATTTTATCAACAACAAAAAATTACACGTATTGACTTACTTTTGCCGCTAAATATACGGAATCAGGTGCTTCATTAATAAACTTTGCAATTTCAGATGCTGTGAAAACCTTCGATTTTTTTGGTTTATAACCAGATGAGGCTCTTTTTAAAAATGCCACTAATTTATGATAGGTGTCGATATGAACGTCTTTCTTCATCTTAATTGTTAATTTTAGCATTGAATACGTACTCCATAGCGTGCTTGCTTTCTTGGTCTCAGATAATTCTATAAAATATGCCAGCAAAACGTTTTCGGAGAAAGTTTTTGCTCCTTTAGCTAGTCGCCACATGTTAAATATATCGTACTGTTTCAAATACTTCTCTCGTGATTGCTGAGGGAGAAGGCTCATTTGCGCATTATTAACTGTTTCAGTTAACTCAGTTGGCGTTAGATAAACTTCATCGTCGCTAATGTCACTCATTTTAGTTGATTTTTTTGTACAGTTTTTAGGTTATGTTAATTATATTAAGCAATAAAACGTGAAAAACTAGAATGGCGCGAAGCACGCAAATAAAACAAAGAAACCAAGAAGGTTCCAAATTTAAATTTTTTCACAATTTAAAAAGTTCTAATCATAAATTTGGCACCATAGAGGTTACATTAAATAGGTTTAATGACGTTTTGAATTTACAATTATATTGAGTACTCATTATATGTGATGTTCTAAATTCAAATCTACTTTGCCGCTCAAGCGAATAAAATAGAATTTTCCAGCCAGATTTCGAAGCGCAAAATTACACTTTCCGAGGTGGTGGGATGAAAAAAAAATTAAAAGACTCGTCTGATTACATACTTTGTTAAAAAAACTGAAAAGAAAAAAAAAACAGTCGGGACCTATTATTGGTAAAATTAGATCCAATAAAGAATAAACAATGAGTCGACTGGTAAATTAGCTTTGTTCCTTACTAAATAGAATTCTATCCCATTTTTTTAATATTTTTTGTACAAAATTATTTTAAATGTTATTATTTGATTGAATATTGCCGTTCTATAATCACCGATTTTTACATGTGACTCGACGTTTTACTTTTTTGATATTATTAACATACATCCAATAGTATAGTATAGTATTGGACTATCTTGAGTAGCACGATAGTGCAAGGTGTCAGCGCGTTCGGCACCGATCGTTGAAGTTAAGCAACTTTCTCAGTGGTCAGTCATTGGATGGGTGACCAAAAATTTACTATCTCCAGCTCCACCGTGCTTCGGAAGGCACGTTAAGCCGTTGGTTTCGGCTGCATCTGCTGTAGTTAGCATCCGCCAATCCGCACTGAGCCCGCGTGGTCGGTCATGGTCCAATCTCCCTATTCCATCCATAAGGAAGGCCTGTGTTCCAGCAGGGGGACATTAATAGGCTGGTGATGATAATCTTAAATGTGACTTCAGACGTATGTCTGAAGTCATTTTTCAACTTGACGACTCTGTATATAACAATACAGGGAGAAAAAAACAGCCCTTGCTGAGTTTCTTGCCGGTTCTTCTCAGTACAAGGTCTCCCGCCGTAGTTTTGCGACTGATAGCTTTGCGTAGCTTCTTGACCTTCACAAGTACTTGTAACAGCCTAGACTGAATAAATGACTTTTCATTTCATTTCAATGTTTGTATTACAGAGTGCCTTGTTAGCAGCGCTGCCTTACATCGGAATGTGGTTTGGTAGCACATTCTCTTCCTACATATCAGAGAAGATCTACAACAGAGGTTTACTGTCATTAACAACTTGCAGGAAATTATTTCAATCCATATGTAAGTGCGAGAATTTTTTACATTTCGCTTATCCCTCCTCAAAAACTCAGGATGTCGCTTTCAAAGCAAAAACATCGCCATTCCTTCCCCTTCCCTCTCTTCAGGGCAAAACAATGGTGCTACAGAGCAACATTACCATGCTCGGTTGGAAGTTCGCTCAGACCTGAATCCAAAGGACTACATCGAAACCGTGATTAAAACCAGCTTCACGCAAACTCTGCTTGTTGTACAAAACGCAGGTGCGGTCCTGCGTGGAATATTGCTCGCACCTCTGGGATTGCTCCGCTAAATATTTACTCGATGCTTTGAACAGGTTGCAGCGGCACGCTGCCCTCATCATTGGCGATGAATAGGTAACTAAGAAACTCGAGTCTCTACAATAACGCCGCGATGTGGCATCATTAAGCGCATTCTACCAACTATACCACGGCAAGTGTTCTGAGGAGTTATTCTTCCTTATCCCTCCATCACCTTTTCTTCAGAGGACCACGCGCGCTGGCCTACGTTGCCATCGACTTACTGTGGCCACTATTCCTACACGAACAAAGAAATTTGGCGACTCATTTCTTTGTCGTACTATTCGTAAGTGGAATTCTTTACCCGCGCACGTGTCTCCTTCCTATAATCTGGGGTCCTTTAAGAGAGGCGTGAAGAAGCATTTTTGTGGGCCGGCAAGGTGAGGATGGTTGGTGTAGCAGTTTATAACTGCTGTGCCAGCTATCTTCGCGTTTGGACTTTATCACCACTTAACATCAGGTGGGGTAGAGTCATTTGCCTACCTAGTAATATATAAAAAATAAAAACATTTGAGGCATGAATGATATTGTGTCGTTTAAAAACGGGGCTGTTATTTTTTCTTAAACAATTGTTTTATACAGGGTGGTCCAACTAGTGACGTCAACATTTTTTTTTAGATTCCTCGCATCTGGAGGTATCCAAAAATATCCCATGTATGTTCCGCGATTTTTCTTAGTTTTCGAGTTATATTTTTTTTGTGTATTTTCAATGATTTCTACCAGCGAGGTTTCAAAAATTCATATCTTTTTTCGTAGAAGTATTTTGCAGTCTATTTTTTGTGATATAATTGTCTTGAATGTTGTTTAAATAGAAAAAGTAACTCAGTTTCCTGAAATCACTTAAAGTTACTCAAAAAAGGCTTGAAACAAAAAAGAGTTTCCATAGCTTCTGGTTAAGCTTAAAAACTCCGCATGCTTTTGAAACTATCAAAAAAAAAAAGTACTCAATCCGCCTATTTTCGTTGTAATTGTCCTTCAAAGGCGGGATAGGCTAAAAATCATTGAAATATGATTAAAGCATTATAAATTATTTTATGTACTTTTTGTCTATCATTGTTATGGTAAATTAAACATAAAAGTGTTATTTCAAATTAAATTCAATTGAAGTTCCTGTAAAATAACTTTAGCATGTCTGTAATTTTACAATAATTTCGGTTATTTATGTTTTGTATTATACATATTCTAAGAGAAAAAACTGGCCATCTGCGTGTCGTGCCACGCGCAGTGAAGGGTTTCGTAGTTGTTATTACTTGTCGTTACCACAATATACTTCAAGCAGAGGTCTTTATTTACGGTATCGGATTTTTTTTTTTTTTTTTTTTTATTCTTTATTAAGCCATACACCTTAAAGGTTAAGCCGGTATGTATCGGAAATAAAAAAAAAATTAATTGTGGGTTACCTATAATGCGAAGAGATGGCGCTGCCTTGCAGCTTAAGAATGGCTAGAAGAATTTCGACGCGGTCCGTGAGGGCCGCGGTAGCATAATTGGTCAGTGCATTCGCCCGGATTGCGAAGGGTGCGGGTTCGAGTCCCGTCTGCTGCCTGGTCTGCGTGGATTTTTTTCTAGTTATATTTTCTTTAGATTTAAACATCAAGCAGTTACATGCTTTAAAAATAATAAAAATTATAAATAAATTAATGTCATACTATAACACCTAAATCAAAGTCAAACTGTGTCTCAAACTGAAAATCAATTCGATATTAAATTTATTTCTAAATACTTTAATAATGGGGGAGCGGGTGAGATATCCATAAAGATATCCTCCTCCGTCGGCTGTCCTCTACAGCTGCTTTGTGCAGCCGGCTTAGCGATGTGCGACTTCGAATAATCTCTTATCTATTAGACAAGTCCGTCTGTCCGTCCGTCCGTGGTGCTGTTTCAGCGGCCAAACCGTAAGAGATAGATATAGAGAATGTTCAAGTTATAAGTTAAGAATAGTCTGATAAGATTACAAACCGGATTTGAGTAACTTAGCACTTCCGGTTTTCGAGAAATAACGTGATTTCTATTTCAAGAGAAACCACACAAAATCTCCGAAGTTCTCAATTAATTAAATACATTTTTTTTTTGGTGAACATTTGGTTCACTGGTTTGCTAGTCTCTTATCTATTAGACAAGTCCGTCCGTCCGTCCGTGGTGCTGTTTCAGCGGCCAAACCGTAAGAGATAGATATAGAGAATGTTTAAGTTATAAGTTAAGAATAGTCTGATAAGACTACAAACCGGATGTGAGTAACGTAGCACTTCCGGTTTTCGAGAAATCACGTGATTTCTATTTCAAACGAAATCACACAAAATCTCCGAAGTTCTCAATTAATTAAATACATTTTTTTTTTTGGTGAACATTTGGTTCACTGGTTTGCTAGTACTTATACTAATTATTCGACTCCACGAATCATACGACCAAGTCGACTGCGCTTTACATCATTCGACTGGAGTCGAGGGTATCGGGTGGCGACTAATCGACTCTCGAATGACGTACGTGACGAAGACGAACAAACCGGGTCAACTTGGGCTTGGTCGGGTGAACTCGACGAGTTAAAGATATGAGCAGAATCAAAAGGGTACTAATTTCAATCGTTTTTTAATGATTAGATCGATATATAAACTCTTTATATTAAATATCTATATATATATAAAACTCAAAGGTGACTGACTGACATAGTGATCTATCAACGCACAGCCCAAACCACTCGACGGATCGGGCTGAAATTTGGCATGCAGGTAGATGTTATGACGTAGGCATCCGCTAAGAAAGGATTTTGATCAATTCTACCCCCAAGGGGATAAAATAGAGTTGGAAAGTTTGTAAGAAACTTTGTCAATTTTAAACCGATCGGGCTGAGACTTTGCATGCAGGTATAAGAAGAATCATAGATGAATATCATTGTGTATAATACAAGCCTGAGAACAAAAACTGTAGTCCACACTTCAGCTCTACACCGAAGCGAAGCGAGGGCGGGCCGCTAGTATGTATATAAATCAAGTAATAATAAAAGAATTCACTGGTAAATATTCTTTTCACTGCAAAAGTAACAATAACCGATACAAGACTATCGTAGCAGGCGCCAAGTACGAACGTACGGAAAGTAACTGAACTAAGGCAAATGATGAACGAACGAATGAATAACCTAACCTTATTCGTTGCACTCGGCGCTCTTGTAAATTTGAAATTAGTTTTACTAATAAAAAAAGTTGTTATTCGAATAATGACATTAGTTTACAACGTATTTGCTTTTCGAATAGCCAAATAAGTCGGTATGAAAAAATATATTTTATAGTACTTACGAATGAAAAGTGATGCCATGGGTTTTATTTTTAGTTCTTGAGCAATTTGAGCACTTTTTAAAAACATACTTAGGCATTGTTTTATCAGATGAACACAAAATATTATCAATATTTCTTTTTGGTGTTCACATGTACGTCGTTTGCATGTCAAGTTGTGACTAATGCGATTAGGGTCGTGGACCACAATTTGCGCGGATCACTTTTGTGAGGCTAGTGCCGTATCTACCCTTTTTGTTTTAATCTAAGCCGACAGGGCCTTAAAAGCTTCAACAGAGAGGGGGATGATGCAGGGTAACCACCAATCTTTTCATGTGCTTATATCAGTATATTTTTTATAAAAACGTAACGATAGCGCGATTCAGAAGCCGTTGCCGTTAGGACTCGTGGTACCTTTGTGGAACTAATGATATTTTGGAGCTCGATGGCGCAAGTGGTTAGCGCGTTCGGCTACGATCATTAAAGTTAAGCAACTTTCGCAGTGGTTGGTCATTGGATGGGTGACCAAAAATTTACTATTTCGAGCTCCTCCGTGCTTCGGAAGGCACGTTAAGCCGTTGGTCCCGGCTGCATCTGCAGTCGTTAGCACCCACCAAACCGCACTGGGCCTGCGTGGTGGGTCATGGCCCAATCTTCCTATTCCATCCATAGGGAAGGTCTGTGCCCAGCAGTGGGGACATTAATAGGCTGATGATGATGATGATGAATGATATTTTATTGTGGTTTTTAAATAGCTATTAATAATAATAAATATTTCGACGATTAGTTATAATAAATGTATGTGAAATGAATAAATATATATTTATATTATTTTCATTAATTTGTTAATTTACTATTTCATACAGTATCAATCTTTTTTAAGTTAAATAAACTCTTTTTGCGTCTGGTTAGACTATCGAATTTAAGGAGTAAAATCCAGTCGTGCGTCGGAGCTGACACACACATTTTTTTTTATTTATTTGAAAATTTGACAAGGCGGATGTTTTAAAAAAAATATGCTTTCTTTTTTCACAGCTTTATTTGGGATTGCAATAGCATTGGTGGTACTCTCATTCTTGGGCCCTGAAAGCAAGCATTTCGCTGTAGCTACACTGGTTGTATGTTTGACCATGGAAGGATTCAGCACTGCCGGTTTTCTAGTAAGTGTAATCACTTTTTTTTCACACTGAGGAGCTCGATGGCGCAAGTGGTAAGCGCGTTCGGCTGCGATCGTTGAAGTTAAGCAAACATTCAAACTCAAACTCATTTATTCAGTCTAGGCTATTACAAGCTCTTGTGAAAGTCAAACGCTACGCCATCGGTTCGTAAATCTACGGCGGGAGACCTTGTACTGAGAAGAACCGGCAAGAAACTCAGCAAGGGCTATTTTTTTCTCCCTGTTTTGTTTCATACCGTGTCGTCAATTGAAAGATGACATCAAAAATTTAATACATGTGTTGATGTCAACTTCCATCACATTAATATTATTAATTAACAAAATTTAAGTATAGCTAGGTACTATTTTTAAATTTAGAAGTAGCGATTAAACAATTTTCAACCGAATTAGCAAAGTAAAACGACTTAGTCTATTATATTAAGCCCAAGGTGACTCACTTTTGCAGTGGCCGGTCATTGGATGGGTGACTAAAAATTTACTATCTACTAGTGGCCCGCCCTCGCTTCGCTTCGGTGTAGAGCTGTAGTGTAAACTATAGTTTTTGTTCTCAGGCTTGTGCTATAAACAATGACTTTATTTATATAATTACACGTGTTATTGTGAGTCAGCCATAAAAGATAGACATATGCTGTTGCGGGATATTTTTTAGACAATTTTATGTAGAATATTTTCGTCATACATGATTTCTATGTAACTTTAACCATTAAGGCTGCACACGCGACGGAAGCTTAAAAAATGGAGTAACTTCTCCCGTTTTCCCAACATTTCCCTTCATTACTCTGCTGCTATTGATTGTAGCGTGATGAAAAGTATAATATAACCTGCCCAGGAGTATGAAGAATAATTGTACCAAGTTTGGTTAAAATCCGTCGAGTAGTTTTTGTTTCTATAAGGAACATACACACAGACAGACAGACAGACAGACAGACAAAAATTTTACTGATTGCATTTTTGGCATCAGTATCGATCACTAATCACCCCCTGATAGTTATTTTGAAAATATATTTCATGTACAGAATTGACCTCTCTACAGATTTATTATAAGTATAGATAGATAATCCGTGGTAAGGCGTGGTTGGTAATGGCCCAGTCTTCCTATTAAATCCATAGGGAAGGCCTGACTCTAGCAGAGCGTAAATTATTAGGCTGATAATGATGAAAACATTGTAGTCACGTCATCCACGTGAAACCATGTATGCTACCTTACTCATAGATAGAAGCATATTACCAAAATGTGGTGCTGGAGGAGAATGCTCGGAGTATCGTGGACTGAATTCCGTACCAACGAGTCTATACTTGGAGAACTCGGCATCAATCAGCGTTTATCGTCTGTGGTGCAGTCTCGTATCCTCACTTTTTTTTGGTCACGTATGCCGCCGAGGGGAGGTGGCTATTGAGCGACTTGTGGTCCAGGGAAAGGTTGAGGGTACCAGGTCAAGAGGAAGATCTCCTATGAGGTGGACTGACCAAATAAAAGCTGCAGTAAATGACTCATCATCATTACACGAATGCACAAGGAAGGCGGCCATCAGAGATGAGTGGCGGCGTGTTATGAAGCTTGCCACCAACACCTGAATTGATGACCACGACCACTCTGTCAAGAGTGATACCGACAAAGAAGAAGACCAAAAGGAATTGTTATTTCAATAGACTTTTATCTAAAGTGGAGGATGCTACCCCAGATAGGTGCTACAATTTGATCAAATCTACTATAGCACCCCCCTTAGTAATTTTCGGTTGTCTACAGAATAATAACAAAAGAAATTAAGTGCCTTCACCTCTTTGTGGATGAAAATAATTTAATAGCCAATTAGAATATCAAACAATTAAAGCATTATGCGTAAAAAATAATGTATAATTGAAACATTATTTTCCTTAAGGATTATATTATAAAAAGCAATTATAATTTTAATTTTTTATGAGTTCTGTGGACCCTTTTAAAGTGCCGATGCCGTGGCCGTAAAAAGAAAAGGTCTGAAACATGTATCTCGTAATTAATGCAAAATAAAAATATTTTTTATAACCCATTTTATAATGTGACGAATTTGACAACCTCCGTGGTCGAGTGGTTTGTATGCCGGGTTTCATGGTGTCGCCGACTCGAGAGGTCCCGGGTTCGAGTCCCGGTGGGAGCAGATGTTTGTGTGATGAATACGAGCATTTGTACTCCAGTCATGGATGTTTCATATGTATTTCTATATAAATATACTTTATATATACTGTATATGTATTCTATCCGTTACCCTAGCATCCCATAACACAAGCCTTACAGTGCTTACTTTGGGGCTAGGCTAATTGGTGTAAATGTTGGAAATATTTATTTATTTATTATTTTAATGTTATATTCGATGAGTTACACTCTTTAGTAGCTTAGGTAATATTATTCTATACTTTGCCTAGATATTGTATAGAACACCCGAATTGTATATTTATTTAATTTGTTGTAAAAGACTGCCATGTGAGTACAGCTGGTTAGTGTGACTGACCAGCTGAAATTAAATAAAAAAAATAAAAAATAAAAATTAAATTATAAAATTAAAAAAATAAATTAAATAAACAAAAAGTAAAAATTACAAAAAAATAAATTAATTATTGCTAAATTACCAGAGTAATATCACCTAAGCTACTAAAGAGTGTAACTCATTGAATAAAACATTATAAAATGGGTTATAAAAAATATTTTTATTTTGAATTAATTACGAGATACATGTTTCAGACCTTTTCTTTAGAGCTGGTCCAGATTTTTAGTAATGACCCAGCATATTATTCTACCCTATCTAATATCAAGAGAGAGGTCATAGCGGGTTTACATTAAAGAATATCACCTAAGCTACTAAAGAGTGTAACTCATTGAATAAAACATTATAAAATGGGTTATAAAAATGTTTTTATTTTGAATTAATTACGAGATATATGTTTCAGACCTTTTCTTTAGAGCTGGTCCAGATTGTTAGTAATGATCCAGCATATTATTCTACCCCATCTAATATCAAGAGAGAGGTCATAGCGGGTTTACATTATAGAATATCACCTAAGTTACTAAAGAGTGTAACTCATTGAATAAAACATTATAAAATGGGTTATAAGAATTTTTTTTATTGTGAATTAATTACGAGATACACGTTTCAGACTTTTTCTTTAGAGCTGGTAATATTGTTAGTAATGACCCAGCATATTATTCTACCCCATCTAATATCAAGAGAGAGGTCATAGCGGGTTTACCGCTCGAATTGGAGCATCCGTCTGGGGAAGTACTCTCCACCTTACAGAAGACCACAGTAAAATAACAGTAAAGTTCCAGTAAGGGGATTAGTAAAGGGTAGGCAACTGACTGCAAATGCACAAGTGATATTTTTGGTATCGGAAGCATCTTTTAGCCACGGTGGCCATTTAATGTGAGGCAGCTCATATGCATGTTATCACCATCAGCCTATTAATGTCCCCAATGCTGGGGCACAGGCCTTCCCTGTGAATTGAATAGGGAGATTGGGGCAAGACCCACCACGCGAGCCCATTGTGGATTGGAGGGTGCTAACGACTGCAGATGCAGCCTGGACCAATGGCTTAACTGAGGAACTCGGGATAGAAGATTTTTGGTCACCCATCCAATGACTGACCATTGCGAAAGTTGCTTAACTTCAACGATCGCAGCCGAACGCGCTAGCCACCTGCGTCGTCGAGCTCCTCATGTGCATGTTAACCACCATTTAAGCCTAAAACATCCATTTCATCCGTTATGCTGTGATCACACGTACCGAATAAACGGGCGAGACAGTAAAATATTTCTCGGCCGGGAATGTCATGTCAGCGAGTAGCTGTTCACACATGTTTTGAAATTATCACAGTTAGATCAGTTCTACTGAGACTACTATTCAGACACGATGGATCGGAAAAAAAAATAGAATAATGAATTAGGCCAAATGGCGACACAGTGCATGTGCAGACCTGTAGAGTAAGCGTCTACAGCGTAGACATTCGGAATAGTAAGGCGGTTTTCCAATTACAGAGCATAATGCGACTCAGTGGCGCACAATGCCGAATTATGCTGATGCTTAATTGGAACGTGAATTAGTTTTCAAATACACCAGCAGAGTGCGCTAAGTACAGTGTTGAAAAAAAAGTCAATGTTTGTACCTTCATCCATATTTATATTTAATTTTTTAACACAGTTTGAATTAACTTTGATTATTTAAAAAAAAACTATAATGAAACGAAAGTTTTAATAATTTTTCAACAATAAATAATATTACTAACGATAACATTTAAATAAAACATTTCGATCAATGCCAACTTAAAGATTGTTAATTTTCTGTCTCTGAGTTGGTACGATTGCACGCATCACACGAAAGCATTACTTTTGAGAGTGCTCGATTGTGCGAAGCGTTGCTGTAGCTGAAACACTCAACGTTAAGCATTATGCCGCATAATGCGCTATAATGCTGTAATTGGAAAGCTACCTAAGTAGTCCTACAACAGTAGTACCTACTGTCTCGGCGCTTGGTGCGTCCGAGCGCACGGCCGCACACTCGGCGCTATGTTTATACGTATTGAATACTCGGCCGAGATCACTGTCTCGCTCGATTGCTCGGTACGTGTGATCAAGGTATTATAAATTATATTCCATAGACGGCCATGTGAGTGCCACTGGCCCAGCAAAAACAGCTTTTAGTGATGTCTCAGGATAATATTCCACCCCACCTGATGTTAAGTGAAGGTGAAGTCCAGACGCGAAGATAGCTCATACAGCAGTTCTACCTGCCACACCAGCCATCCTCACCCTGCCGGCCTGCATGTTGCTTCTTCACGCCTCTTTTAAAGGATCCCAGGTTGTAAGAGGGAGAGAACTCGTGAGCGGGGCAGAGCATTCCATTTACGGATAGTGCGACAAAGAAATGAGTCACCAAATTTCTTTGTACGCGTTGGAGTTATGGCCACAGTTAGACGGTGACAACGTAGGCCAGCGCGCGTGGTCCTCTGAAGGAAAGGGGAAAGTGGAATAAGAGAGAATAACTCCTCAGAACACTCGCCGTGGTACAGAAGATATATTCTGATGATTATGTTTACTAACCTTTCGTATTGTTTTAGGTCAATCAGTTGGATCTGTCGCCGAATTACGCTGGTGTCATAATGTGCCTGCTTAACTTTATCGCCACTTCGGGGACCGCACTGATACCAATAGTGACAAGCGCCATTTTGCGAAACGACTCAGTGAGTATTCTACTAAAATATCCTACAAAATATTATAGATATGAAAGTTTGTATGTTTATAACTCAATCACACAAAAACTACTGAACGGTGATGGATGAAATTTGGTACGCATATAGTTTATGACTTGGATGAAAAGAAAATTGTATGGGAAGCGAGGAAAATTAAGTTGAAACTGCGCATGCGTGCGTCTTTTTTTCACATTTAGCCTAATATCATACCCAAATTTATTAATTTTGTAAATAAAAATGTATGATAATTAATATACCGATAAATATTAATAATAAAAAAGTAATGTTACGATACAGCTAACAGTATTATGATGAAATTTCATTTTTAATTTTATGTTCACACACACACACATACGCACACGCCCACACACGCGCGCCCACACATACACTTATTATATTAATGTACTGTAATATTAATTAATGTAGGAAATTATGGTACTCATGTTATTTGTACGGCTACATTGCAAATAAAATTCGGGAAGAGCGCTGAAGTCAAAATACAGGATGAACTTCCTAGTTTGGCTGAGAATGTCTATATGTAGGTACTTTGTGTGAAATAATGGCCTTAGTTTTAACATATTTATAAGATTTATTTGTTTCATAGGTTTTCACGCACATCACTCATTAAATAAAACTAGTTTTTACGGGTAAATGCACGAAACTTTATTTATTTATTGACGTTTCGTAGCCTTTACAGGCTACGTCGTCAGAATTAAAACTTTTATTTAATTTGTCGAGCTACCTTCGAAAGACTTTTATTGAGCGTTCGGTTATTTCATTGTTCGATTTTTAACTAAACAAAAAACTATAAAACATAAAACTTTAAAAATCGAACAATGAAATAACCGAACGCTCAATAAAAGTCTTTCGAAGGTAGCTCGACAAATTAAATAAAAGTTTTAATTCTGACGACGTAGCCTGTAAATGCTACGAAACGTCAATAAACAAATAAAGTTTCGTGCATTAACCCGTAAAAACTAGTTTTATTTATTATATTTATAAGATTATTACCATGTACATTTTTTTACAAATAAATATATTATTATTATTATGTTTGTGCGTTTCTAAAGTACGTCTGTATAAAACCATATTAAATTTCGTTATTTGAATGTTTCAACGTGAGTGTAGATAAAACATTGTATTTATTTGTAAAGTTGTTATTAATATATCGTGGAACGTTTTCTTGTGTTTATTTGAGTTTACCGAGCGCTCTTCCGGCAATATTTCCGTGAAATTTGCTGGGAATAAAACACCGGATATTTCATATATTCACATCATAAAGGATATGAGGAGCTCGATGGCGCAGGCGCTGCGATCGTTGAAGTTAAGCAACTTTCGCAGTGGTCGGTCATTGGATGGGTGACCAAAAATCTTCTATCTCGAGTTCCTCCGTGCTTCGGAAGGCTCGTTGGTCCCGGCTGCATCTACAGTCGTTAGCACCCGCCAGTCCGCACTGGACCCGCATGGTGGGTCATGGTCCAATCTCCCTATTCCATCCATAGGGAATGCCTGTGCCCCAGCAATAGGGACATTAATAGGCTGATGATGATGACATCACAAAGGCCCACTAACTATAAAGCAACAAAAAGTAATTTTTGGTTATTGTTGTTTCACAGTTTTATTTACATGTCGAAAGAAAAAAATATCAATATATCGATATTTTTCAAAATATCTATATAATCATAATCAAAATCATTTATTCAGTTTAGGCTGTTACAAGCACTCATGAATGTCTAGAAGCTACGCCATCGGTTCGTAAATCTACGGCGGGAGACCTTGTACTGAGAAGAACCGGCAAGAAACTCAGCAAGGGCTGTTTTTTTCTCCCTGTTTTATTATTTACAGATTCGTCAAATTGAAAAATGACTTCAGAGATGATTCATGAAGTCACCTTTCATTACATAATTATTAAATATAAGTTAATTGTTTACCTGCATTTTGATTGCTGTGTCATACAGTATAAATACAAATAGTGTTATTTATATTAAGTGTGACTAAACATTAACTTCAATATTAAGGAAGTTAGGGCAGACTCATCTCCGCTGGCAGCACCCGTTCACGAGCATGACGCATGAACCAGCCGAATGTCGACATATCGACTTCGATACATCGCGAAAAAAATATCGATACATCATTAGATGCTATTACTCTATAGATCAGTACAGTACGTCTAAATAAATATTATTAACAAGAAATATGTTTTGGATAGATTGATTCACATAATAATAATATAATTTTATACGCTTCTTAATTGCTTAATCGGAATGTATGATTGTCTGATTTTAAAATATAAAATATGTTTGTGATTGATTACGGTTGATTTTAAGGTGGGTTATATTAAGTAATTTGGTATGTACATATTTTTCATTTTATTAATATTTTATAATTCAATTCAAATTGATTGTTAATATTATTTTTGATTGATTGAGTAGATATTTATTTTACGTAAATTCAAGAAATTTTTATTTAAATTGTATATTAGATTATTAGAAATTCTATTCAAGAACACCAAGTATTGCGATACCCTGACAGGGTTCATGTAACGTACTTTATAACATGTATTTAACCATCTATGTAACTACATGAATGTAATAAATGATTTGATTGATTGATTGATTGATTGATAGATCGGACAAATCTTGCTACTAAGTGGTCACTGTGAAGCGAGGACATTGACAGGCTGATGATGATGATGATTATCCGCCGATGCGTGTTACTCTGATCTTAGTGTTGTTCATCTTAATAAACTCTAGCGTCTGCAGAATTTATGTATCCGATTCATTTTCGGTCTGCGTAAGTACGACCATATCTCTCATTATCGTTCCCAACTTCAATGGCTACCCATTTCTCGTAGAAGAAACTACCACATCCTATCACTCCTTTATTCTATCCTTTTTCATCCGCACACTCCTCTCTATCTTAAGGAGCGTTTCACTTTTCATTCTTTTAATTCTGTCCGCGATCTTCGGTCTTCTCATAACCTATCCTTAGCTATCCCACCCCACTTCACTGATTTCGTAGCCAAGTCATTCTATGTAACAGCTGTAAAATTGTGGAACTCTTTACCTCTGGATATCAAACGTGCACAGACGAGGGACTCCTTCACCATTAAAATTAAGGAATATTTCCTCAAGCTGGACTCTGCCTGATCTTTTTCATTTTATCTGTTAGTAACTTTGTATTATATTTTATAGCTTCCTTATATATTTACTATTTTTATATTCTTGTATTTACGTTTATTTTATTTTTAAAATGCACTAGCCTGCAGTTTCTTCTATTTTCATGGTATGGTTTCATTTAGCCAAAGGTTGCCCGGTAGAGATTGCTACCTTAGCAATAAGGCCGCCTTTTGTGTTTGTATTCCTTGAGTTTTATGTTGTATATAATGGTAGCCATACACACTACGAGAAATCGTTACGATCAGACTGTACAGTTCGAACGGAACAGTTTATCGTACGTGGCGTACGTATAGGAAACTGTGCAGTTTTATAACATACACGCTACGATTTATCGGTATGGCTACCATAATTTGTTAAATAGTGGAATAAAGAATATTCATTTATTCATTACTGTTCCAGACTGACGTCAGCCGGTGGCGGATAGTGTTTCTCCTACTGGCGGGGCTGTGCGCGGCCACCAACGTCGTCTACATCATATTCGGGACCAGCGAGCGACAGCCCTGGGACGATCCCAATTACGAGCGAAAAATGTTTGCTGATCCAGGTATTATTGAACTAGCCCCGGCTAGGCCGGGAGGCTGCTAGGTGCATGGTGGCGCCATGCTCCGCAGCGACAGGGTATGGGAGGCGGCCGAGAGGGAGCGGGAGAATGATCCTCTGGCCGCTCCCTCCCGCCAAAGGAGGGTAGGAGAGGACGGCGACGCGCCCTGGCTGCGCCCGTCCCATGACCCTACCCGGGGGGTCCCTCGCTGACCGGCATGGCGTCAGCTGTGCCGGCCACCGACGGACCCCGTGACGGCAGCCCCCCCTTGTAGTTCTGTCCTGCAAAGAGGGGGGCGGCGGAGGGAGCTACACGGGCACGCCCAAGTAGCCCTCCGCAGCGGACGGGGGGCGGTACGGTGGGCACTAGGTCGCGTACTCAGCCCCCACGCGGGGTCCATCCTGCGCACGTCTGCGGGGTCCCCGCGATACCCCGGGAGACCCCTGTCGTGGAGCCCCGGCTAGGCCAGGAGGCTGCTAGGTGAGGAGACGCGGAAGAATCCCTAAACGGGGTCCCGCGGCTTCGTGCTAAGCAGCTTAGTGGGTGTTCGCAGGGTTTTTAGCGGATATTATATATTATATTATTATTTATTAATATTATGATATTATATTATATTATTATGATTTCGTAAGAGTTGCGGGGTCCTCGGTGGACTGGGGGGTCCGTAAGACTTGCGGGAGCCAGGTGTGAGGTTTGTTCGGCAGTGTGCCTCTTAAAGGCACCGTCGTCTGTAAATAGCATTTTTTATCTGAGTTATATAAAAAAAACTATTTTTGAACTTTAAATAAAGTTTCAACGGGTTAGATGCACTTATTTAATTTATTTATTGAATTGAATTTATTAAATCATAGCATCTAAACCGTTGTAACTTGTTTATTTAATGAGTGATGTGCGTGAAAACGTAAAAAACAAATATGTTTGAACTTTGTTTACAGCACTACTGCTTATTAATTTATATTCCGTTATTATGGAAAAGTAAATAGAAAAACGCCGGCACACGTCACTCGCGCGATTCCCCTTTCCCCTCTCTCCCTTACCTTAGTCGGCCGCTGTCGCGCGCTTCAGCCGCTTTAGTAGCCGTTTCTAGCTTCTCGTGGCGGCGTTTGTGGCTGTGGCGCGTGGCCCGTGTGCGGCGACACTTAGGGATAACATTTCAAAATTTCCATAGAAATTTAATTTCATAGTGAATACTGAATGTCACCTAGCCTTTTGCATATAATAATATTGCAAAGAGGAAGCTTGGAAGGCACGCATCACTTTGAAAAGATCGAAGCGTAGGTATTTATCAATGAGTATAGTAAATAAGATATACTATTTTTTTTACACACACCAATTAGCCTAGCCCTAAAGTAAGCACTATAAGGCTTGTGTTATGGGATACTAGGGTAACGGATAGTATACATATATTGTACATATATAAGTATATTTATATAGAAATATATATTAAACATCCACGACTGGAGTACAAATGCACGTATTCATCATCACACAAACATCTGCCTCCACCGGGACTCGAACCCGGGACCTCTTGAGTCGGCGACACCATGAAACCCGGCGTACAAACCACTCGGCCACGGAGTTCGTCAAATTCACTCTGTAACTCATGATATGGTCGTCAAATTAAACATTCTTATTTCTAGAGAATTTTGTATAGTTTTGCATTATTTCGTTCGTGATATACGAGTTAGAAATCCATTCTATTATAATAAAGTCAAAAGTAAATTAGTCAATCAACGGATTTTGTTTTTATTTTTGGTATGACAATAAGGGCACCACCGAGAAGTATAATTTTAATAAATTCACATGATAAGTCATTTCATTGTTTACTTAAAAAACTAAAAATAAAAATGAAATTAGTTTTGTGTAGACCACAAGCTTCTTATTCCCGTGGGTTTAAATAATTATTTAATGTTTTTATGACAAAGTAATTATTATTTTTTATACCGAGGAAGGCGGCGGCATTTTCAAATTTAAACATCTCTCCTTATTTGTCCACTGTTTGTCAATCATTATTATGATTTTAATTTTTTATTCAATTTAGGAACTTTGTTGCCAGTGGCCTTATGAATATTTTAGGTTTCTTTCACAGACATAGATCGAAATAGATAACACAAACTAAGTGACTTATGGTATCTTTTTACGCCAAATTATTTTTCCCCGTCGCCGTTCTCATTACCGTAATGTTTAAAAAATATCTAACTATGTCATATTAAGCTTCGAAAATAATATAATTGAAGTAGGTAACCGGCGTCCATGCTTTTTTACCACTTATTTGTTCTCTCGAGGAGCTCGATGGCGCAAGTGGTTAGCGCGTTCGGCTGCGATCGTTGAAGTTAAGCAACTTTCGCAGTGGTCGGTCATTGGATGGGTGACCAAAAATTTACTATCTCGAGCTCCTCCGTGTTTCGAAAGGCACGTCTTGGCTGCATCTGCAGTCGTTAGCACCCGCCAATCCGCACTAAACCCGCTTGGTGGGTCGTGGCCCAATCTCCCTATTCCATCCATAGGGAAGGCCTGTGCCCCAGCAGTGGGGACATTAATAGGCTGACGATGATGATTAAATCTCATGAATAATCAAAATCAGACACGATCGGTTTCCACACGCTCGGTTTAAACAATGTCTTAAAGCTGTTATAATAAAGAAAATTTTACTAGAAAAATGGTATCATTCTGCTGCCTGGGCCGTGAAGATTTTTTTCTTGTAAGATTTTCTTTAGATTCAAAACATCTAGGAGTTAAATGCTTATAAACTATTATTAAAGCTGTTTTTTTTTCTTTCAGAGGAAAGCAAACCAGTTTTGAAGAAAAACGAAACTTGTAAAGAGGAAAAAAGATAAAGATGAATCTGAATTGTTGACAATAGAAAAAATATTTTATATTTGCAATAAATTAAATTTTCGTTAATATAATTTCTAATTTGTCTTTTGTATATTTCGCATTTAGTGTAAAATTAATTCAAATTAAACATCATTATTACACAAGTGATCATTCATTCATTATAATTAGTTATCATTTGAAAATTGTTCAACGTATTAATAAAAACCCCATTTCTTGTTTATTTATTTTCTGTCAAAATTCTTGCTGTTGTAAGCTAAGTGCTTATACTACGACTACGAGAACAGTTCACGGCACCTAACTGTGGTGCTGAACAAAACGCATCAGGGATAATTGCGCATGGGCACGACTGGAGAGACAATCGACAGGGCGCGACTAGAGACACGATATCGAATAAAAAAGTATCGATACTGTACTCATAAGTAGTATCGGAAAAAAAATATCGTACTCGTAAAAGTATTGAAACAAATGTATCGATACTTCGAATATTATATAGATATTCGAATTTCATAGGACCTTATAAGCAACCCCTCCCCCCGGGTTAAAATTAAAAGAAAAACAATAAAATTTTATTATAGTACGTATAATCAAAGACAAAAAAGGGCCTGTAAATTCACAAATTTCTATATTATGTCGATACTCTTAAAAACGTATAATGTTAATATAATAAATAAATAACAAATACCCTTGTAATTTTTAAATATATATACATATACATATTTATTGTTTATCTTATGCATGTTTTTATTCATTTGGTTGATTGCAAATACATATAAAATGAAATATGGTGTTAGGAACCTAAACATGATTTTCGATTATCTAGACAGTGATAAAATGTAGTTATCTATAATATAAACAATAATAATATATACAGGAACAATGAACCTTAAACTAAGAACCTCAAAAAATATAATGTAATAACTAAAACTAAAAAACCTTAAAATATATAATAACTAAAATACATTATTAAAAGGAGTCCCTTTAGGCAAGGTTCCAAAGATACTGGCAGCGTTCCCCCTTTGAATAGCTAGACTAATTCTTTGTCCGAGGTAGCTGCCAGCTTTTCGGTTTTCTGTCACGTCGACCAACCTTTTTGCTTTTTCCTTAAAAAGCCTTGCAGCGCTAGGACCCCACGGACCAAGGGTCTCGACACCGAATGGGACAAAATCATATTCGGAGCCTAGACCCCTGTATTTGCAAGCCTTAACTTTTTCAGCCGCTTCGCAAGCCGCACCAGCTCTGTTGTTGGTTCCATTTAGATGGGAAGGGGCCAGCGTGTCTGAACAGGTTGCATCCCATACTAGCACCCGGCCCATCTTCCATGGAATCAAACTCATACCGTCTTAGGTTTATGTCTTAAAGCACGAGCCGAGCGAGCGAAGTGAGCGTATCGTGGCAACGGCCGGCAAAGTGGCAGAAAAAATTGTTAAGCATACAGGTCGCGGCACGTAAATCTAGCGCTGAACAAACCGCGTCAGGGATAGCTGCGCTGCGGTATGACTAGAGAGCAATAACATATTGATAAATTGTCAAATAGACTTAGTTCTGCAGCATATGCCGTAATGAAGATACGCCAGTTAACAGATGTAGATACGGCCAGATTAGTATACTTTAGTTATTTCCATAGTGTAATGTCGTACGGAATTTTATTGTGGGGAAACGCCGCCGACATACAAACTATTTTTGTGCTGCAGAAGAGAGCTATTCGATCAATTTATAATCTTAAAGTTAAGGATTCCTTAATAGATAGGTTTAAAGAATTTGGTATAATGACGGCGCATCACATTAAAAACAGTGATGTTCACACACTCAATACAAGAAACAAAAATAAACTAACTTTACCTGCTACTAGGTATCACAAAATCAATAATTCATTTAAAGGTCTTTGTGTTCGCTTATACAATAAAGTCCCAAGCAATATCCAAGAGTTAAGCATAAATAAATTCAAAGATAGTATAAAAAAAGCACTTATTAAAAAAGCTTATTACAAAGTGTCTGATTATATTACAGACAAAAATGCTTGGGTTTGAACTGTTCCAATCATTCCAACAGGTGTTCTATATTAAATAAATCATGATTGTATTGACGTTGTAACAACATAATGATTTGTAAATGTTGTTACATTATTCTTTTTCTCCGCAGCTAAAAAATATGTCCAATAACGAGTGGTACGGAAAAAATGTTTGGACGATTCAAAAGTGTTGTACTATACATCCAATTTGAATAAAGATATATTGATTTCTGATTTCTGATTTGAGCCAATCGGCGCAACGCACGCCCACCCGCGCACCTCGTTTCCCCCCGACACACCTTCATTTTTAGTTCTGCAAATGTTCTGCAATAACGGTCAGCGCTAGTTTCGTGTCGCGACTTATACTATCGCTTTGGTGTACTATCGATATATATGGTGATAGCGATGGCTGGTTCATGCGCCATGCTCGTGAACGGGTGCTGCCAGCGGAGATGAGTCTGCTCTTGCTTCATTGGGTACTATTAAACGTTGTACTAAACTTTAATCGTTCATTATTATTATTATTTTTTTGCCTTAACAGTAGGACACGGCATTCATAAACTTTGTTAAACCAGTTTCTTATATTTTTTTTTTTATTTTATAGTTATAATTTTTATATTATTTGCATTTTTTGTTTGTAATGGATAGTAACTTTTTGAGTTACCTCATATTAAAGTCATTTTTCAACTTGACGACTCTGTATATAATACAGGGAGAGAAAAACAGCCCTTGCTGAGTTTCTTGCCGGTTCTTCTCAGTACAAGGTCTCCGGCCGTAGATTTGCGAACCGATGGCGTAGCTTTTCGACATTCACAAGTGCTTGTAACAGCCTAGACTGAATAAACGATATTGAATTTTGAATTTTATCGAACCATAGATTTGGAGTACTGTCGAATAATTTGTAGGAAGGCCAAAGGGGAAGATCTTCCTCCGAGCTGGGTGATTGTAGCTCGGGGGCCGCGGCCCAACTGATGTTGGTCGGGTATCGTATATATGAAGAGTTAGCCTTCGAATTTCATTTGCGTGATGTAGGCTTCCATACTAATATTGATCGCAGTGCAGGTAACGCCATCTCTTGAGGATGGGTGAGTAATGATTTCCTACATTCGTTGTATATCTGTGGGGCATATAGATGTCGCCGCCACAAATTCATCCGGCGATAGAGTTTTCGATACAGCGACTGTCAATGCAGTGGCTGTCGATATTATAAACCCTTTTCAAACTGCCCTCGTCCGTTCGTTGGTAAAATTTTGCTTACGCAGTAAAGTTATTAACTAATACATTCCATGTTATTCTTTCAATACAATCTAGGCAAACATTATGACATAATTTTGTAAAGTTCAACGACCGCTTTTATAGCTTAAGTTTTATTGTTGTTTTTACAACGTTTTTGACGTGACAACGTCTTAAATTAGGTTGCGGCTGGGAGTCACTTATGAAAAAGTGTAACGCTCGGTAACGTTACGATGAGTTTAAGTTTACATGTACAATGTTGACGTGACAACGTCTTAAATTAGGTTGCGGCTGGGAGTCACTTATGAAAAAGTGTAACGCTCGGTAACGTTACGATGAGTTTAAGTTTACATGTACAATGTTTTAGTAAACAAAATATATTTCTATAGTTAAAATTTGTGCAATTCTTATTTTCATTCAATTCCTTGTTCCTATTGTGCAATTTAATTATATTCATATCAATAAATATTCTACCGAGAAAAAGACGTTGTCACGTAAAATCTTCGCCCGTAAAACCGACTTTACAGGCAACCATTTTTTTACAATGTTTTGTCTGGAACATTTGTCTGTTTGTTCAGTAAATTTTCAGATGTTAAACACTAGCGAATGCCTTCGTCTGTGTGTTTCAATTGATTTCCCATACAAACTTTGAAATCCTTTTCACCTCCTAATATGATGATTTCTATGATAAAAAACTAACCTGTGTCCTTTCCCAGGAATCAAATTAAACTATGTCTATGCGAAAGGACACCCGGCATTTTGTGCCAAAGTTGTGTACTTTTTTAATTTTTTTATCTGTGTTTCATAATTGGGTAACGTAGTCTGGCAATATTTGTCATCAGCAGCTAGCTGTCAATGTCAAATACGTAGGTTTGTCAATATAACCTCTATATGTAGCCGGGTCGTCAAGAGAAATAATTGATAAAAAGGCAATCACAGCAGAGAACATTCACAGTCACAGTACGCGGGAGCGGATGCGAAATGCGAATGATTTTTTTGTTTGTATTTTAAGATTGTCAAATTGACATTTGTTTTTTTTTTATTTGAAAAAGCGAAGGAATCATGGTTTTTACAGTCACTTGAGTAATATTTTGAATTAAAATTCTGACCCTTGAAGATTTAGGGTTTCCATATCAAAAAATATTAATCATTATATAAATTCTTTCCACGATTCACTAAAAATAAGGCAAAAGTAGTTTTATGTAGCAAATAATTTTGGCTTTGTTTTGAGACCAAATTCAACTGTATACAAGTTTAGCATTTTTTCTATGAAAAGTGCCGGGTTTCCTTTCAATGAAATCGATTCAGCGATTTAAACGTGAAAAGGTGACAGTTAGACAGGCAGACAGAGAGACACTCTTTCACACTTATAATATTAGAATTTAAGTAAGTGTTGAACACGAGTATGAGTATAGGCAAATAAAAAGGTTGGTTATGGCCTCATACAATTCACCTCGGTTTTATCAGCTGCTTTTATAACTACCGCAAGTAGAACTATGTACGTTACAATGATTTATCATAATATCAACAGAACGCTGTATACATTTAGAGAAAATCATATGCCATCCGGCATTGGAACAAACTATTTTCAGCGATAGACAATTCCATACTCTAGGTTGATAGAATTACAGATTAAATTTCACTGCTCTAATTTTTGTATTAGTGTAAAAAGGTGTTGCCTTTGATAGTTGGAAAAAGATTATTGTTGTTGTTATACAAATATTCACTGAGATGTAAATAGTGATGCGTAATGAAATTCATCGATGTTTGATGAAAAAAGTTTTATTTTTATTATTAAAGTAAAAGTATTCTCAATAATTTTACTAATTATATTTCAGACAAAGTATATACCTGCAAGTCATTTGTCTCAATACAAAATAAATACATAAATTATTAATAAGTGCATTATTAGGTACCAACATTATATATTCCTAATTGGGGACAGCTCATTGGCTATGTCAGTTTATACTGGAATATATTAGTTCCGTCGTTTTTTTAACCTTATAGTTTCGTCATGTTCGTCTGTCTGTCCGTCCCCGGTTTCACTTGGAGACTGTTAGCACTAGAAAGCTGTAATTGTGGAGATCTCTATATCAATTATGCCGACAAAATGGTAGAATAAAATTTTGAAAAAGATTGTTTTTAGCGTAGCTTCCCTGCGTGTGACCTTATTTTTTCATCGTCCACCCCACCGCGTGGGGTATCGTTGAATTGGTCCTTTAATAATTTTTATTACTTAAGGGTTCCCATGACTACTTTTCAATTTAGGGATCCATTTGAACTATTCAAATATTGAACTTTGAATTGCTAATTTTTCTTCATGTAAGTCAACTTGTGTATTAGAAAATTTCTGAACTTATAAAAATTCCACAGAAGAAAACATTAAAAGTGACTTAGACGAAGTAACTGCTTAAAATATAGACTCTTTCTAAAATAATTTGTGGTGACGACGAGCAAATACGGAACCCTACGTTGTACGTAGCACGACATGCACTTGACCAGTTTTTATTTAAGACACATGTCAACAAAACACAATGCTAAATACATTGATATGTTCACAAATATTTCGTATCTCTATCTTAGTCATAGTAAGGAAACGACTTTGCTTAGTTTACAATATTTTTAGTAAGTTTGTTACAGACAGTTTAAAAGTTATTATTAAATATTATATCATCATCATCATCAACCCATGTTCGTCCACTGCTGGACATAGGTCTCCCCTAATGCACGCCACTGCTCCCGATTTTGTGCTACTCTCATCCAGCCCACTCCAGCCAGCCTACGAATATCATCATCCCATCTTGTCTCAGGGCATCCTACACTACGTTTATTATAAGTAAATATTATATATGAGAATATATATACCTATAAATTATTATGCAGTAATATTTTATGCTGAATAAGTAATTTGATTGAATTTCAACATTCCAGTTACACTTATTGAAAATGCTAATGTAAAATCAGATAACATTTGGTTCAATGAACCTATCGATACTTTTACATCACTAATATTCAGCAGGCAAGGAAACCTGTTATTTGTTAATATGGGTAACGAGACAACGAGAGACACATGCAACATCATTTAAACAAAATTAATTATTTTATAAACTTAGGACCTGTATTTTGTGCAAAATCTTATTTTGTGTGAAATGAGTAGACTGATTTAAACGCAATGGATGTGGAATTCCTGAGATATCAATACGAGAATAGACATGACGGGGTGCTCACGAAAAGTAGTAAGTTATGCATTACTCAAAATTGTTACAATTGTGTCGATATTTTGATTTGTTACCATAGACACTTTTGTCGCTGTTCATTTGTCGTTTGAATTAATGTTTAGAGCTTACTTTAATATTTCTTAGTTTCCGCCCGCAACCTCATCCTTATTATAGCTAGTTCTTTTGAGAATCCCGCGGGAACTGGACATTTTTCCGGGATGAAAGTACCCTATGTGTCAATCTAGGTAATAAACTATATTTATACCAAATTTAATCCAAGTCTGTTCAGCTGTTTTAGCGTGAAAATGTAACAAACAACCATATGAACTTTCACGTTTATATAATACTAGTGGCCCGCCCTCGCTTCGCTTCGGGGTAGAATTGATCAAAGTCCTTTCTTAGCGGATGCCTACGTCATAACATCTACCTGCTTGCCAAACTTCAGCCCGATCCGTCCAGTGGTTTGGGCTGTGCGTTGATAGATCACTATGTCAGTCAGTCACTTTTGAGTTTTATATATATAGACTAGTTGTGCCCCGCGGTGCTACCCGAGGTTTATTGGGGATGTTTTCCCGCAGTAAAACGTACGTAGCCTATGTGTTAATCCAGGGTATCAGATAACTCCATACCAAATTTTAGTAAAATCGCTGCAACCGTTTAGACGTGAAGAAGTAACAAACATACACGCACTAACACAAACTTTCGCCTTTATAATACGTGAATTAGTGTAAGTAGGAGATGTTACGAAGAGTTAGCACGCTGAAGTGGCAATGGGCAGGCCACATCGCTCGAGGATGTGATAACCGTTGGGTAAGAAAGGTTCTCGAGTGGCGACCACGTACCGGAGGACGCAGCGTGGGGCGGCCCCCAACAAGGTGGACTGACGACATCGTCAAATGTGCTGGGAGCCGCTTAGGGATTGCAATCCGGTGTAATTTTCAGTCTGGCCGGATACGACCGGATTCCCATCAATCCGGCCGGATCCGGCCGGATTTATCAAATCTATAGAACAAATATATAGAAACAACTTCTTTCCTAACCAATGTCAAGACAAATAGACAACAAGAAAACAATTAAAATTTGGTAGTGTAAGAGTAATTAGTAATAATTTTACGGCGTAACGAGTAGCTCAGTCTTTCTAGATTTCACTTTCACAGATAGATCAATTTATGAGTAACAATATTAATTATCAAGTAACTATAATATCTAACAGATACAATTAACCTTACGTAATTAACTGAAATGAGATCTAAATCATTATTAAAGTATTTTAGAATGCAAAAAAACAAGTCTTATAGGTATTTAAGACAGATACCACCATGATTTGATGAATCTGACGAACGAATGAATGGCAAAAAATATCACAATTATGAGTTTAGAACTCTTTAGCTTAATCAACTTATAATAAATAATTCTTTTAATTAATAATTGTAAGAAAATAAAAAAAAGTATTAAAAGAAAATCAATATTGATTTAAAAAAAAAGATTGTAGAAAACAAATATTGTTAATTGCGTCATCAGCTAAACGACTTCTAATAGAGCTGCATATTATAGCCTGCGGCCGAAAAGGCCCTTTCAGCTTCTACACTTGTCGGCTTTATTGTAGCACTGGATCCGGTCTTCGGATCCGGTATATTGGTACCGGATCCGGTAAACGTCAAATGATGCCGGATCCGCCGGATTACCGGATCCGTTCGGTCCAGCCACGAGCCGCTGGATGCGGATAGCGCAGGACCGCGCATTGTGGCGTTCTATGGGGGAGGCCTATGTCCAGCAGTGGACGGAGAAAGGCTGATGGATGTTTTTTGTTCTGGGATGGTTGGTTGGTTGTTCACTGAAATGTCTTGATTTCTTTGGCTGTGCCCGGCAGGGTCCGTAATGATCTATTAATTAGTTAATGTACTCACTATTGTACACATATTTTTATGTTAAAATGGTGGCAAGCAAGAATTTGGCTCGCCGCCATAGCCTATAGAGGCGCTTGAGATATAAAAAGCTAACACTCGCGCCATTGCATCATCATCATCAGCCTATTAATGTCCCCACTGCTGGGGCACAGGCCTTCCCTAAGGATGGAATACGGAGATTGGGCCATGACCCACCACGCGGGCCCAGTGCGGATTGGTGGGTGCTAACGACTGCAGAGGCAGCCGGGACCAACGGCTTAATGTTCCTTCCGAAGCACGGAGGAGCTCGAGATAGTAAATTTTTGGTCACCCATCCAATGACCGACCACTTTGCCAAACCAAAGTTGCTTAACTTCAACGATAGCAGCCGAACGCGCTAACCACTTGCGCCATCGAGCGTACCCAGTCTAAATCCCCCACCCTGTGGATCTCACCCTGTTATGTGGGCAGAAACACAACACCGAAATTTGATGACTAATTTCTTTGTCGTACTATTCGTAAGGGGGATTCTTTGCCCGCACACGTGTTCCCTCCTTCCTACAATCTGGGGTCCTTTAAGAGAGGCGTGAAGAAGCATTTTTGCTGGCAAGGTGAAGATGGTTGGTTTGGCAGTTTATAACTGTTGTACCAGCTATCTGCACGTTTGGTCTTTGTCACCACTTAACATCAGGTGGGGTCATTTTCCTATCTGGCTATATAAAAACAAACCACCACCAAAAGATCGTGTTTTTTTTATAGATAGGTCCGATAAAATGACTCCACCCCACCTGATGTTAAGTGAAGGTGAAGTTCAGACGCGAAGATAGCTGATACAGCAGTTCTACCTGCCACACCAGCCATCCTCACCCTACCGGCCTGCATGTTGCTTCTTCACGCCTCTTTTAAAGGATCCCAGGTTGTAAGAGGGAGGGAACACGTGAGCGGGCAGAGCATTCCATTTAAGGACAGAGCGACAAAGAAATGACTCACCAAATTTCTTTGTGCGCGTTGGAATTGAGGCCACAGTAAGACGGTGAGAACGTAGGCCAGCGCGCGTGGTCCTCTGAAGGAAAGGGCAAGGTGGGATAAGAGAGAATAACTCCTCAGAATACTCGCCGTGGTACAGACGATAGAACGCGCTTAGGGACGCCACGTCACGACGTAATTGAAGAGGCTCAAGGTGTTTAGTCACCTCCTCATCGCCTATGATTGGGATCGCGCGTCGCTGTAACCTATCTAAAGCATCGAGCAAGTACTTGGCGGAGCCATCCCAGAGATGCGAGCAATATTCCACGCAGGACCGCACTTGCGTTTTGTACAACAAGCACAGTTGATCGGGCGTGAAAAAACGCCGCACCTTGTTCAGGACTCCGAGTTTGCGTGAAGCTGTTTTGATCACGGTTTCGATGTAGTCCTTTGGATTCAGGTCTGAGCGAACTTCCATACCGAGCATGGAAATGTTGCTCTGTAGCGGTCAAAGCGGTGTTGCTTTACTGTGGTCTTCTGCAAGGCGCGCTTGAATTTGAGCGGAAATCCGATATGCGCTACCTCTCTTAAACTTATTTCGAATTCCGCCATGCTTCAAAAGGTAGTTGTTCTCAGCTTCGTCTGCAGTGGCTAGCAACTAACTACCTGCAGACCTGCTTGGTGGGTCTTGGTCTAATTTGCCTTTCGTCTTAGGAACGTTAAGACGCTGTTGATGATGAAGGCTTTCAAAGGTTGAACTGTTACTGCGACCCAGGTTTCAGAATTGGAGTACGTCACCTCCAGATCTTATATATGTGCGCGTGCTCAGCGGCCATGGGCGCGGTGCGTGGCAGCATCGGCGTCACTATCATGGCCGTCAATGATGTCACACGGTGGAACGACACTTATGTACAGGTCAGATTTGTTTTTCTTATTTCATTTATTTCATATAAGAAAAAACTAAGAAAAAGCTATGACGCATTTTCAAAAAAAAAAGTCAAACCCATAACTTTAACACGAGATTTAAGAATAAGCTTGCCGTTCCATGTTTCAGACTCCAAAAATCAAGAGGTTCATTTCTGGGATGTAGTATTGCATTGTTTAACAAAGTTCCCCAAGATCTAATTGAGCTTCCACTAACCAAATTTAAATTTCAGATTAATAATACTCTTATGAATAAGGGCTATTATAAAGTTAATGATTATTTAAATGATCGAAATGCATGGACATAGTGTTTCTTGTAATTTGTTATTTGATATGGATAAGTCAGTTTTTGTAACAGTAATATGCTACCTATCTAATGCCGCTTCCTATATACTAAATATATAATTCATTGTAACTATATATCTATATCCGAAATAATGTAATGGAAGGTGACTTCAGAAGTATCTCTGAAGTCATTTTTCAACCTGACGACTCTGTATATATCAATACAGGGAGAAAAAAGCAGACCTTGCTGAGTTTCTTGCCGGTTCTTCTCAGTACAAGGTCTCCCGCCGTAGTTTTGCGAACCGATGGCGTAGCTTCTGGACCTTCACAAGTGCTTGTAACAGCCTAGACTGAATAAATGACTTTTCATTTCATTTCTTTTCACAGGGTGTGACTAAAGTCCGAAATAAACTTTAGGGTTTGGTTGTGTTCCTTGTATAGAATTACCTATGAAAGTTTGACGCCTTTCAGACCACTTTTATTTTCTAATTAAATTATTAAAAATATTGTTTTACACCTGCCTATGACAACCCTATGAATGCGTACGATTACTACTACCTAAACAGACCCCCCTCTCTCCCACAGACGCCTCTGCGCCCCGCTCAGATACCTACAAATTTTTATTTCGGAATACATATCTACAAATTTTATTTCGGAATTCTGTAACACCCTGTATATATATGACATATGTCAGAACAAATGACTCCATCTCACCTGATGTACAGTTACGATGGAATACAGACGCGAAGATAGATGGTACAGCAGTTTTACCTTCCACACCAGTCATTCTCACCTTGCCGAACTGCAAGTTACTTCTTCACTCCTCTTTTAAGGGTTCTCGGGTTCTATGAGCCCGGGATCGTATTTGAAACCAATCAAACTAAGTAACTCACTGTAGATTAAGCAATGTGTGAAATTATAGGTATCTGTCAAGATCTTCAAAGACGCCACACGCACAGATTGGATTTGATTTTCATTTTTTTGAACATAAATATTTTCATGTCAAAAAAAAGCATAATGTCTACCGGAAAACACGATGAGAGTACGTGAGACTCTTCGAGGAGCTCGATGGCGCAAGTGGTTAGCGCGTCCGGCTGCGATCGTTGAAGTTAAGCAACTTTCGCAGTGGTCGGTCATTGGATGGGTGACCAAAAATTTACTATCTCGAGCTCCTCCGTGCTTCGGAATGCACGTTAAGCCGTTGGTCCCGGCTGCATCTGCAGTCGTTAGCACCCACCAATCCACACTGGGCCCGCGTGGTGAGTCATGGCCCAATCTCCCTATTTCATCCATAGGGAAAGCCTGTGCCCCAGCAGTGGGGACATAAAAAGGCTGATGATGATGATGATGAGACACTTCGCCCAAATTGAGTTTACGTAGAACGAGCCAGTCTTCACAGGGTACCGCAACCCCACTCGCACTCCTGACCCGCAATGCTGGGACTACGGTCCTGGCAATGCGGGTTGGGTGACACGGTGCAGGGATATTGTCTGGTTTTTAGTGGCCCTGTTCAGGGCGTAGGTAGGGCCCTGTACACTTCATATCTGGCCTCAGGGCTAGCTGAAGTGGACAGGGAGGAGTCCCACATACCTTCTCCTCGCTCCCCCAGTGGTTGAAGGATGCGGAAGGCATTTTCCAGACAAAAAAAAGGTCCTTCTTGCTAAAAACCGGACAATACTCCTACAACGGTTATCCGACACGCTTAACAGTGCTATCTAGCACAAATCAAACCGCACTAGGTTGTTTATTATTTATTTATTTTAAACTTTATTGACCAAAATACAAGGGAATGGTACAAAAGGGGGACTTAACGCTAATAGCATGTGGTCACGCCAAAACATACTCTTATCTCTTAATTCCATACCGTGTAACTCTTTTCGAATTAACCGCATCCCAATCGATCCTTCTCCTTCAAACACTGTGCCTTATGCTTATGAGGGAAGAAGACGCAATATATTTGCCTGCAACGACGGATGGCCGGAAGGAAATAGCTCAGTCAGTAGGCTGTCACCGCATCAAAAAAAAAAAGAAATTGTTCTGTCACCGCGTAAATACGAAATGGTCGAATTTCCATCGCTCCGCAAGAACTGTGTTATATTTATCCGCATTTAGCTCCTATAAAAGTGTGTGAAGATTAATAAACAATCTTAGTTAAAGAACAGATTTCCTCGAAAATAGGAGGTTTTGTGTGTGATGATAGCTATCAACGACTTTCTTGACCGCCATCTTTAACCGCTGGCATCGGAAGAGACTGCTGCAGGAGAAGCTGACGTATGAGCCAGCGCCAACGTCAAGGCCCTCCGTAAGTAAGCACAGTGTTTTGTCCTCATCCTATCCCATAGACCAAACCTTAGATTAAAACAAAAAGGGTAGATACGGTAAGCTCATACTTGCATCAAACAAAAACTGATCCCACGGCAGCGCGAACGGGACGGCGAGATCCACGTCACTGCATTACCAACCCGAACGAAACAGCACGTTAAGTTTCAACGGCAGCGCGAACGAGACGGCGAGATCCGCGTCACTGCACTACCGATCACTCAGGCGACCAGTACTCGACGTCACTACCGAATAAGATTCAAAACAAACAACAATTTTTATGAAAAAATATATTTTATAGTACTTACGAATGAAAAGTGATGCCGTGGGTTTATTTTTGATTCTTGAGCAATTTGAGCACTTTTTAAAAACACACTTAGGGATTGTTTTATCATATAAACACAAAATATTAGCAATGTTTCTTTTTGGCGTTCACATGTACGTCGTTTGCATGTCAAGTTGTGACTAAAGCAATTAGGGTCGTGGACCACAATTGGTGCGAATCACTTTTGTGAGGCTAGTGCCGTATCTACCCTTTTTGTTTTAATCTAAGGACCAAACCCGCTTAATATTTCGAACCAACACCTACTCTCCGGGGTTTCGACCCCACTAGTTATCATTTTACCGCATTTGGCTTCACCAGCATGTCTATGTGGTCAAGATTGTATAACCAGCTTCTTCAGCTCGGGATCTTTAGTTGTTTTTAGTGAGGGAACTTAGAAGGTATTTAACCTTAGGAGGACCCATGTTCGCTGTCCGATAGGACATCTCAAGAGCAAATTCTGAAAAATGCTATTTTACACGAGAATAGCTTATTTGACAGTATTAAAAATAAAGTGCCAATTGTAAGCATCTGTGTTTAGAATGAATATTGGCAGGAGCTTTTACTATTTTTACCGAAAAAATATTCATAATTTTACTAAAAACCCACGATAAAAGATAATAGTTTTCTTGTCTTTTGTCACGTGACCCAAAACGCTTGGGATTGGTGGAGCCTAAAATGACGTCATACGCAAGTAAACTTCCGGTTGAAGTGACATTTGATTGTTTGGTTTCATGTTTTAATGACAGTCGTGAGACGCCATATTATCCAGAGATACGTTTTTCGCGGCAACTTGAAAATAGAGTTTTTGATTTAGTTTTTTTACCGAAATACACAACATAATGATGAATATCCACTTTTTATGGACTCTATAAACATTAGTAAATAACGTGAGATCGTTTTTTAAAACTAGTCAAATACCCTATTCCAATTCGATAAGAAAATTGGCTGCTCTCTGCATCTGTTATTGTTTACACCAAGTAAACGTTTTCATATATTCAAACTTCAGATTCATGACTGGGACTATAGAATACAGGGGAGCATCCTGTCCTCCTTCTTCTTCGGGTACGCCATGCTGGTCGTGCCGGCTGACTTGATCCTGGGGAAGATTAACGGGAAAGTGGTGACCACCACCATCCTCGCAGTCAACGGCGTATTGTGCCTGACGATGCCGACTATAATCAACAGGGTAATATTATTACCTTTTTTTAGCATTTTTCTGCTAGAACTATTAATAATTTATAGATTAATATTTAAAAGGACAATATTTGATTATAATTTTTATTATTTTAAAGCATGTAACTGCTTGATGTTTAAATCTAAAGAAAATATAACTAGAAAAAAATCCACGCGGACCAGGCAGCAGACGGGACTCGAACCCGCACCCTTCGCAATCCGGGCGAATACACTGACCAATTATGCTACCGCGGCCCTCACGGACCGCGTTGAAATTCTTCTAGCCATTCTTAAGCTGCAAGGCAGCGCCATCTCTTCGCATTATAGGTAACCCACAATGTCAAATGAATACTTTTACAAGTATTAAACATATGAAAGAAGAAATAGCAATTATGGTTATAATTTTTATTATTTTTATTCTTTAGATAATATTTGATATACTTTTTAACATTTTATCCATTAAACTCAGATTTGTAACTGTCAAGAATAATTTGCTAGACGAAGGCCAGGTATCTGCATTTATAATTTGAATGCAAATTTCACAGGTGGCCTGGCCTCTTAAAAACAACGCAATTTGAAGAAAATTCCCCCTAATTACTTCGGGCTAATGCGATTCAAATTGCATTCTTGCGTTCATTCATGCAATTCTTTAGTCCACGATAAAATTTCCAGTGGAAACTTTCCGTTGGTACTGTCAAGCAACCTTATTAATCTTGTTCAAGTTATCAAGCAAATTAAAACCATTCTATTGGTTGAACATTTTCTCGTAGCAAAGAGTTTGTGTTTATAATTTTTATTATTTTAAAGCATGTAACTGCTTGATGTTTAAATCTAAAGAAAATATAACTGGAAAAAATTTCACGCGGACCAGGCAGTAGACGGGACTTGAACCCAGACCCTTCGCAATCCGGGCGAATGCACTATGCAGGCGCATTTGCCCGGATTGCGAAGGGTGCGGGTGCACTATGCAGGCGAGTGCATTCGCCCGGATTGTGAAGGGTGCGGGTGCACTATGCAGGCGAGTGCATTCGCCCGGATTGCGAAGGGTGCGGGTGCACTATGCAGGCGAGTGCATTCGCCCGGATTGCGAAGGGTGCGGGTGCACTATGCAGGCGAGTGCATTCGCCCGGATTGTGAAGGGTGCGGGTGCACTATGCAGGCGAGTGCATTCGCCCGGATTGCGAAGGGTGCGGATGCACTATGCAGGCGAGTGCATTCGCCCGGATTGCGAAGGGTGCGGGTTCGAGTCCCGTCTGCTGCCTGGTCCGCGTGGAATTTTTTCTAGTTATATTTTCTAAACAGTTTGTGTTTTATCTTCCAGGGTGGTTGGATAGCGACATGCAACGCTTTATTCATGATGGGAATGACGCAAGCATGCTTGGATCCAGCGAATCGGAATCTCCTCAAGAGTTGGATGCCACCAAATGAGAAATATTTCTGCAGTAGTTTAGTTTATGGAGGTAAATTTGTATAAAATTATTTATTTATTTAAGGAAAACATACAGCCTTATTATAATACATTTGAGTATAAAATATTTGATTTAAACATAAGCCAAATCAGTTTCCACGACGTAATAAAACTTTACATTGAGTAGATTTTTATTTAAATCTCATAACTGTAACAGGGATAAAAACAAGATTTTGTACAAATATTGGAAATTTTGAATAATATTTGAAATTTTGATGAGTCTCTTATTACTTATGTAGGTATGTCATTAAAAACAATATGAAAACAAAATGTAACAAAGATTGATTGCTGTTAATGGGCCTAATAACAATTCAATTAAAACAAGACGATACAGATTTTTTAAACTTAACTAAGTTAAGACTAAAAATGTCGAACTGTTTATATCTGTTATCATAGGCACTACAGGAGCTTATAGTACACCTATTCTTGGCATAGTTGGTGCGACACAAAGGCATTATATGTAAATCTTTCCAATCACACCCCTCACACCAAATAACGTAGTCCCAAAGGAAGCACTGTAAGACAATACAATACAATAACTCTTTATTATACACCACCAAAAAACGTTGAACATTAAGTACAAAACCATCCAGTACACGTGATGCAATGGGCGGCCTTATAGCTTAAAGCGATTTCTTCCAGGCAACCTTTGGATGGAGAGGATTAGAAGGAAGTGGGAGAGACGGCGGTGTAAATCGCTAGCAAAATATATATAATATACTAGTATATACATACATACACCATACACTTATAAGTATAAATACAAATACATACATTGATCTAGTCCAGTTAGGAGGACATCAGACTTGTGTTATGAGATAGCATAGAATAACAGAATAGAATAGAATAACGGATAGAATACATATACTGATACATAATAAAGTACATTCAGGCTATAAGTACAACTACTTTACTCTTTAAGCCATACGGCTGTGGAATGATTTACCCGATTCCATCAGATCTCCTAGTAAACTTATATTTAGCAGGAATGTCGCACCCATCTGCATCAAAAGGAGATTGCTCAAATTGGCCCAAATGCACAAAAAATATTGACTTACACGGTAATTCTTGGCGTAATTTATAATTTAATTTACAGTCATTAGATTTCAACGGACACCTTTGTATAATATATTTACTTTAAAAAGGACTTTTAATTTTACCGGTTTGGAAAACATACGAATCATTTTTAATGACTATGGGTGTAGTAACATTCAGCCAAAGACTGATCGAAGTTGTTTATATAGCATAAAAACAAATTTATTTTGTAAAGATCGATAAAATAAATATTTTTTTTATTACACTGTGGTATTAATATCCACAACTAAGTATATCATCATTTTCACTAGATGCAAATGTACTCAGACAAAAAAATTATTATAGATGGTAGGCGACAGCATAAAGTCTATTGCAATACATTTTTCGCCAAACACCTCCATAAACACATAATCCGTATATATGTTAGACTTTAAGGTATCTATCTATGGGCCTACATTCCCTGACTATAAATTAATAAATTAATAAAATTATAAGTTGTGATACACTAAAAATCTAAAATATGGTTATCTTAAAAACATAACAAAAATAATGAAGCTACTGAATATATGGCAAAAGAACCTAAATCTCTTAGCTTTCTTTGGTTAACGAGATTTTAAAAATTCTCTCTAATCTGTGGCTCATTCACAATCATCATTCATCACACAGTTTCTGTCACAGAGTACCTTATTATAACCGGAAATGACACCTGATTTTAAAAGTTACTCTTATGCATTAACTTTAAAAACAGGCAACTATCAGTTAATCTACATGCTCTATATACCTGAATCTAATCCATAATTTCGGTATACTTGGCTTGATTTCCTTAGTTTACTATATAAATTATTTGTTTTTTATTATTTTAATATGTTATGTGTATATGGTTTATAGAAGTTCTCAGGGGTGTCCGTCAATAATATTCGTTTCTACAGTAATTTATATAGAATTTAGAATCTAGGAAACAATTTTTCATGATTATTGGTCTTTAGGCCAAATATGTATGGAAGCTGAGCAATCTCCTTTAAGATGAAGAGTCACTTTATTAATCATCGTCATGTGTATATATATTTAAATATAATTGTGGTATGTATGTATGTTTATTCCTTCCGTAGTATGTATTTATATATGTGTATCTATGTTAATTTGTATATATTATTAATATTTTTTATTTATTTATTTATTTATGGACCATCAACACAGCTATATTAATACAAACAAACTTACACATATGCTTAAGTATTAGGATATAATATAACTGTAATTAAAGATGGCCTCATCATGCGCTGAACAGTAAACAGTTTTTTTACATTTTCTACATGCGAAATTTACTACACAACACAAATATTTGCCCAATCACAGAAGAACCTATACATAACTTATATTACAAGTGCTGGTATTCATCATACAAACATCTGCCCGACCGGTATTGAAACCCGGGACCTCTGAGTAGGTGACACCTTGACACCCAGCGTATATACGACTCGGCCTCGGAAGTCGACGTCATCATCATCTTCATCATCAGCCTATTAATGTCCCCACTGCTGGGGCACAGGCCTTCCCTATGGATGGAATAGGGAGATTGGGCCTTGACCCACCACGCGGGCCAAGTGCAGATTGGTGGGTGTTAACGACTGCAGATGCAGCCGGGACTAACGGCTTAAAGTGCCTTCCGAAGCACGGAGGAGCTCGAGATTGTAAATTTTTGGTCACCCATCCAATGACCGACCACTGCCAAAGTTGCTTAACTTCGACGATCGCAGCCGAGCGCCCTAACCACTTGCGCCATCGAGCTCCTCGACGTTGACTAAGAAATATATAAAAACGACCTATTTTGTGAAATAAGAACATTTATAGTGTAGTATCCTTAATTTTGTTTAAACAGTAATAGATACTGTCTCTACTTTGGACATAAATGAAACTCCGTCATGTGGTAAACGTTTGTATTTCGATACTTTAACATGAAATTTTGCATATTTAAATGGATCTAGTACGTCGCCATTATATGAGAACAATGTGAATGACAAAGATCTGAAGGTAGTGTAAAATGTTCCTATGAAATAAATCGCTTCTTGGTCCATGGGAGATTGCTGCTGTCGAAACGCAGGCGCGAACAGATACACACATCAAAAAAGGTTGCGATCACTTTGAAAAATAGATTGTTTTTTGGGTTACAGAAGAATACTTCTTTGTAATTTCTTTTTCTGATAAGATTTTAAATTTAAAAATCATAATTAGAACGTAAAACAATAAAATAATTCAACTGTTTTCCATATAAAAAGACATGTAATCCAAGCTGACATTCAATCAGAAAACTGGCTTAGTCAATATTTTCGATTTTTATTTCACGGAAAGTTGTGATTTAAAAAATGCCCTGAGGATTATCAGATGTTTTACGAGCCAGAATTGTAACTTTGAGGGAAGAAGGCTATTCTACGAGAGAAATAGCATGCAGAGTTGCCATGCCCCAATCCTGTGTAGCAACCACGTTGCAGAGATACCACGGCATGGGTAATTTAGCTGAACGACCCAGCAGCGGTCGCCCAACTGTTTTGACAGCTGCTCAGAAGCGCTACATCAAGTTGCTGGTAGCCAGCGACCCAACAATAAAAGCCACAAAATTAAAAGCAGAAATACGGGCCGCCTCCGGACTTCAAGTTAGCACTCAGACAATTCGGAATTGCTTACACAAGGATGTATTACGAAACTAATGACATTCTATTTATAAAAAAATTAAAACTGTTATTAATCGAAAAGTGCTACTATAGTATTAATGATTATTTGAATGACAATCTTAAGTAAATAGCGACTATCATGTACAAAATGACAATAAAATGATACACATAAATGACATATACAATTATACACACAAACATACATACATAAATATTATTGAACTTGACATTGAAATTTAACAAATATTATTTTTATTTTATTTTTTGCTAGTGACCCGCCTATTAATTGATTGTTTGTTTATATAGATGAAATGAATTCTCTTCACTTAAATAATATATGAATTAACTATAGTGACATTCAGTACCTAACTCTTTCAATCTATAAACTAACGTAGAAATTTGAATGTAACTCCTCTCTTCTATCTATCTCTCATTTCGTTGCGTGCCCGACAGGGTCCATAATGATCGTATTTTGTCATATTTAACATCTTTTTGTACATTGTGGATATGCAATAAAGAATTGAATTGAATTGGAGGTCTTGGCGAGTACCTTTGAATTCACGGTAACGTCAGCGACGGAGATCACAGTGGGCTAGGCTCCGGCAAAACGAAGAAGACGAAGAGAAAAACATTTGGCAAAACTGCCTCTTCGTTGACGCATCAGTACTCATCCAGATAACCGACGTGTCCGTGTTTAGAGAAGACTTGGAGACTCTGAAAGGCAAAGAACGGCCACTGGACCTGTTCTAGGCGGGAAATCAGTGTCCTTTTGGGGTGGTATTATAATTGGGACTAGAACGTTTTTAATCCCTTACCAAGACTTCATGACGGCAGACAGATACAAAACAGTCACTATTGATGGAATCATCAGACCTTTCCGAGTAAACCGTGGGCACCAATTTGTACTGGTTGACGATAATGCGCCCGCACATCGAGCTCAACGAGTCAATACTGCTCTCGGAGAATATGAAATCACAAGGTTAGACTGGCCTGCCGGCTCTCCTGACTTAAACCCAATAGATCACGCGTAGGATGCTCTTAAGCGAGCTGTTTGGAACCGGCAGCCACCACCCCAGATAGTGCCGCAGCTCAGGGAAGCTGCTGTTCAAGAATGGGACAGGTTACCACAAGAAATGCTGGATAAATTGATTCTCAGCATGCCCAGGTCTCCGCATGTGTTCGAGCCAGAGGAGGAGTTATTTTGTATTAGATAAACAACAATTTATTAATAAAGGGTTTTTGAGTTTGGTTAAACTATCTTTTTATTACTATCAAAGTTCTAAGGCGATTGCAGCCTTAGAATTGAATTATTATTTTTAGACTAAACAAAAAGTTTGTTTTTTTTTTAATTTCAGAAATTGTATTTTTAAATAAAAAAAGATGTAAACATTTTCTCATGATTAGGTTAAATTTTGAAAATATATCATCTTTTGCAAGTGATCTCAAACTTTTTTTGATGTGTATACTTTTGGTAGGTAATGGCATTTTTTTAATCTATTGATCGAAAGAAAAGATATTTTGTTTTTTTTTATTTATTACCTACCTGAGGAGCTCGATGGCGTGGATGCTTAGCGCGTTCGGCTCGTTGAAGTTAAGCAACTTTTGCAGTGGTCAGTCATTGGATGGGTGACCAAAAATCTTCTATCTCGAGTTCCTCCGTACTTCAGACACATTAAGCCGTTGGTCTTGGCTGCATCTGCAGTCTTTAGCACCCGCCAATCCGCACTGAGCCCGCGTGGTGAGTCATGGCCCAATCTCGCTATTCCATCCATAGGGAAAGCCTGTGCCACAGCAGTGGGGACATTAATAAGCTGATGATGATTACCTACTTTATCAGCCTAAACTTGGACTCTTATATGTATAAGTACTACCTATTTGCCATCCAGAATACATTTACACTTAACAATAGATATATATAAAATAAGCTATCTCGAACATTTATCACCAGGTCTTCAACTAGGTGTAATAATATCTCTCTACGTTGCTGGGATACTTTCCGAATCGAGACTCGGGTGGGAATTGATATTCTACTCGTTGGCGATGGCGACTTTATCAATGGCAGTGGTTTGTGCTTTGCTGACGGCCAGCTCGCCTGAAGACCACCAAGCAGTAGGAGATGAGGAGAAGGAATATATCAAAGAAACCCAGAGTTTATATAGAAAGGTAAGTGTGAAATATGGTACAAGGATAAATATGGGAAAGATAAATGTAAATAAATAGAACTAAATTATAGTTGCAAACAAACAATAGAAATAGGAATTAGTAATTTAAATAAAAAATGACTCTCAAAAATGAATATAAGAAAAGCAACTAATTTGTATATAATATAAAAATAGCAGTGACCAAAATGTATTGTAAAAGTTAAGCGAGGAATTAAAATAAGCAATGTCATACGAACAATTAAATTGTAAATAGAAAACAAAATTGTAAAAAGTGAAAAATAAAAACGTAAAGAAATCGAGAAAAGAATACCTCGAATGAAAAATTATGAACGGCAGAAAAGAAAACCTCTCTTAAAGAAATTAAAATAAAAAGCATAAAAAACTCCTGCCACAGAGTTGGGAAGCCGATAAAATCATAAAAAGAAAAGAAAATGGTACAAGAAGGTCACATACAAAGACTATTATGGCACTCAAGAATTAGAATATAATCTTAAAAAATATTCCTTTACTTTTAGTAAATCCTTTATCCATTTCCTGTTTTACCCTCCCTGCTTTTACTTTCACGTAAGCCAATTTTAATTTTCTGACCATTCATTCCTTCTATATAAAAATATGGAGAACAAAAAAAATTGCTCGTTACAAAAACTTAAAACCGAACATTCGTGAACGTATGATATCGGTTAGTACTTCAAGGATTTTTTCGGTTAGTGATTTGTTTTAAGTTAGTGATTACCACAACTTCTCTGTTGAACACCCGTTAAGAAGTTTTAATGTGTTTTCTTTTTTTAGGACTCCTCAGCATTTGGGGAATGTTTATTGACAGGTGGACAGTATCCTAATCATAATTTATAATACTTTCAGAGGCCCATAATATTACCATGGCGTACGGTTCTCAAGACACGGCAATTCTGGGCGGTGATATGTGCGCATGCGGCGAGCAACGCCGTCTTCATATTCTACCTGGTAGACGTGCCGGTGTATCTGGCAGTTCTGAATGTCTCTATTAAAGATGTAAGTATTTTGATTACACAGAGGACCGAAAAGGTTTAATCGCCATTAAGATTTTATAGTCATAAAAGAGCCAATTACAGATAGGGATCATAAGGCATCCAGAAACTGAGTAAAATGAAAAACCATGATGTATGTCTAATCTACAGAAGCTCTTAGATATAGTTCTATGGATATGATCGAGAACCATTTATATTTTATATTATGTATTCAGTATACTTAACACATTACAATTACTAATGGAACTGAATTATAAATTATATATTAATAATGGAAATAGGCGATCAACACATACGACAAGCACACATATAAAATATACTTGTATTAAGGAAATAACACTAAATTGGCAATCGTATAAAACAAATGAATAAATTGAATAAAATTACTTACAATTGATTTAAATACATTACATAAATGAAATTATATTACATCACATGACAAAAATAAAACATTGGTAAGTTTATTTAATGTAACGAAATTACCACATTCAATGGATTACATTATCATTGAATATATGTATATTAAATTAAATTATCAAAAGAACATATTAAATCAAATCTATGAATTTTAGAACAATTTTTTTTTCTAATTTTAGCAGTTTGGACTACAGAAATCCACATCTTTGTACCCATAAAGCAACTCATTGTAGACACGACACATCATGACTATAAGGTTATAATAAGAAGTACCTAGTGTTAGTGAGTACTTGAAATAAAAAATAATTTGGATTACGAGACTTTTAATGCGATGAAAGTTGACATCAACACAGTTTCAGTTTTTGATGTCATCTTTCAATTGACGGCACTGTATGAAACAAAACAGGGGGAAAAATTGCCCTTGCTGAGTTTCTTGTCGGTTCTTCTCAGTACAAGGTCTCCCGCCGTAGATTTACGAACCGATGGCGTAGCGTTTGACTTTCAAGAGAGCTTGTAACAGCCTAGACTAAATAAATGAGTTTGAGTTTGTATCTAATAGAAGCGAAAGAAGCGATGCGACGGACTCACCGTATGCAAGTTAGCGATTTCCTATGGGCAGGTTAAATACGAATACTTACGACACGTTACTCTAGGGACTGCATGTTAAACCTTATCATTCTGTTTTCGTAAACTTTGATTATTTTTTGCAACCCATAACGATAGCAGAGTATCTTGAAAAATCTACGTTTATATGTGGTAATAATAATTTTGCTATTATTGAAGCTTTACATAAATCAAACTTTTCTATATTGTTATAATTTTTTTTTAAAGCATGTAACTGCTTGATGTTTAAATCTAAAGACAATATAGTAGCATAAATAATTGGTCAGTGCATTCGCCCGGATTGCGAAGGGTGCAGGTTCGAGTCCCGTCTGCTGCCTGGTCGACGTGGGATTTTTTCTAGTTATATTTTCTTTAGATTTAAACATCAGGCAGTTACATGCTTTAAAAAAAGTAAAAAAAATAACTATAATTGCTATTTCTTCTTTCAAATGTTTAATACTTGTAAAAGTATTCATTTCACATTGTGGGTTACCTTGAATGCGAAGAGATGGCGTTGCCTTGCAGATTGGGCTAGAAGAATTTCGACGCGGTCCGTGAGGGCCGCGGTAGCATAATTGGTCAGTGCATTCGCCCGGATTGCGAAGGGTGCAGGTTCGAGTCCCGTCTGCTGCCTGGTCCGCGTGAAATTTTTTCTAGTTATATTTTCTTTAGGTTAATATTAGCTTTCTATCAAATTAGTTTCACATCAAAGTATAGTTTAACAGAATCAAATCACATAGAATACTGACATGGAATTGTCTCTCTCACAGAGTTCATTCTACGTTCTCCTGGCAGTGGTCTCAATGTGGGTAATACACGCGATGACTGCTCCGACCATTGAATGGATCACCAGTTTCGGAAACGCCAGCAATCTCTTCAATACCAATTACCTGAGGAAAGCGATCAATGCTACTGGTAAGGCTTAGATGATTATGCCCCATTTTGAAGAGTCATTGAGAGAAATTCATTTTAGCACATAGCTAGTCTGAAGTATATGTCACTAACATTATAGTAATGATGAATACGATATAGTCTGAAGTATCTCTTATCTAATAGACAAGTCCGTCCGTCCGTCCGTGGTGCTGTTTCAGCGGCCAAACCGTAAGAGATAGATAAAGAGAATGTTCAAGTTATAAGTTAAGAATAGTCTGATAAGACTACAAACCGGATTTGAGTAACGTAGCACTTCCGGTTTTCGAGAAATCACGTGATTTCTATTTCAAACGAAACCACACAAAATCTCCGAAGTTCTCAATTAATTAAATACTTTTTTTTTTTTTTGCCTACCTGCAATTACTTCAGTTACTCCTTGATCCGCTTGCAACAGTGCTGAAACAACGGCAAATTGCTCAAACCAAAGTACAAAACATGGTAACAATCCCCGAAAATAACATCTATAATTTATGCCGCATGTACTTCAAATTGTTTGGAAACCGAGCGTTACAGACTCACTAGAACAAAAAAGTTGTGAAATAGCATGGGCCCCGGTTTATTCTTGTTATATCGTATAAACAGCATAATATGATATAGTTAGATATTTTCTAAACATTACGATTGACGGTCTCGGTGACGCGAAGAAATGAATTAACGTAAAAGAAAAATCATTGGTCTACCTTTTGGCACGTGAAGTGAAAACACTTGCGTTACCTATATCAAGAAATCAAAAATCAAAAATCAATATAAATCTTTATTCAAATTGTATGTATAGTACAACACTTTTGAATTCTCCAAACATTTTTTTTCCCTACCACTCGTTATTATATATTTTAGCTGCGGAGAAAAACGAGTGAAAAAAATGGTTGCCTGTAAAGTCGGTTTTACGGGCGAAGATTTTACGTGACAACGTCTTTTTCTCGGTAGAATATTTATTGATATGAATATAATTAAATTGCACAATAGGAACAAGGAATTGAATGAAAATAAGAATTGCACAAATTTTAACTATAGAAATATATTTTATAGTAATATAAGTTATTTACGGGATTGTTACCATGTACCTTGTTTTTAGCGAGTTTCCGATATTTCGGCACTGTTGCAAGCGCCATGATCACGGAGTAACTGAAGTAATTGCGGGTAGGCTGTTATTGGCAGACATATCGGTCTACCCTCCGACGAAGTCTTTTATTGCGACCCGTACCACTGTTCACATTCTCACTATTCACTCGAAACTGTTCTCGACACACAACACTTACAGTATCGGATCGCGACACGACACTTTTTTGATTATTTCCGGTTCTACACATACGAACCACAGGATTCCAGACACTCGACAATTTAAACCCGTCCTCACGATTGAAATTTTTATGTTTTGTTATTTCAATCGCTTCCCTGACCAATCTTGGTATGTAGTGGCGTTCTGTCGAGATAATCTGTGGGTTATGAAACTCAATCCAGTGGTTAGAACCAGAATTAATCAAATGTTCCGCGATGGCTGATTTCTGCGTATCGTTGTTCTTGATTGCTTTTATGTGTTCCCTCATTCGGCATGATACTGTTCGCTTTGTTTGGCCAATGTACGAACTGCCACAGCTGCAATCGATCTTATAGACACCAGGTTTCTCCAAGGGGAAGTTGTCTTTAGGAGACCGTAGGTATTGTGAAACCTTTCGCACAGGAGTGAAGACAGTGTTTAGTGAGTACTTATTCAGTATGTTTGAGATCTTGTCAGTCACTCCTTTGACGTATGGTAAATAAACAGGTTGTCTGTCTACTCTGTGTCTCTGGTGTCTTAGTTTGTGTCTTGATGGAAAATGTCCCTGGTATCCATTACTCTGTAAGACTCGTCGTACATGCTCCAACTCTTCTTGAAGATGTTCCTCATCACACAGGTCATATGCACGGTTCGTCAGTGAAGTCATTACAGAGTTAAGATGTTTAGGGTGGTGATGCGAGGAGGCGTTGAGATAGCGGTAACAATCCCGTAAATAACTTATATTACTATAATGTTAGTGACCATGAAAATTTAAAACAAGAAATATATTTTGTTTACTAAAACATTGTACATGTAAACTTAAACTTAACACGAGAGACTCATCGTAACGTTACCGAGCGTTACACTTTTTCATAAGTGACTCCCAGCCGCAACCTAATTTAAGACGTTGTCACGTCAAAAAACTCCACAACATTAAAAGCATAGATTTATGTCTGTAGCCAAAATTTTGAAGATTTACGTAGAATTTCGAATTTGGCTGTTGGTAAGACGATCATAGAGTATTCTTAAAGTCAACATACGATGTATTGTAAACTCCGCCGTGTTGTATCCTGTTCTATATCATTAAGAATTTAATAAGTAAGAGGATGACGTTCGATGTAGACTAATCCTCTAGGCGGCTGTTCTGATTCAAGTGTTAAATCAGCTACACCCTATTCCTCTTCAATATTTCTACAAACTAATTTATTTGATTACAATCTCGGATCATGGTAATTTAAGATGAATAGGGATGATGACTATTATTTTTTTCTTCTTTTACATAATATGTATTTTTTCCTTTTTCACATAATTTAAACATTGCAGAGATATATAGATTTGAAAAATCGCATGACGTCACGTTTGAGTACACTTATAAGGGAAAATTCACTCAAAAGTGACGTCACGAGCCCCTACTCCCAAACTTTGACGCGCTATAACTTTGTCATTTTTGGTTGATTGCCCAAAGAAAAAATACGTGTTCATTATTTTTTGATCATCTAACTGACTGACTAAATAGAATTTCGTTTACTGTACCCCGTCATCACCCCTATTATGACGTTCTGTGTTGAATTATGTAGGTAAGAAAATAAACATTTCCCTACTTATGAATGTGAAAAATGATTGCCCATATGTGCGCCACGAATCCGTAGCGTTATTGCAGGTAATCACGCAGGGATGCCGGGGAGCAATCTACTGGGAGATCTAATTAGCACTAATGATAAGGTTTATGTATAGTTAACATTCTGTACAATTACGCGGTAAAATAACGGAATTGTACATACCATCGATCGTTGAAGATTGAAAATCTAGTACGACCGATAGAGGTTTGTCAGAGGTTCTGGTTGTAACGTTATGTAGATTGTAGGTTGGTTTATTTATTGCACTCATGTGGTTATTACAGATGTTACATTAAGATTAGATACAGACACATGAACCCTGAAAGGGTATAGCAATTTAATTTAAAACGTCCTTAATTAAATAATAATAATAATCTACTTCAATTAAATTTAATTCAAATTATCTTGAACATAATTATTAACTAATAATTAATAACACTGACAAATAGCATTCAATAATAACAATAATAATAATTTCAATTAAAATAACATTACGTAGGAACATTAACGTGGAAATAAAAAGATTGATATACTAGCGACCCGCCCTCGCTTCGCTTCGGTGTAGAGCTGAAGTGTAGACTACAGTTTTTGTTCTCAGGCTTGTATTATACACAATGACATTCATCTATGATTCTTCTTATACCTGCATGCAAAGTCTCAGCCCGATCGGTTTAAAATTGACAAAGTTTCATACAAACTTTCATTCCCTATTTTATCCCTTTGGGGGTAGAATTGATCAAAATCCTTTCTTAGCGGATGCCTACGTCATAGCATCTACCTGCATGCCAAATTTCAGCCTGATCCGTCCAGTGGTTTGGGCTGTGCGTTGATAGATCACTATGTCAGTCAGTCACCTTTGAGTTTTATATTATATTACTCATAAAAGATAGATATATATGGTGTCGCAGAATTTTTTGTAGGACTATTTAAGATAAATATTTTCACCATACATTATATACATGTAGCACTAACTGTTTTTGCAGCACACGCCTGAATAGCTCGCAGATTGCAGAATTTTTTCAGACTTAAATGACATTTATCGTTATATTTTGGACAATTCACACAATATCTTTATAAATTATAGCCTATGTGTTATTCTGATCTATAAGCTACATTACTGTAAAGTTTCATTAAAATCCGTTTAGTAGTTTTTGCGTGAAAGAGGAACAAACATCCATCCATACATCCATCCAAACAAACTTTCGCCTTTATAATATTAGTAAGGATACTTATCAATCACGTGTAATCGCTCCAACAGACAGGCACAGAAAGAGAAACAAGCACATTGCTACCAACTTAAGCTAATAGTGAAATCATAAACTATTTACATGTGCAGTATTGGCAACATTAAAATGTTGGATACTCCAACAAGGTTTTCATAGAGACCGTATAGTGTAAGTGTATCGTCGTCTGTCTGTGTCTGTGGGTTATGGGACGGCGAGATTCTAAGGGGACCTCAAGCCGAGAATTGGCGAGTGCTTCTAGAGTTATTCCAGGCGGATGACATCTCCCCACGGGGGGAGTCTCCTCTCCGTATGGAGCATCTAGACCACTCGAACCTGAGGTAGTCGGCTCAACTAGAGGGCTTCTCTGAGATTCGGACCTCGGCTCTATTTAGTCGTTGTCTGGTCTCTCGGTGTCCTGGATTATCCAGGGTATTTGCTATACGCAGTACTTGAGGAGCTCGTAGCGCGAGTGGTTAGTTATTTAGCGCGATCGTTGAAGTTAAGCAACTTTCGCAGTGGTCGGTCATTCGATGGGTGACCAAAAATTTTCTATCTCGAGTTCCTCCGTGCTTCGGAAGGCACGTTAAGCCATTGGTTCCGGCTGCATCTGCAGTCGTTAGAACCCGCGAATCTGCACAGGATTAGCGTGGTGGGTCATGGCCCAATCTCCCTATTCCATCCATAGGGTAGGCCTGTGCCCCAGCAGTAGGGGCATTAATAGGCTGATGATAATGACTTTTAATTCGTCGTGTGCTTGCAGTTGTCAGCGATCTATTTCGGCGGACAAAAAATACCGCGGACAAAAGTCTCTCGTCTGGGCAGGCAAGACTAGAATGAATTGGCATCTTCTAGACATTTTTTTTTATAGATAGGTCCGACAAATGACACCACCCCACCTGATGTTAAGTGAAGGTGAAGTCCAGATGCGAAGATAACTGATACAGCAGTTCTAACTGCCACACCAGCCATCATCACCCTGCCGGCCTGTAAGTTGCTTCTTCACGCTACACTCTTCTTTACTTCTTCTTTACTTCACGCTCACATGCTAGAGGTGCTCGTACTTTTTCATCAACAGTACCTTTTCGGGAGTAAAAAATAAAGGTAATTTTCCCAAGGGAATTCCGGATATTCCCGTTATAGGTACGCGTCACTAGGTCTATTTATTCAACAGGTTTGTTGAACAGAAGCTTGTTTTCTCATCAGGTGCATTCGTGGCAGTGAGCGGACTGATAATCCTGCCCAATATTGGTCCAGACTCCCCGAACCTGACATTCGTAGTGTTAGCTGCAACACTGGCGTCAGTCGGTTTTCAATTCTCCGGGTTTCTGGTGAGTGTAGTCCTACTTACTGCTGTGGCGCAACGATCCGAAGTGGATCTTGGCCTCCGACACAAGATGACGCCATGCTCTGCGATCCCGGGCTAGGTCTCGCCAGCCGTCGGCACCCAAAGACTGCAAGTCCCTCTGCACCTCGTCGCTCCAGCGGTATCTGGGACGTCCAATGGGCCGTCGTCCTATCGGTTGCCCCAAATACGCCCTTTTCACGGCTCGATCCTCTCCCATTCTCTGTACATGCCCGAGCCAGCGGAGTCTAGTTGCTTTAATTTCTCCTATGATGTTGGGCTCGGACCGTTGTCCGTGTCCGAGTCTGAGTGTAGTCTGATTAAAAGAAATATTGCCTTACTATAATTGTTGGTTTTCGGAAATGGATCCAGCTCTAAGGAACCAGATGTCGGTGATGAAACTGATGAAAGTTTTCAGTCTTCGGATCCTTGGTGTGGTCTCTATGTAGGTTTCCGGATCCAAAACGCTAGTTGTTGCTTAAAGAAGGAAGTCGTAACTTAAACTTAAGTGGCTAGTTGTTCACACGATGATTGTTCCTATAATTCGCCTTACAAATCTTTCGTCTTATATAATAAATTGGCCTTGGTTGTCCGGGACCGTCGAACAATCACAGCACTCACTTTAATGCGCATCTCCCACCCGACCGTTAAGAAGTATGCCTTCTGATTGGCAGTTCATCACGCGACTGTCCCCCCGTCGCTACACTACATAGGGGGCTCAGGTATTATGGGAGTACTTCACAAGGTTCAAGGGTGCCTCTTATGTTATTCTGCCGCGCTAGAGTAAATCCTTGAATCCCCGCATGGGTTGGGGTTTTTTCAAATATTCTGTTCGTTACAGTAAATTGTCTTCTTTGTAAAACGGAACGACGCAAATCGCCCAAACTTGTCCACGCTTCGGAGATCATGTTTTCTCCGCACAATCATAACGAAGCTCGAAGTAAGACGAGTCGACTATTTGCAACTGTAAGTCCTTCAACCCCCGTAAACCGTTTTGAGGTGTCTCAGAAATAGCAAACGCAGGATGGTCGGCAGGCTTTGTCGTATATCTGGTTGTATAATACGATATGGCATATAATTATGGTTACTAATAATATAAAACAAAGCTACTATAAAATGAATTTATTTAGCTACTTAAATATGCCCATGTGTCATACCTTTTGACTACCAGGATATTTTTTTACGGTGTCATAATAAAAAAAGGCTAGTTTTTCATAGATCTATCGATTCATACTAATTACATTGTTGGCGGTCCTTTTAACACGACTGGCCCAAAAAAGAGTGAAATCATTTTTTAATTATCTTCTTTATTACAAAGTTGCACGATATTTAAAATAAGAACTAACAGGATTTCTTTATAAGACGAAAGGATAGAAGTATTGTTTATTATGATAATTGTAAGTGAATATTTTCCGTAATATCGTTGCAGAAAACTATAAACGATATGTCGGAGAACTTTCGCGGTACGCTGATGCTGATCACCAGCTCCATCGCGGGTCTTACCGGCGCTCTCATACCGGTGGCTTGCGGACTTATAGTTAAAGATGAAGAGGTACGTTCTACAGACTTAATTAAATAAGATTACAGTATCTTCGGAGGCTCGATGGCGGAAGTGGTTAGCCCATTCGGCTGCGATCGCTGAAGTTAAGCAACTTTCGCAGCGGTCAGTCATTGGATGGGTGACCGAAAATTTCCTATCTCAAGCTCCTCCATTCTTCGGAAGGTACGTTAAGCCACGTTAAGGTGCATTTGCAGTCGTTAGCACCCACCAATCCGAACTGGGCCTGCGTGGTGGATCATGACCAATGTCCCTATTGCATCCATGTGGAAGGCCTGAGCGCCAGCAGTGGGGACATTAATAGGCTGATAATGATGGTGATGATGATGATGATGACATTACCTTCTTCCTATTAAGCTTCTGCAATATTTCTAGACTTTAGACGTCCATGAGATACTCATGCAGTTGCCATATACTAAATCAGTATGTAAATAACAAAAAACAAAAAGGCGAAAAGTCTCCAGTTTAAAATCTCCTGGATAAATCATCAAACCAATTTAACAACGTTCCGTCTAATGGTCGCTATGAGGCGACGAGAAACGTTTTATTTTTATTGGAAAAGGTTGGCAAACAAGCATAATATGCCTCGCCTGATTAGCCGCCACAGCCTATAGGCGTCTACGCTACTACAGTTTCACTGGCACCATTTCCCATGGTCTTACCTACCTTTAACTAGCAGCCAGTATTCAGAACACAGATCAAGTTCAATGAATGTGTGGCGACTGGATTCCAAGAATGCTGACTTGATATAAGCGTCGACGCGCGGTCCGCGGTGACGCGAGCCAGTCGCACATAACCACCGATCCCGTTAGGTTTATTCTCAAGTCATTGTAATAGTACGCATAACAGTTACAAAGTAGACAGTAATTTGGAGTCAGAGTAATTTAGATGAACATTGTGAAGTGAATAAACAGTCAGTGATTTATATAACAGCTTTTATTTGACATTCACACCAGACCCTATTGGCCAAAAATGTATATACCGTAGAGTTAGGGGGATTTTTACCAAATATCGATAGCGTCATCTTAAAATTAACTGATTTTGATTAACTTCAAAACCAAACATATTTTGTCATCAATTAAGTAACTAATCACAATTATAAGTTCTCCATGGTCAAGTCCATGGAATCAGCATTTTATCATACAATTTCCGTTGACAACAATGGTTATTTTATGAAACAAGCTTTTCTTACAAGTGCCACACATAATGTCATGTATAAATTTAAAACAATGCAACAATCTAATATTTTTGTTTCTTCCTAGAACTCTCTCTCGAGATGGAGGGCTATATTCCTCATACTTGCTGGTGCCTGTGCATTAGGCAATATCGTGTACACTGTTTTTGGGAGCAGCGAAAGGCAACCTTGGGACGAGATCAGGACCAGACGCGAATGTTGATACCACAACCGTATGTTTAGATGTATCTGCCTTTTTATAAATTGTTGGCTATAATGCATTATCAGATCCGGTTGACAGTATTATGAACACTCTGATTCATTCAATTCTTTTCAATCAGGTCGGTTTCAGTACTGTGTCGTTTTATTTTATTTGCTACGTTTTGTATTGCGCGAATAACGGGACTGGCAAGTTGAATGGTTCAGTAGCACTTGGTACAGAGAGTTTTCGAAAGGGAAGCTCTCATGTAATAACATGCACTCGGTAAAGAATCTACACAATTGAAAATAAAACGGGCCCACACCGACTCGGAGAGGAAAGCGCTTTAGAGGTTCTAGTATTAATTTTAACAGAATCGCAAATGAAAAGACGACCTGTCTGGTGGTTAGACTCAACTCAACTCAAACTCATTTATTCAGTCTAGGCTGTTATAAGCTCTTGTTAAAGTCAAACGCTACGCCATCGGTTCGTAAATCTACGACGGGAGACCTTGTACTGAGAAGAACCGGCAAGAAACTCAGCAAGGGCTATTTTTTTCTCCCTGTTTTGTTTCATACAGATTCGTCAATTGAAAGATGACATCAAAAATTTAAAACATGTGTTGATGTCAACTTTCATCACATTAATATTATTAATTAATAAAAGTTAAGTATAGCTAGGTACTATTTTTAAATTAAGAAGTGGCGACTAAACAATTTTCAACCAAATTAGCAAAGTAAAACAACTTAGTCTATTATATTAAGCCCAAGGTGCCTTATCATTCATGAAATCTTTAACAGTATAGTAACCTTTTTTAAGGAGTCATGTTTCTATACACACTTGTTATGTTACTTATGTTTTGACGCACAAACACTATACAATTGTAAATGTATTGAGAGGCAACAGTCATTATACCTACTTCTTTAAATGTATCTCTAAGAGAAGTTTGAGATCCCAAGCGCTATATAGCTTTTATAGCTCGTTATTGAAGAATAAAAACTATGTCAATGTCAGCGGCCGTGCCCCACAATAGAATGGCATAAGACATAATGCTGTGAAAGTAGCTAAAGTATATTATCCTAGCAGTGTCGACATCTGTAAGCCGTCTTATTTTATAAATTGCATAAGCAGCAGAACTAAGTTTACCGGATAGTGTTGTAATGTGAGGGTTCCATTGAAGTCTAGTGTTTGTTGTTGTCTAGTGTTACGCCTAAGAAAACTGTTGTATCGACTAAAATTAGTTTTTCACCATTTAGAATTATATCCCCCATTTCAGCATGCTTTACATTTGACAAAGTAAATTTCACACATTTAGTTTTGTTCGCATTAAGTTTAAGATTATTAGTAGAGAACCAGTGAACCTTAGAAAGTGCATTGTTTATATCGTCAAAATTAGTTTTAGACCTGTCAATGTTAAAAATTAGTGAGGTATCATCTGCAAACAAAACAATGTCACAAACATTTTCTACAAAGAAAGGTAAATCATTAATGTAAATTAAAAAAAGAAATGGACCTAAAATTGAACCTTGAGGAACGCCTATTTTTACATGAAATCCGGTTGATTTTGTACCGTTAATATCAACTGTTTGTGTCTTTTCTGTTAAATATGATTGCACTCATTTTTGTGCGGCATCTTTTATGCCGTAATGATTTAATTTCTGGAACAAAGTTTGATGATTAACGCAATCAAAGACTTTATTAAATATATATTTTACACTAAAAACAGTGGCACCAGCATCAGTTGTGGTACGGTATTTAGTGAAACCGTACTGCGCTCTGTGTAAAAGTTTATTAATGTTAAAATGAGTCAACAATTGTTCTAACATTATTTTTTCAAAGATTTTACTCAATGCTGGCTATATAGATATTGGATAGTTGATAGGATCTTTACAATTTCCCGACTTAAATAAAGGTATAACTTTACTGAATTTCATAAGATAAGGAAATTCTCCCTGATCTATACATGAATTAAAAATATCAGCTAGGTAAGGGGCTATAGAATGTATAATATTCTTTATGACTTTGACATATATACCCCATAAATCAGATGTATTTTTCATTTTCAATGAATGGAAAACTTTAATTATTTTAAAAGAGCTAACTTGCTTAAAATTAAATAATAAACCACACGGTAGAGATATCGAAGCCTTTATACTCCTTTAGACTTTACCAGTATTTTGTAGGAATGGATTCTGTTTTCTTTTTCTATGATATTAGTATCTTAGGCTTACACTTGAATTAGGGATGCTAAGTCTATATATCGACATTTATATTGAAGTCAGGCAAATATCGATATTCGATGTATCGATCATATCAACTCGACATTTATCGTTATTTTCAGTATCCTTTGTAGCCGTAGCAGTAGTGTTTTGCCAGCAAAACTGTAAATCTTTGTTATAAATTGGCAAAACAAAGGCAATGCCGGTATATACCTACATACATATAACACATAGAGATCCATTATTTTGCTCAAGCCAATCCGCACTGGGCCCGCGTGGTGGGTTATGGTCCAATCTCCGTATTCCATTAGGGTATAGGGAAGGCCTATTCCCCAGCAGTGGGGACATTAATTGATGATGATGAAGCATCCATTTGGATTCCTATGATTACTAATATATTTCTTGGAAATTGGACTATTACATATAAATATTGATGCTTTTAAAATTCATTCTCAGGCCATCAAGGTGAGAACGAATGACTCGAGTGGCCAAAATGTTGTTGAGATATTTTATTTGCATTTCAAGTCCACTTACGCTTAAATCCCTTAGTGGCTGCAGACTTTCAATCTGCTTTGAGCCGATAATGTATTTTCTAGAGTCCAGACATTATCGACTGATGCCAAATCGCGTACTCGCATACATAAATTCGAACTCAACAAGAACCCCAAAAAATACAGGGCAGAAAAAAGATCTGTATAACTCCCGACTGCCTGATACGAAAGTTATTGTAAGAAATAAAAAGATTAGCTCTTTCTCCGATTGCAGAACTTAAAAACTTTCACTATTGATAGTACTAGATAGTACTGAAGTGGAATCAAGTAAAAGTTCTTGGAAGTTCTAAAAGTTTTGCCATTAAGTTAACATTGTTATTTTCATACAGATAAAATTGTCGAATAACCAACTTTTTTTTTTACAGATTCAAATCAACTGAAATTCGAAGATATCAACAATTCTACATTGAGGCATCAGAAAATTTATAAAGCGTGATTTCTTTTGTAAATATACCTAGGTACCTACTCAATTGTGCTAATAAATATCTTAAGTTATTTATAAATTTTTATTTTTTAATTTAATTGAAACAATTACGCCAAGTTCGTAATTTTCCAGCATTACACAGTTATGATGATTTAATGGCTCCTGTGCTGTCGAAATAATTATTAAAAAAGGATGACCCACACGGTGTGTATCAGGATAAAGGTTCAGTAATTGCATTAATAGTTGAAATTTTAAGATTAATAAAATCATTAAGGTAGTTCTAATGTTAAGATGGTCGTTCACTATAAATCAGTCTATACCGTCCATAGGGAAGGCCCGTTTCCCAACAGTTAGGACAATAATAGCCTGATGAAAATCTCTTTCGATAAAAGACTTCTCCCATATTTATTAAGCCTTGACTTATCCTCAAATTATAAGAGCTTAAAGAGACTATTCATTAAATTGATTGGTCAATCTAAAACGTATTGTATTGTATTGCAATAACGTCGGTTATGTAAAAGCACTCAATGATGCGATATCGAAGGTCCGTCAGGTTTCAGGGATGAAAAGGGACGCAATCCCTAATAAAATACTTAGATATTATCCTTTGAGAAAATAACGTTAAACTAAAGTAAAGTCGAATTTGAATTAGGTTTATTAGACATAAATACAGGTCTTTAAACAATGGGATAGCTGGTATCGAAAATGTACCTATCTGTGAACTTATTTTAATAACAGTCTTTAAGGATATTGCTTCTAGTACTAATCGCCTTACGTGTCAAATGTAAGAACTTTTGCTAAGCCACATGAAGTCTCCATCAGTAAAAAATATTATGAAAATTGTAGTGACTCATATTATAGATAATTTATAATTTTATTGGAATAATCCAATTTCAGTTCGTAACTGTATAGTCAAAAGAAGACTTTTTAACAATTAACTCGTCAAAAACTGCAAAATAAGCGATGATATCAGACAATGGAGAATTTTAAACAACAAACATCATGTAATTATATAACAATCAAAAAACATTTCGCAGTATGACACATTTATTAATTCTCAGGAAGTTTTCCGTGTTGATTTTGTTATAGATAACGAAGATACAACTAAATCTAGTTAAGCACAGAAGAATTACAATCCTTTTTTATTTATATACCCTTACAAATAACGGCACTTCTACTAACTAAAGTGTAATGTAAATACTGTTCAGTTCAGTAACCTGCACAATACTAGCAAACTTCAAATTGTCGGTGTATCAGGTGCTCCTACAAGGCTTTTTAAAGGAACCGGTTTTTTAGAACAAAACAATGTTTGGCAGTGAATAACTGATCAGGTGATAGTAATTTGAGATAATATTATTTATTTAAAATTAACCTTATCTGAGATGAAAACCCTGATGGTTATTAACAAGTATCAGATGTGTTAACATTAGCAGCTTCTGTTTGTTTAAAAACAGACGTATACGCTATAACTATAACTTTGAGTGTTCGACGAGAAATTGAGTTTCACTTATTACATTTCATTTGTAATTAACATGGCACAAGATAAAGTTGAATATTCTAGTGTTGGTGAAACTGACAAATTTGAAGGTATAAAATTATTTCAAACTTGTTTTAGTTTATTTACTTTTAATATCCTGCAGAAATAGTACAAGCATATTATGACAGCAATATTTAAAGCTTATATATATTTCATATAAAGTAGCTTTCAGGATTTGAAGCTTAAGATGAATGATGAAAGTCAGATTCTTTATCGATCTTTATTCAAGGGTTTGTATTTATATGAATACAAATATTTAAACTATTCATATTAACAAACTTAAGCGCTGTGGGAGAGTAATATAGGATAACGATAAGTTATAAAGAAAACAGTAAGAAATATTCAAGTATAAATTTAATTCTTTTACCAATTCAATTTCGCCAATCAAAACTTACATTATGATTTAATATAGCTCAGAATTAAATGTTAATCAAAGATTTTATTATCTTATTCTCTTTTATAGATCTAAAATGTGCACAAAATATTCCAAAGGGATTTGGTGTGCGTCACTTGCAAGTTTTACTACTTTTCATAAGTTTAAGTGTTGGGTATGCAGTGAGAGCACAACTAAGTGTTTCTATGGTAGCTATGACTACTCAAAACCTTGAAAGCATTGAATTTAGTCATATAAATATAAGGAATAATAGAAGTTTGGTTGTCTATAAAAACGAAGAGAATTCAACAGATTCGAACAGTAGTGACAAAACTACTAATTTAAGAAGAAATAGAAAGACAGGAACTAGATCTTGGACAGTATATAGAGTAAGTGCTTTTCTTATCATTTTTATAATATTTTGGATTTTTAAATGTGATGAATTTTTGCTGTTTGTAGTTACAGATACCTCAATGCTCTGACTTGTCTCTAAGGTAAAACCAGACAAATGATAAACAGGTGGTCTTTTTCCATACGAAGCCTCAGAAGACTGAGAAATTTCAGACTTAAGAAGGTCTCAATGATATAAATGATATATATTTTGTTTCTATGTTTTATTAATAATCCAAATGAATGTTATTTTGTTTCATTAAATTTAAAAAAAATCTCTATTTCAGACATACAGTTGGGACAAACCAACACAGGAAATGATCTTGTTCTCTTTCTTCGTGGGGTATACATCAATGATGTTGCCAATGGGTATTATATCTCAAAGATATGGAGGGAAGATACCGATACTGATTGCTTTGGCTGTTAATGGCGTACTTTCTATATTGTCACCATGGGTGCCACTATTTGTAAGTCACTAAACTGTATAAGTATTTATTTTGATATATTAATTGAATATTATCATGGTATATTATGTGTTCTACATTACTGAAAGTTGTGTCATATGTTTAGAAGTATTTTGTTAACTTCCACTACCATTGTCTATGGTGTATGTTTTGAGGTAAATGAATGAAGTTACTAGCCATTGGCTTATAGCGATTTCAACTGACATTCTCAAGGAGTCTGTCTCTAGTTCGTGTCCCTGTGTTTTACTTTTCGGCAAACAACAAGTTTTTTTAATTTGTCCGGTTCTCAGAGTTCTATTGTTTTTATTGCAAGTATTATTTCAATATCAGAAATGTGTATAACCCTTTGGTTTTCAAAGTGTCAGAGGTACATTTGATTGTAACTTAATGTTAAATTTAAGGCAGGATGGATGGGAATGTGTGTATGCCGACTGCTGCAAGGAATGACACAAGCGGCATATTATCCAAGTATTCACACGATTCTGGGCAAATGGGCTCCGCTCAGCGAGAGGGGTAGACTTACCACCTATGTTTATACTGGTAAGTGATTGACATAGTACAAAGGTACCCTTCAAAAGATCACGGTAAAATAATATTGTCGTTCGTTGGTGTTGTTTTTCTGTTGGTAATTAAGCGCAGTCATGTTAGTGAGCTAAAAATGGCTAGAGACACATTACCCTACTATAATGCGATTCAAATAAGAATAGGAAGCCAATGACCTCCATCTGTCAAACGTCGCTTGTAAAGTACAGTTTGCAAAAAAAAATCTCGGAACACTTTTTTAGCACTCGGCTAATTCTAGAATAAAAATCAAACATTTATAAACAAACAATAACAAATACTGATAATTAATATTAGTTGATCTTTTTTTTCATTTATTGAGCTTTGGCTATGAATGGTTGATAACCTAAATAGTCAACCATATGGTACTTTATGTTGCGTTCAGAAACTCGATTGTAAACTTTCGTTAACATATAGGATGCACTCCGGCGGTAATGCAGAGATGAGCGGAATTGAAGAGCTAGATTCTGATTAATGTTTTTTCTCACACAGTCTCAATAAAGAAATATTATTAAAAATCGGTTGTTTTATTTGTATCAATCTTAGTAAATTAGTTTTATTAAAAAATCTGATGTTTTTTCTCACTTAATCTAAGTAATTAAGTTATATTAAATAGAATTTTTTTTTGCTCACTCTACCTATTCGGTTTGAATTGACAGCTATGACGTCAAAATATGGCGCCCAGTCGGTCCTATTCTTAGTTGAATCGCATTATACATCAGCTATCTTGGCAACAAGACTAAACTTACACTGAAAATATTAACAAATAAACTAGAAAATTACGTGTCTATATTGTGGGTCTATATCTAGAAGATTTGCAGTATTATTTTTTTACTAACACTCACACCAATTAGCCTAGCTCCAAAGTAATCACTGTAAGGCTTGTGCTATGGGATACAAGGGTAATATAATAGATACAAAAAGATTAGAAATAATATATTACTTAAACTGTTACATATATACCTTAGTATGTTTAACTATAAATACTATAAACAACCATGACTTAGAAACAAATTTTCGTTTCAACATACTAACATTTACCTCACCAAAAAAACCCTGCGAATACCTTCTAAGCTGCTTAGTGCGAAACCGCGGGATCCCCGTTTAGGGATTCTTCCGCGTCACCGCACCCAGCAGCCTCTCGGCATTGCCGGGGCTCCACGGCAGGGGTCTCCCGGGGTATCGCGGGGACCCCGCAGACGTGCGCAGGATGACCCGCGCGTGGGGCCTGAGTACGCGGCCTAGTGCCCGCCGTACCGCCCCCCGTCCGCTGCGGAGGGCTACTTGGGCGTGCCCGTGTAGCTCCCTCCGCCACCCCCCTCTTTGCAGGACAGAACTACAAGATGGGGGCTGCCGTCACGGGATCCCTCGGTGGCCGGCACGGCTACAGCTAGGGATCCCCGCGGGCAGGGTCATGGGACAGGCGTAGCCAGGGCACGCACTCGTCCTCTCCTGCCCGCTCTTCTTCGGCGAGAGGGAGCGGTCAGGGGATCATCCTTCCGCTCCCTCTCGGCTGCCTCCTTCTGCGAGATAACGTTCTCGCAGAAGGAGGAAGCCGCCTCCCATGCCAACTCGCTACGGAGCATGGCCTCTGCCATACTCCGCAGCGAGAGGGTTCCGCCTCCCAGCGCCGCAATCAGGTCGCGGCGCTGCTGCCGCCAGGCCGAGCACTCCAGCAAGGTGTGCTCGGCCGTATCGTCCGGGGCGCCGCAGTGATGACACTGCGGCGTTTCCTCCCGACGGGCGATACGGTACAGGTAGTGACCGAAGCATCCGTGCCCGGTCAGTACCTGCACCATGCGGAACGAGTGGCCGCCGCGCCGGCGAGCCACCCACTCCTCCAACACCGGACGAATGGCCTCAATCGTCCGGTGGCCGGTGCTTACATGGGCGAGTACCTCATCCCATCGCCGCAAGGCAACATTTACATCACCAGGATTCGAACCCAAGACCTCTGAGTAGGCGACATCTTAAAACATACATACCAATTGAACCACGGAGGTCATTTAAATACGTTTTTGAAATGTCTGAGTGGATGTAAGCAAATTAGTTTTTACGTTTTGTGTGTTCTGTGATGTACGTCTCTTAAGGTATCTTCAATATGAAGGTATACCTTAACTAGACTACACAGAAATTCTTAATTCGTGCATGAAAATTGGTCTATACATGGAAGTATGGCAGAAGTTCGATAAAGGGAATTTGAAATGCCCTATAGGGAAAGTAATACAGCGAAAGCAACTTCTGTTATTAAAAAAGTTTACTTAAAGGGACTCCCATTCGGACTACACAATACGATTTTCAAGAACAATATCGTTCACCATAACCAAGAACTCAACGGAACAGAATGTACGTGCCTTTCATAATAGGGATGATGGCTATTTTTTTTTTCTTCGCTTATCAGGTAGATTATCAAAAAGTATTGGACACGTATTTTTTCTTTTTTCACATAATATAAACATTGCAGAGATATATTGATTTGAAAAGTCGCATGACGTCACGTTTGAGTACACTTATAAGTGAAAATTCACTCAAAAGTGACGTCACGACCCTTCTACTCCCAAACTTTGACGCGCTATAACTTTGTCATTTTTTGGTTGATTGCCCAAAAAAAAAATACGTGTCCATTATTTTTTGAGCATCTAACTGACGGACTAAATAGAATTTCGTTTACTGTACCCCGTCATCACCCCTATTGTTTCACGGAATTATATGAAAAAAGAAATTCGAACCAATACCAATTAATGTTCTTAATTTTACCAGATCTAGATACCTACTATATAAGTATGGTGCTACATGACGCGATATTTAAAGTCGTCGTTGCCATTGGTCGCAAAATATGGTCCCCAACCCCTCTTCTTCGAATTATGTAACTGAATTTTTTTGAAAGCAATATAACACGCTATTTGAATTCCAAAGGCATCACATCATTTATTTTAACTTCCAAAAGCTGTAGCTAAGCTACGACTATACGAAACTAAGTACCGGTGGTCTCTATCCGGCACAATAATTATTAAATAATACATCTATGATGAGTTCGATGGCGCAGGTGGTTAGCGTGTTCGGATGCGATCGTTGTAGTAAATGTAGTAAAGCAACTTTCTCAGTGGTGCGTCATTGGATGGGTGACATAAAATCTTCTATTTCGGGTTCCTCCGTGCTTCGGAAGGCACGTAACAAAATTTACGTAAATATACTTTTATGTGACCATGTTTCTTAACACAAATATAATAGCAAAATCTAATGATCAAAATCGAAATAACTCACGAAGATCTTGCGAGATGGAAAACTACAAGGAAAACTAGCCATAAAAATACTTGTCCAAGTTATTTTCTTAACTAGCGACAGAAAGGGCTTTTTGGCGTTCTTAGCCCAGATTCCTAACCATAGGGATGAATATCCACAGCCTATCTTACACGATTAATCAATTGATGGACTCCATTGTAAGTAACTAACCTCGAATTTCGGAAATGCAACCACTCCAGGAAACTGAATTACGAAATCTTATCACGCTTAAAGTTAGCGCAACCATAGACCTAAAAATTCGCAGAAAGAACAAACCTTAAAAAAACAAGTGTGCTTATACACGACTGAAGTGAAACTTCTTTAGGAGGGATAAACAAGATTTTGTAAAAGTATTTGCAATGTTGAATAATCTCTTATCTAATAGACAAGTCCGTCCGTCTGTCCGTGGTGCTGTTTCAGCGGCCAAACCGTAAGAGATAGATATAGAGAATGTTTAAGTTATAAGTTGAGAATAGTCTGATAAGACTACAAACCGGATGTGAGTAACGTAGCACTTCCGGTTTTCGAGAAATCACGTGATTTCTATTTCAAACGAAATCACACAAAATCTCCGAAGTTCTCAATTAATTAAATACATTTTTTTTTTCGGTGAACATTTGGTTCACTGGTTTGCTAGTATTGAATAATTGAAATGTTGATGAGTCTCTTATTACTTATGTAGGTATGTCATTAAAAACAATAATAAATCAAAATGTAACAAACATTGATATATACACACATCAAAAGTGTCTAGGGATCAACATATATTTTTGCAATAACTTTTCTCCTGATTGATATTAATTAAAATTTTCTTTAAGGATTCATCAAATAAAGTGTTTTCGTTTGTCACAGTAACGATAAACCAAGTCACCTTTGCATTAATAAAGAAATTTGCCATTTTCGTAATAAAGGGATTTTTGACATTTGAACCACTAACACAAAAGTTCGAAAAAAAGACTGAAATAACAGTTTTCTCTAAAATTTTATTGGGTAACTTAAACAATTAATAATCCGTATTTCTACCGCGAACACTAACAACACAAGAACATCGGTTTGGCATACTCAAAATGAGTTCATCCAAATCACGCTGTGGAATGGCCGCCCATGTTCGTTGCAACAACAAAAAAAGGTCTTCTTGCGACTGGATACCCTCCATATTCGGCAGAGCTCTTCTCTGTAGCATATCCCATGCATGCTCAATCGGGTTCAAGTCTGGCGACTGAGCAGGCCAGGGCAGGACATTGATGTTAGCTGCGGCGAGAGTCTGTCTTACAACTCTTGCGGTGTGCGGTCGTGCATTATCATGCATTAACTGAAATAAGGGACCGATTTGCACTTGTAGAGGAACGATGACGTCTGATACAATCGTCTCAGCATAAATTTGAGCGTTGAGGTTGCCTCTGATCCAAATCAACTCAGTTCTTCCGCCGATCCAAATACCCGCCCATACCATGATGGTTCCACCACTATAAGGATGGACTTCCTGGCAGGATTTTACTCGCTGTTGGCGTCCAGGGGTTCTCCAGTGTCGTATACGTCTTGTATCCGGTCTCATACCAAAACGAGACTCATCAGAAAAGCACACGAAACGCCATTGTTCTTCTGCCCAATTTCTGTGTTCAAGAGCCCATTGATATCGAATCCTACGATTGTGCATTGCTATAGGTGGTACCCGTAGCGGTCTTCGGGAATGAAGGTTCACTTCATGCAAGCGGTTTCTGACTGTTTGGTCGCTAATTAAGTTCCCTGAAGAGTGATGAAGCCTCACGGCTAACATCATGGCGGTTATTGTTGGAGCTCTTCGAGTTAAGATTTGAATGTATCGGTCTTGTCTCCGTGTGGTGCAGCGATACCGTCCTCCATGGCGCTCAGCCACGGTACCAGTGCTTCGGTATCGTGTCCAAAGTCGACTGATAACACTCTGACTTGTATTCAGAGCTAAAGCCACAGTACGTTGCCGGGAACCAGCTTCTATCATTCCCACGGCTCTGAGCATTTCTTCCCTGCTTAAATGACGTCGCCGCTCCATAATAACGTTGGTTTTAATCAGTAGTAGGGAAACAGTAGCACTAATAATGTCTTCAATGCGTTGTATGTTTTTATAGGGAAAATATTGACAGCTGATTTTCATCTTTTACTCGAATTTGATTCACAGTTCCTGATTCAAATTATGAAATGCACCAAAAAGGATCCATATAAATTTATAAAATCATAAATTTATTACAAAGCCACATCTCAATCTCAAGAAATCCGCATAAAAATGCTTGATCCCTAGACACTTTTGATGTGTGTATATGATACAATATATACATTTATGTACATATACATATTTCATTTACTAGCTATAAGAGAAAGAGAGAAAGAAAATGTGCACGCGCACTGCTTTCTCTTGCTTATATCCCCCACTGAACTCCCGTTCGCCTCGCCCGAACACACTTTTCGTGACACAGGACACAAAGGACTCTGTGGTTTTTTCTAAGGTAAATTTTATTTGTTCCATCTAAAATCATGACGATTTGCAACAAAAGAAATATTGTGCAATACAATAAAGTTGTAATTCTACTTTTGGTGGCATCATGTTTTATGGTTACTGGAACATTCTTTGCAATATTAGTAGTCATGGTTGATTCTATGATGCTGAATTTAGTTTATGATTAGCGCTTTTGTCGCTATACAATAATTGCTGATAGAATTAAGTTGCATCCGCCGACGAAACGTGACCTTCAGCGTGGCCATGAAAAATATTGACGTAAAATTAACAGCATTTTAGGTCTATGTTTCGATACGGCAAAAGTTTTGATTAAACTGAAAAGGCCATAGATTTACAAGGAGATGTTTGGCCATTCTTAGGTTGGTGTAAATAAGGCAGTTTCGAAACGGATTCGAGTATTTCGGAAGCGGGCTTCCATAATGGGATGGGACCAAGTTAGCAAATAAACAATTTGACAGGGAAACTGCCAGATTAAATACAAAATAATCAAACGTAGCCTGCAGATGATTGATACTTAGAACTTTGCGTAATTCGTTGTTCTAAGTATCTCTTATCTATTAGACAAGTCCGTCCGTCCGTCTGTGGTGCTGTCAGCGGCCAAACCGTAAGAGATAGATAAAGAGAATATTTAAGTTATAAGTTAAGAATAGTCTGATAAGACTACAAACCGGATTTGAGTAACGTAGCACTTCCGGTTTTCGAGAAATCACGAATTTCAAACGAAACCACACAAAATCTCCGAAGTTCTCAATTAATTAAATACATTTTTTTTTTAAATCAGGTTTTGGTGAACATTTGGTTAACTGGTTTGCTAGTAATGAATTTACTATTGAACTTTGTGGTTTTAATCTCATAGTACAACGAAACGTGGCGAATTATTATTAGAGTTAGAAGATAAATTAAGAAAGAAAAGGAAAGTGGATTGTAAATAGAAAAAAGAAGTATGCGTAAGTTTAATGTGACAAAAGATAAGGAAAATGTGATATTATATATATAAATTTCACTCTCATGGTAGCGATTAATATAAATTATGAAATATTTAACGTAAAAGAGGAGCTCGATGGCGCTAGTGATTAGCGCGTTCGGCTGCGCTCGTTGAAGTTGAGCAACTTTCGCAGTGGTCGGTCATTGGATGGGTGACCAAAAATTTACTATCTCGAGCTCCTCCGTGCTTCGGAAGGTACGTTAAGCCGTTGGTCCCGGCTGCATCTGCAGTCGTTAGCACCCACCAACCTGCACTGGGCCCGCGTGGTGGGTCATGACCCAATCTCCCTAATCCATCCATAGGGAAGGCCTGTGCCCCAGCAGTGGGGACATTAATAGGCTGATGATGATGATGATGAACGTTAATTAAATGAATCTCAGATATTGTTTGGAAAGTGTAATGACATATCTGTATCTGTGATAGTAATAGTCTTTTCAGAGATTTGTACTATGGACGCGGATAAAACATTTTCTTCACAACCACTCTTAAATTACATCCAAATAATTGAAAAGAAACATATATTTTTGAAGAAAAGCCTACTAGAAAAAAAATACACGCGGACCAGGCAGTGGACGGGACTCGAACCCGCACCCTGCGCAATCCGGGCGCATGCACTGACCATTATGCTACCACGGCCCTATTCGCCGCGTCGAAATTTTTCTAGCCTTAAGCTGCAAGGCAGCGCCATCTCTTCGCATTGTAGGTAACCCACAATGTCAAATGAATACTTTTTCAAATATTAAACATTTGAAAGAAGAAATAGCAATTATAGTTATAATTTTTATAATTTTCAGGCATGTAACTGCTTGATGTTTAAATCTAAAGAAAATATAACTAGAAAAAAAAATCCATGCGAACCAGGCAGCAGACGGGACTCGAACCCGCACCCTTCGCAATCCGGGCGAATGCACTGACCAATTATGCTACCGCGGCCCTCACGGACCGCGTCGAAATTCTTTAATTTTTTTCTAGTTATATTTTCTTTAATATCATATATTTTTGAATTTTAGGATCCCAATTTGGTACGGTGGCGATCTTTCAAGTATCCGGTCTGTTTGCTGGCACTCCTAGTCTGGGGTGGCCGGCGACATTCTGGCTGTGCGGTATACTCAGTCTTCTATGTTTTGCTCTGTACTACTGGCTGGGATCAGCGGCACCACATAGTTATAGAGGCATCACTAAGGAGGAGTTGCACCATATTATGGGTGATGGAAGCGCAGACGTGAAGGTACTTAGGAATATTTATTCAGTCAATAATAATCTTTATTTCTTCTTCCACAATCTACAAATCCTATGACAACTTATTATACTATAATTCTTATATAAAAACAGTAAATAGATTGTGAGAGACTGGTGTTTGAACTAGGCAGAACGCCTGTATCTCAGAGCGCCAGGACTCTCCCTCCCCTGGAGAATGCACATTGATCAAATTATAAGGTCATTGATCTTACATATTAAATTGTAGGTATAGGAAGATAAGAAAAACATCTTGACGACCTCCGTGGCCGAGTGGTTTGTACGCCGGGTTTCATGGCGTCGCCGACTCGAGAGGTCCCGGGTTCGAATCCCGGTGGGGGCAGATGTTTTGTGTGATGAACATGAGCAATTTGTACTCCAGTCATGGATGTTTAATATGTATTTCTATATAAATATACTTATATATGTAAAGTATATGTGTTCTATCCGTTACCCTAGTATCCCATAACACAAGCCTTATAGTGCTTACTTTGGGGCTAGGCTAATTGGTGTGAGTGTTGTAAATATTTATTTATTTATTTATCTTAATTACAAAAGTGACACGACTACGCTTAAAATAAGAATAAGAACCTACAAGCTTTGATTAATATCAAAGCCTACAAGTCAATGGACCTGATTGTCTAAGCTTTTAATTATATCTGACAGCAGCCTCTCCTTTTTATATTTTAAGAGCATGATAAGGATGTTCCGCTCCCAAATATCGATTTGGATTACGATATTTATGCCAGAATTAGGTTCATCAAATTTGAATAAAAACTGGGGAAAAGTATCTTCGTTCGTACAGTTTCAATGCAATTTAAAATCCAAGTATTTTAGAGCAACTGTGTATACATATATCGATGAAATAAAATGTACTTTAAAAATCTCTATTTATCAGAACCGATAAAATAAAAATAGATGCTACAATATCAAAAATAGACTATGATTAATCTTCTCCACAATCAATACTCAGCTAACAAGAATGTTGTACAAGTCCTTGCTATCTTCAACAGAAACGCAAGACTCCTTGGAAGCACATACTGACGAGTACAGCAGTATGTGGCCTAGTAGTGTCACACGCCGGCAGTGTCGTGGGCCACCTGCTGATGCTCATACAAACTCCCACTTACATGAGCAAAGTTCTGAAGGTGGACATTAGACAGGTCAGTTATGAGTCCACTCATTTTATGTTTGTCTTGAAAACTATTTTGAATGTACGATTTCAACCGCTGCATCCCCTGTAATCTATATACATATATAAAACTCAATGGTGACGGACTGATATAGTGATCTATCAACGCACAGCCCAAACCACTGGACGGATCGGGCTGAAATTTGGCATGTAGGTAGATGTTATGACGTAGGCATCCGCTAAGAAAGGATTTCGATCAATTCTTCCCCCAAGGGGATTAAAAGGGAATGAAAGTTTGTATGAAACTTTGTCAATTTTAAACCGATCGGGCTGAGACTTTGCATGCAGGTATAAGAAGAATCATAGATGAATGTCATTGTGTATAATACAAACCTGAGAACAAAAACTGTAGTCTACATTTCAGCTCTACACCGAAGCGAAGCGAGGGCGGACCGCTAGTCTAACAATAAGTAGAGTAGTCACTAGGTCGTACAGGGCTCATAATAGTCGTTATGAGCCTGACAGCCTTTTGTATGGTGACATTTGCTTCTACAGTGCTCTAATTTGGTAACAAAATCCACGATTTGCGACTTCCACTCTACAGCGTCCAAGTAATATCATTAATACAGTCCTCTGAGTTGGAAGATATGATCAGGATAGGCAGCGCAATAACAATATTTGAATACCTATCGCGTGTCCATAGACTGCCAATTATTGATTATTATTATGCAATGTTGACCTTTCTGAATAAATATATATTATTATATTATACTAGCAAACCAGTGAACCAAATGTTCACCAAAAAAAAAATGTATTTAATTAATTGAGAACTTCGGAGATTTTGTGTGGTTTCGTTTGAAATAGAAATCACGTGATTTCTCGAAAACCGGAAGTGCTACGTTACTCAAATCCGGTTTGTAGTCTTATCAGACTATTCTTAACTTATAACTTAAACATTCTCTTTATCTATCTCTTACGGTTTGGCCGCTGAAACAGCACCACGGACGGATGGACTTGTCTATTAGATAAGAGACTAGCAAACCAGTGAACCAAATGTTCACCAAAAAAAAAATGTATTTATTTAATTGAGAACTTCGGAGATTTTGTGTGGTTTCGTTTGAAATAGAAATCACGTGATTTCTCGAAAACCGGAAGTGCTACGTTACTCAAATCCGGTTTGTAGTCTTATCAGACTATTCTTAACTTATAACTTAAACATTCTCTATATCTATCTCTTACGGTTTGGCCGCTGAAACAGCACCACGGACGGACGGACGGACTTGTCTAATAGATAAGAGATTATAGTGGCCGCTTACCGGAAAGCGGGGTATTCATATTCATATTCATTTATTGCATTCTTGCTGTTTACATGCTATTACAATATATATATATATATCATTCCAAACAAGAACCCAGTTAAGGTATTGCAATAACCCTAAACTAAATAAATAGAATCTGCAGTCATAATTATAAAACGTTCCAACATAACAAATTTTCAATCTTGTATAACATATTTTAAAAAATAATTCAATCGTTCAAAATATAACGCAAATGTCAAAAATTTTAAACTTTTCACTAAAATATTCATTGATTGTATAAAATATCTTACATAGTAAAAAATTCTTTAGTGCAGGCTCAAACTTTTTACCCTGGAGGGTCTTTAAGGAATTAGGCAAATGATTATATACTTTAATTGCCATGTAGTAGGCGCTATTTTGAAAGACCGTGAGATTCGGTGTGGGCAAGACGAGATCGTTTCCGCGGTGCGATACATAACGTTTTGACATGTCACCGATGCGACAAAAATACTTACTATGAGTTCTTACAATTCGGCATAGCTCAAATATATAGACGCAAGTAACTGTTAGTATGTTTAACCTTCCAAATAACATTCTACATGAGTCTCTTGATGTTGTGAATGTTATTATTCTCAGACATCGTTTCTGTAAGACAGAAACGGCGTGTACATCGGTTGAGTTCCCCCACAAAATGATTCCATATCGAATCCAAGCGGCGGCATGACTGTGGTACGCGGCGAGTGCACACTCCTCGTTCTTGCTTTTACGTAGTTCACGTAGTCCGTACGTAAAACTGTTCAGCTTTTTTACCACAGTCTCTATGTGCTGCTTCCATGAAAGAGTCGAGTCCATCGTGATTCCAAGTTGCTTAAATGATCTAACTTCCTCGATTTGGCGCCCCTGTCTAGATATCTCCCCCTGGTACGGTCTAAACTGCATTAGTTTAGTTTTTTCGAAGTTCAATATTAAGCTCATCCCCTTTAGATGTGCTTCTACTTTATCTAAGCAGTCATTTATAACGCTTGCCAAACTGTTTACATTTGTTTGATCACAAGTAACCAAAATGGTCGCGTCATCTGCAAATAATACTACTTTATGTGGCACCATGTCAGGAAGATCATTAGTATATGAAATAAATAACATACTACCGATCACGCTACCCTGCGGTATAGATCCAGATATATTGCCAATAGGAGAAGTGACTTGCTTTATTTCTCGAGTTTTTTCATCTGCGTGTGTTATTTGAACGCATTGTTTTCTATATTCTAAATAAGAAGAAAGCCACTTTTGTGCTTTTCCTCGTATTCCTAGTGACTCCAACTATTTCAGTAAGACGTGATGTAGAACCCGGTCGTACGCCTTGCACATGTCCATATAAATGGTTTTAGCACACTTATTTTCATTCAAAGCTTTAAGTATCTCATAATTTAAATCAAACACAGCTGATGTAGTAGAATGACCCTTTCGAAATCCATATTGGTCTTCACTGAAAACATTATATTTTTCAAGAAAAGCATTTATTGTGTTACATATAATTTTTTCAAATATTTTTGAAATAACTGATGAAAGGGCGATTGGACGATAATAAGTGATACTACGCTTATTACCTTTTTTAAAAACTGGTTTGATAATCGCAAGTTTTAAACTATCCGGAAAAATTCTTTCTTTATAAGATTGATTTAATAAGAATGTTATTGGATTCTTGAACTCGTCAACACAGTGTGCTAGAAGTCTAGCCGGAATTTCATCATGGCCGCAACAGTTGTTACGTTTTAGAGATAATATGACTTTTTTCACATCAAACTCGGATATGTCGCCTAAAAATACAGAATTCATGAGTGAATTATTTGGACAGGTTTTTTGGTTTTTTGAATTAACACCAATGAAATAACTTTGAAATGGTTTTGCAACTATTTAAAAAACAATAATAAATTATTGATCTGTAACTTATTACGTAAGAAAATTGACGCTATTTTAATCACCCCTTGCGGTTTCATTTACTGAATGACACAGTCCATTATAGAAAGTGGCTAAAACTATATTACCACTAGCTATTTATCGCTACGAGATGATTCCGGAGGAGCTTCGAGTCATCATAAAGTAATTATCCCTAATACGCTCGTATGGAGATTTCAGATCTTGCCAATACGCATGATGACTGTTAATTTTGTATTTTTATTCCTAGAATGGTGTTTACTCATCACTGCCGTACATCGCCATGTACATCTTGGCCATAACATTCGGTCACATCTCGGATAAGCTTCACGCAAAGAAACTCATGTCCATAGTCAATATTAGGAGAACAGCGAATACTATCGGTAAGCAGTTGATCATAATTTGTATTAGTTATAAATAAAATTGAAAGAGCTCGATGGCGCAAGTGTTCGGCTGAGATCGTTGAAGTTAAGCAACTTTCGCAGTGGTCGGTCATTGGATGGGTGACCAAAAATTTACTATCTCGAGCTCCTCCGTGCTTCGGAAGGCACGTTAAGCCGTTGGTCCCGGCTGCATCTGCAGTCGTTAGCACCCAACAATCCGCACTGCGCCCGCGTGGTGGGTCATGGCCCTATCTCCCTATTCCATCCATAGGGAAGGCCTGTGCCCCAACAGTGGGGATATTAATGGGCTGATGATGATGAAAATTGAAAGATATGAAGAACCCATATAATAAATGTAAGCATAAAATTGTCACTGCTACTATAGATCTAGACCTTATCGATCTTCAGTTTTAATCTTCAATCAACAGTAAACGGAAATATGATGAACGAAAATCCTCATGAGCATAACAAGTTCTGTGCAGGTGACAAATATGTTTTTCTTACACGGCGTACATAATTTTATAATGTTATATATGTAGTTCTTAAAGGGATAAGAAAGGGTACTCCATTGCAATTATCTCAGAAAATTTTTGTTTCGTCTACATTGTTTCATACCCTTCATTTACCGGAGCTGGCTCTTTCTGGCATCGATCGTAGAAGTTCGATAGTTCTGTTGAGATGTTTTGCTATTGAGTCAGTACAACTATGTCTTTCCCAGGAATGATGGTTTCTGGAATATTCATGATAGCTTTTGCTTTCGTCACCAACACTACGCTGGCTGTGATCCTGTTGATTCTGTGCATCGGTTTGCATTCTGGAGTGCACGTTGGATTCCATGTAAGTTTATATTTTGTAGTCATTATATGATTAAGCAAAACAAGTTTTCTCTCGTATAGATTGAAGCACTTCTGCTGAAGGTTTTTACACCTTACGAAATATAGAAGATAGCTAACGGTATTCTGTAGCAGTGTTTTGCAGTTATGCCCACAATGTTGAGTGCTTTGACTAGATTTTTTTTATTTATTATTAAGCCATACACCATAAATGATATGAGAGAGAGAGAGAGAGAGAGAGAGGGAATCATTTTTATTGACCACATTACTAAATTTACAAAACAACATACAAAAAAAAATATACATGATGGAGAAAATAAAATAAAAATATAGTACAAGTGGTCAATCAGGACCCTGCCTCAGCGTAATGCTGCCGCAACACGCTACAAAACGTGTCACAGCAGCGCTGATATTCTGGCAGGGCCGGTTATGCCGGAACTTCACATGGCCAATCGCATCCGCCTCGATGGCCCCTTCCCTTCCTCTCACTGCCCGTTGTGGATACACATCTATCAAATAGCAAACACGATTAACCACATGACGTGCTGGCACAAGGTAATTGATATGGTAAATGGGAGCTATTAAAAGTGTGTGAGACCTATGCTGCGTCGCATGGTCTCGTTTACAATGAAACCAAGAGTGAATACATGATCTTTAAGGCCGCAGGCAAATGTCGGGATGTCGCCTCTCCTATCAACTTGAATGGATCACTAAAACGGGTTTATCAATTTGAATATCATGGTTATATCATTGCCGACGAACTTAAAGACGACCTTGATTGAGAGAGAGCGTATGGCAATGGTAATTCGAGGAAACATGTTGGATCGTTTGGATCAGGTCAAGGATAACCTTATTGAAGTTATACTTCTTTAGGCGCGTTATGTAAAAATGATGAGAGTGAAATTTTAAGATGCGAGCGCATCACTGTAACACAAAATTTTTGTGTTTACCGCACATTAAGAAAATCTACCAACAAAATAGAAATAGAATCTCTATTTAGTGGGTGCAAACGACTGCATTGTGAAGGCCTATCAAAAGTATTTATTAATCTGGAACAACGGAACCAAAGCGCGATTCAGGAGACTACAGCGCCATCTCTTGACCATTGGTGTAGTAGAACCAAAAACCACATCTTTATTTTTTGTAATAAAGTAACAGTTATAGGTATTCATATTTATAATATTTATCCACATGTTTCTAGTTTGTATATTCGGAATACGTGTTTGAGTTTCATACAAGTGCAAATCACATATGTTCTAATAAATTATATTCAGTAGCGATTTTAATTGAATATTTTGATTATTTATTTATTTTTTCAAATTAAAACTGAACTTTATTGACTGTGTCCTTTTCCAGACTTTTTATTAATTTATTGTAATCAATTATTAGCATGCAATTAAAAACTAATTTTAAACGATGCCAAAGAAGGATAACTTCTCACGCGCCTACATAAGTACACGCACCCATTTTTTAAAGCGTTTTGTCAGGGTATGTACGTGAGAAGTCTGTGGTTCCGATATACGAAAAAATCCATTGACCCTCAGCGCGTGCAATACAATAATATTTTCAGGATGATGCTGGGACTGCCCCGCTTCTGCATGCCTCCGGAATGTTGGCTAAAGCTGGAATTGAATCGTGGCAGGGATTCGCATGCACCATTTTGGAGGAATTCTGTGCGAATGACGACTGAAAAAGAAATTAATTATTCTTTCTGGAGTCTGGTTCGCGCGGAATGCTTTTATGGTACACTCGCGGAAAGACCCGCTGTCACCCATAATGCCATAATCGCTTGCGGTAGCGGCGTAGTAAAAATTCATTCATAGACATGTAATTATCGCTGTCTTACTTTTTCGTATAGCGCTGTCGCGATCACGATGCGGATGACAAATTGCAACTAAAACAAATGCAATTCAATTCATTATTCAATCAATGAAGTGCCCTCTGTCTTAGTTTTGTGCGGCGGCCCGGATTGGCGCGTCCGACGCGAAGGCGGGGCGTAGTAAAAACTACTGTAGAAAACCGTTCAAAGCATTTTGTTCGCCAAGTGACAGAGCGCAAAATTCCGCGATAGTACATGACCTACTGAATAAACAAAATGTATCTAAATGTGTGTAATACTTACTATATACTACTAACACTAAATTATAAGTTATAATGAATACTAACATATGTATCTGTGTTGTCTGCCAATAAATAATGTATTATAAACATTAAGTCGGCTATTTGACTAGGCTTATTTAGGACCCGGTTCCAAATATTGACCATGTGACCATTCATATATTTTATAATACGGAATATACAGAATTTTCTTTGCATTCCGATAGTTAGGTTCAAAATTTATTTGATCTCGATTCAAAGATATGATACTAGGGTCAAACTTCGAAGAGCATACTTGTTATAGAAATCATACAAAGTAGTTTCATTAAAACGCTTGTTGAGATAATGAAATGTTTTTTTTTGGAGTATCTTATTAATATACTAGTGGCCCGCCCTCGCTTCGCTTCGGTGTAAAGCTGTAGTGTAGACTGTAGTTTTTGTTCTCAGGCTTGTATTATACACAACTAGCAAACCCCGCGAACTCCGTTTCGCCACCAGATGGCTTCGTTTTATGTAACATTTCGTTTGGTGATTAAAAGAAGATTATTTTTTTTAATTTTTCCTGAATTTTCTTTGCTATAAACCTCACGGAGCCCGAGACCTTTCCAACGAATGCAAAACCGTGGAAATCGGTTCGTGCGTTCTGGAGTTATAGCGTCAGGAAGGAAAACCCGACTTATTTTTATATAGTAGAAGATGACATTCTTCTAATACCCAATTACAATAGTCACGCGCCGCCAAGCCCGGTAGCGTCGGAACCGCTATGTCCCTGAATTTTAAATTTGTAATATCTTCGAAAATATTTATTTAAATTATATGCGTTAAAGGGCCAAATTGTTCTATATTAAATGCACAATGTATTTAAGGTACTTAATTGGATAAGGATGAATGTTATATTGCTTAAAATCGCTTCGTAAATAATCTATTATTTCTCGTAAAAAGTATAGGATAAAAATTGGTTATTGTGGGTTATGCTTAAGAGATAGACATATACAATCTCTAACTTTTTTGTAGACCTTTTTAAGGTGAACAATACTGTAGTACATTATTTTGATCTATCTCGTAGGGTTCAGCCAGCGTTTGCAATGTAAGCGCAAAAAATGTGTTTATTTACGACCTTACATTAAAAACCTCTAAAATTATCAGTGTTCCTCTACTATATTATGCATGTATTATACATATAAACCTTCCTCTTGAATCACTCTATCTATTAAAAAAAACCGCATCAAAATCCGTTGCGTAGGTTCAAAGATTTAAGCATACAAAGGGACATAGGGACAGAGAAAGCGACTTTGTTTTATACTATGTAGTGATAAATTAAAAAACAAAGGCATATACCGTGATTATGAATATCTAACAATGATGATGGATATTTTTTTAGTGACAGTTAACCCTTTGGTGCAGAATAATCTATAGATCTGAGAGTCCTTGAAAAGGCTCTTAAAAACTCGAACAGAAAATCCATTGTGCCCAAATATCTTTTTCATCGCTCCAAAAGTTTCCAAAACTTTAATGTGATTATCTGTTGTAAAATATTAAGCACGTTTAGTAGATGCAAATGTCCATCACATTAAAATTTAATTCCCATGCAACTTTAAGTTGAAAGTTAATTCAAAATATAAACTTTTTTGTGTAAATAATATTCCAAGTAAATTCTATTACTTACTTATTTAAATGTTGCCCTAAAGTTGAATCTGCATTGAAAATTAAGATACCGTTTGAATAAATTTTCTGAAGATAAGTACTTGGTAAGAGTTTGTTTATCGAGTTATAAATTTCTAACAGCTATTTAAGCGAGTTGGTTGAATTAGATTTAGTCAACAAATCTGTAAATTTTAGTCAGCTTTTCAACTACTGGGTTTTCACCAGGAAGCAGACGGGACTCGAACCCGCACCCTTCCCTATCTGGACGTATGCACTGACCAGTTATGCTACCGCGACCTTAATGACCGTCTCCAATTTCTTCTAGAATTTTATAGGCTTCAAGGCAGTGCTACCTCTTCGCATTGTAGGTAACACACAATGTTACCCGAATATTTCATACTTGTAAAGGTATTCGATTTAGGAAAACGCTAAAATTCAAATATAATAAAATATTTATTTTTATTTAATTATTTGTAGCACGCAGCGTGTGGTCTAGAGGTCGCTCTAGATCAATGATTCCCAACCAGTGGTCCGTGGACCAGCAGTGGTCCGCAGAAGCCAAAATATAGTCCGCGAATAATTTTAAATTTAGCGGGCGCGCCCGCTAAAAATGTTATTATTTAAATAAAACTAGTTTTTTACGGGTTAATGCACAAAACTTTATTTATTTATTGACGTTTCGAAGTCTTTACAGGCTACGTCGTCGGAATCAAATTTTTATTTGATTTTGTCACTACGTGTAAAGGCTACGAAACGTCAATAAATAAATAAAGTTTCGTGCATTAACCCGTAAAAAACTAGTTTTATTTAAAGAGTGATGTGCGTGAAAACCTAAGAAACAAATAATGTTATTATTTCTTTTTATTTAATTTCATATTAGATTTCTAATTAAAGTTTCAGTTTGATTATTACAGTTTATTTTTATTACACTAAAATTTAGTTATTTAGTGACTAAATAGTGGTCCGTGCCAAAAAAAATTATGTAAAAGTGGTCCCTGACCAAGAAAACGTTGGGTACATAGATGCTCTAGATGATAAGACCTTCTTTTGTTTCTGCAGATAAACCAGTTGGACTTGGCTCCGAATTTCGCTGGCCCCATCATGGCGCTCGGCAACATGGTGGCGAATCTGGTCTCCCTGCTAGTGCCTGTCCTCGTTTCCAACATCGTTGGGAATGACGTGGTAGGTATTTTTTTGGCATAGCTATTTTTATATTAGTAAATTACTTTACACTACCTGGGTGTCGTTTCTGCTACGCTAAGATTAAAATCGCGTCGCAATAGTGTTTCAGTAACATAGATTTTATGAACACACTTCTTGTTACTAAAACCTAGAGTAAAAAGTGCAAATACGAGTAGATGCTAATAACAAATGAGCAGTGTTGGGCGTAATTAATTACTTTTGTAATTTAATTACTAATTCAATGAATAGTAATTGAATTACTTTAATTGAAATTACATGTATTTGAAATTACTGTAATTCAATTACTTACGTCCGAAGTTATTTAATTTACATTAGTTTGTAATTCAAATTACTCGATTACTTTTTAAGGGTAACATAATAAACTACTAAAATTGAGCGGTTATTAGCTTCATGCCCGTACCCAGCACAACAAGCACGACACAAACAAAGTTTTAGTGTATAATTTGCCATGAATTTATGAGTGTGTAAGTGTGTGCCTCGTTACCAGTACCCACACAGCTACCTATCCCATTTCTAGTCTCTCGGCGGCGTGCACCTTTCTTTCGATTGATTGTGCTACAATGATTAACTTACCAAAATCTTACAAACTTTCTGATGTAATGTTTGAACAAAGAGTAGTATTAATATCTAATTTAAAATAAATTAAACATTTATTGTCTTCAATAATTTCAAGTAATTTGTAATTAAAGTCACCAGTTACAATTTGTAATTGAAATTGTTAATTTGAAGTTAATTACATTTTGCCCAACACTGCAAATGAATTATTAAGCTGATGTATTTGTAATTTTGTGTTTTTGTAACAATACAATACCTGTGCCGAAAATCAAAACCACTGAAATGCCTTTGATACGTATTATAATTGACTAGAGTCCAATTGTGAAGATAACAGTTCATTTGGCATAGAAATATGTAACTCTAGCTAACTTGTTAACTTGAATTTAATTGTTTTCTTCAAATCAAGAAGCCTTACCCTTCTTTTTCACCAAGAAATAAGTCATATACAAGTGTTAAACAAAACTACTTACTGTTAAACGAATACTTAAATAAAACTAGTTTTTTACAGGTTAATGCACGAAACTTTATTTATTTATTGACGTTTCGTAGCCTTTAGATTCCGACGACGCGACGTGGCCTGTAAAGGCTACGAAACGTCAATAAATAAATAAAGTTTCGTGCATTAACCCGTAAAAAACTAGTTTTATTTAATGAGTGATGTGCGTGAAAACCTAAGAAACAAATATTGTAGAATACTTGTTGTGGCTGTTTAAAACATTGTTTCGTTTACACTGCATAAATCACTCATTGACTTCACATATTTTGTTTATCCAAAAGTTTGATGCAAGTATTGTACACTACATGTTTTAATACATATATAAGTGTGAACAAAATATTAAGACATTGTATAAACATTGCATAAAATACATGTATTATACTTTGATGTAAACGAGGGGTACCGAACAGAAACAAGACTCCATCGAAATGTACTGTTAGGCATCTCACACACTAGATGGTAGCCGTTTAGTGAAGACCACAGCCAGTGGTCGCAACGACCACATTAATTGAAGAAGTTAGCCCTTGTAAGGAGAAGAATCAGCAAGAAACTCAGCAAAGTCTGTTTTTTTCTGCCTGTATTATATACAGAGTCGTCAAAATATAGTTTGCTATGTACTCGCGCACTAGATCTTCGAATGCGGCCAGGCTGCGACCAACCATTCTCAGTGTCATGCGGACAGTTCGTCCGTGAACACGCTTCGTATCGTTCCGTAACTCCGCACGACGATTTTATAAATAAAGAAACGACCAGCATGTCGCTTTACGGCCAGTCGAGGTCATGGCCGCAAACTTTACATAGCCCAACCATACCGTGTTATTTTACCTGTAGATAATTATTCAAAAGTTATATTAAAACTAAGGCTCCCAGCCTTAGAAAGAGTTTTGAAGAGAACCTTGCACTTACTCCCTCTCATATACATGTTCATTTTGTTTTGAAAATTGTTTCTTGCTCTTTTGGGACTTTTCTTTGCACTTATTGTTAGTAAATTCGTTGATTGTCTATTGTTACATATTTGACATTATGTGATGAAAGTTGTCCTCAACACATGTTTTCAAGTTTGATGTCAACTTTCAATTAGACGACACTGTATGAAATAAAACGAAGAAAAAAGCAGCCCTTGCTGAGTTTCTTGCCGGTTTTTCTCAGTACAAGGTCTCCCGCCGTAGATTTGCGAATCGACAGCCTAACTTTTCGACATTCACAAGTGCTTATAACAGCCTAGACTGAATAAACAATATTGAATTTTGAATTCTTTTTTTTTTTTAATTTTACCTTCTGCAACCAAGGTTGCGGCTAAGGCCACGCCTGACCATGGTCGTGGCCGTTTAGTGTGCGAGGTGCCTACATCTCTTCTTCTACGAAATCGAATTCCAATGGATATCATAATCATAATAAGAACGATAATATTAATTCTTTCCAAATGATAAATTATTATCAGTCAATAAAACTAGTTTTTACAGGTTAATGCATGAAACTTTATTTATTTATTTATAGTTTTTAATAAAAGTTTGATTCTGACGACGTAGCCTGTAAACGAAACATCATAAATAAATAAAGTTTCGTGCATTAACCCGTAAAAACTAGTTTTATTTAATGAGTGATGTGCGTAAAACCTAAGAAACAAATATTATCAGACCTTAAAGTACCGTAAAATAACATTTTTTAACAACAAAGACGACCCGAAGAAGAATTTAGATTCTTTTAGAAAAAATATGTACAAAACTAATATATAATCAATAAATAAATTAATAAACAAAACAATTATTTGTTACAGACGAACCAGCATCGTTGGCAAATATTATTCATAGTGGTGGCATCGTTCCAAATATTAACAAACACCATATTTGTGATATTCGTCAAGGGGAAAGTACAGCAATGGAACTTTTATGGTGCCGATGAAACCGAGAAAGGTAAACATGGGACACATCCCGTTCATCATCATCATCATCATCAGCCTATTAATGTCCCCACTGCTGGGGCACAGGCCTTCCCTATGGATGGAATAGGGAGATTGGGCCATGACCCACCACGTGGGCCCAGTGCGGATTGGCGGGCGCTAACGACTGCAGATGCAGCAGGGACCAACAGCTTAACGTGCCTTCCGAAGCACGGAGGAACTCGAGATAGAAGATTTTTGGCTACCCATCCAATAACCGACCACTGCGAAAGTTGCTTAACTTCAACGATCCCAGCCGAACGCGCTAACCACCTGCGCCATCGAGCTCCTCAAACATGGGACACATCCCGTTCATCATATGAAAAAGTGAGACTCACATAAAATTTAAGATCCATAATATACATGAGATACAATGGTTTTCTGTGTAAATTTGAGCTTACGCCTTAGAAAGTTTGCTCCTCATTATGGAAACCTTTGCTAACGCTTACAAATGCTTTTGTGCAAACTTAACTTTAACTCGTGATCTAATTTCATTGCTGAACATTGGATAGGTTACGATAGGCGATGAGGAGGTGACTAAACACCTTGAGCCTCTTCAATTACGTCGTGACGTGGCGTCACTAAGTGCGTTCTATCGTCTGTACCACAGCGAGTATTCTGAGCAGTTATTCTCTCTTATCCCACCTTCCCTTTTCCTTCAGAGGACCACGCTTGCTGGCCTACGTTGTCACCTTCTTACTGTGGCTACAATTCCAACGCGTACAAAGAAATTTGGTGACTCATTTCTTTGTCGCACAATCCGTAAATGGAATGCTCTGTCCGCTCACGTGTTCCCTCCCTCTTACAACCTGGGATCCTTTAAAAGAGGCGTGAAGAAGCAACATGCAGGCCGGCAGGGTGAGGATGGCTGGTGTGGCAGGTAGAACTGCTGTATCAGCTATCTTCGCGTCTGGACTTCACCTTCACTTAACATCAGGTGGGGTGGAGTCATTTGTCGGACCTATCTTTAAAAAAATAAGATTATTTCTAGTACCGAGTAACTGCGGGTTACTTTGACCTAAAATGTGCACTTTTTTTCAAATAAAATTGTAGCTTCTCTTTGTGATGAATATGTCACGTTTATATCTTTCCATTGTGAACTTTAAAGTATAAGTTACAAAGTTATCATACGAAAATAGGAAAAAATAATATTTAAGGGTTAATGTATATTTTTTTAATTTTGGGCCAAAGTTGACCTTAATGAGGGTTACTTTAGCTCGTTGAGTTTTCTATGTGAAAAAAAACTCATTTTACCCTTATAACAGATCATCATTAGCATACTGAATACACAAATGGATGTTTTTGCCCAAAAATAATTAAGTTAAATAAAAATTTAACTTTAAATTTAGAGAAAATAGTATACTTACCGAAAACCACAGTTTTAAGAAAGTTTGCGCATCAACTTGCGAACTATTTCAGTTACAAAAAATGCCGCGTTACAATGACAACTTGATACAGGAACGATGTCAATAAAACAACATCACACTAAGCGCCTATATATATGGCTATCTGTGATTTTCAACTGGAACTATTACGGTCACCCAAAAGATACTGATGGGGCGGCAAGTTCAATATTTTTTCTGATTTGGGACAAAGTTACCCGCCCGAGCTAAAGTAACCCTCACTTACGGTATATAAACTATCCATAGTCTTTTACTAAATTTCACCTGAATCTGTAACCTTAACAGGAACCATTATAGATTTGATTGGATTCGATCTATTTTATACGTCAAACTGTGTATTAATTTTTAGTTCTCTTTACGTCCGTTGTGACGCCGATGTTCAAGTTTCCATACAAAATTTGACAATGACAGTTCGCTCTCGCAAACTATTCGAATCCGACATTGCTTCATGCTAAGGGTGCGGTTCGGTTTAAAGGTGAAGAGATAACAGACAGACAGACACACTTTCACGTTTATAATATGAATTAAGATATACAACACCTTGAAAGCAGTAATGATGGATGGAAACTAGAAGTTCAATAACAAGCTTTCTCTACAAAAGCAATATATTGGTTTTAGTAATCTTAAATATTTATAGTAATGTACACCTGCAGAGGAAGGATAACAGATTTTAATCACGTAGCTATATCCAAGACATGCATCATAATACGCCATTGTATTAGGTATATAAAAACCACATATTTTACATAATAATTCAACGTTCGTCACGTATTCAACAATATAAGTTGCTATAATTTGATTTTTTTAAGCATCTAACTTCTCTTTGTTTATATCAGAAAATAATCTACACAGACCAGGCAGCAGACGGGACTCGGGAATATTAGTTGTCTTTCTTCCTTACCCTAATATCATTATGTAGGTTACCTTTGAAATCGGCGATTATTCCTAAAAAAATATATTATTTTCAGAGGAGGATCTGTGCGTTTTGAAAGAAAACAACAGACTATTTGATCAAGAACCCCAGCCAATCGATAAGAAGCAGCAGACGTGAAGGAATTTGATTGTAAACCAATCCTTAAAATAATAGTGCTTCGATGGTGAAGAAGAAACAAACAAAAAACAAACCATGCGTTTGTTGATTGTTTATTTAGGAATTTATTTACAATAAGTGTTATAAATAATATATTTTATATGTAAGTACTGTCCAATGTGGTACCTTATATAAAACGTTTACTCCATTGTTCCATAGATGGAGCTGTATTAATTTGTACTCACGGTATGGTTTAGTACGATTGAAATATATAAGGTTTAAATAAGTTCGAAATAAATTGTCTATACGTTCCGGAATCTAGTTTTATTTATTGAACTACTGCATTCCTGGCTTGGGGACCTTAGTACAAGTACTTACAATTTGTTTTCTTTTATAAGGCTCAGCCAAATATCCTATCCCATCATTTAACTATTTTATAAATTTATTCATTTTTTAGAATCGTAGCAAATAACCACCCTTAACCTTTCTACTTCTACCAAAGGGTTGCTAACAATCGTATGGCCCGCCTGATGGTGAGCGGCTACCATAGCTTATTGATGCTTCATCATCCGCAGCCTATTAATGCACCACTGCTGGGGCCCAGGCCTTCCCTATGGATAAAGAAGACAGGTAGGAGAGGACGGCGGCGCGCCCTAGCTGCGCCCGTCCCATGACCCTACCCGGGGGGTCCCTCGCTGACCGGCATGGCGACAGCTGTGCCCCTTGACGGCAGCCCCCCCTTGTAGTTCTGTCCTGCAAAGATGGGGGCGGCGGAGGGAGCTACACGGGCACGCCCAAGTAGCCCTCCGCAGCGGACGGGGGGCTGTAAGGTGGGTACTAGGCCGCGTACTTAGAAAGACCCGGGAGACCCCTGCCGTGGAGCCCCGGCTAGGCCGGGAGGCTGCTAGGTGCGGAGACGCAGGAGAATTCCTAAATGGGGATACCGCGGCTTCGCGCTAAGCAGCTTAGAGGGTATTCGCAGGGTTTTGTAGCGGATATTATGCCGTAAAGCGCTCTTTGGAGTTACGAGGTCCTCAGTGGGCAGCCACTGCGGGGGCCCGTAAAGCTTGCGGGAGCCAGGTGTGAGGTCCGTTCGGCGGAGTGCCTCTTAAAGGCGCCGTCGTCTGTAAATAGTATTTTTAAAATAAAAAAAGCCCTTCCCTATGGATGGAATAGGGTTATGGGCCATGACCCACCACGCGGGCCCAGTGCGGATTGGTGGGTGCTAACGAATGCAGATGCAGCCAGGACCAACGGCTTAACGTGCCTTCCGAAGCACGGAGGATTCGAGATAGTAAATTTTTGGTCACCCATCCAATGAACGACCACTGCGAAAGTTGCTTAACTTCAACGATCGCAGCCGATAGCGCTAATCACTTGCGCCATCGAGCTCCTCGTGCTTAAAATTATAAAACTATCACTTGCACCGTCGCCTACCCTGACCCAATCCGCTATCCCGTCAAGCGCCGAAACCATAAATTCACCAAAAGGTATCAATTTAACTGTGCTGTTCAATAAGGTGGAAGTTAGTTCCCCGAGATGGGCGTTTCGATACAAAGTGCTCTTTCAATTTACTCTTTTGAGCTAAGTGTACGTGGAGTTAAGTCGCGAAGATAGACATGCCACTTCAGCAAACCAGTACCCCAAATACGAACTTTAATAGGTCAGTACCCTTAGCACGTGTTGCGGGTAGGAAATATTTACGTTCAGGGGAAAAAAACCAGATTTCTTTGACTTAGTTATTTATTAATTTTCGGAGCACAATGTATTCGCTGGACGCGCGGTGCAGTAAGAAAAAGGGCGCATGCCCGAGATCCATAAACAATGTTTTATGTTATTAACTAATCTTTTTGGTGGCGATGCCAGTTACGAATCCGAAATGTCATTGTCTAATGTATATTGATTTTTAGTTCTCGTAAGGGTACTGTTCAATTCTAATAGTTTGCGAGTCCGAAATCTCATTTTTAAATTTGTACTGACTTTTAGTGATCGTTACGTCCTTTATGGCGCTGTTCCTGCTGTTCAAGTTTTCATACAAAATTTGACAATGACATTTCGGACTCGGAAGTTATTCGAATTCGATACTGGTTTGTGCTAAGGGTACCATAATCGAATCGCATCGTCAAAGTTTTTATGGAGACTAAGAAGCGCCCCTACCGGATGTAAGAGCAAATATAAAGGCTCCGTTTAATATCTGTTTTGTTATTATTATTATTATTTATTGAAATGTACATGTGCAAAATAGTTTTTGATTAAGTTAGTTTATTTTGTGTTGTATAGAATGAACGACAGAACAGGAGTTTAGATTTATCTTAAGATATGAGGGCTCCAACAAAACACAAGCGGAAGCGACAAGCGTTTTTAAATACAAATCTATTTTTTTAATTTATCTGTAGAGTCGGATTGTTTTATTAATCTGTTTATATATCTTTTTTTTTGTTGACGGTGGAAAATTCATTTACGCACCACACCGCGCGCTTGCCAGGCGCGCGACTTGTGTGGGACTCCCCGGCGCGTAACAACGCCGGTCCTACCCACTAAAAACCACCGGTACCCTCCTCGGCCCTTATGAGGGCGCTCTGGGATCGGCACACCTACGTGCGAAACTACACCAGAGCGTCCTCGGGCTGGCCCGGCCCAACGAGTGGATCGGGCGACGCGCCTATGGGGGATTACTCTTGGGTACTAGGTAATCCTCAGACGGGGTGGCCTATGCCGGATGGCACCAAGGACGCGCGGCTGGCATACCGCGCCCAGACCACCTTAGGGCCGACGAAGACCGGCGGTCAAAGCCGCCTGCCTTCTTCGGCCCACCCGTCTACGCCGGAGGGGAGTGGCCAGAGCGTCCTCCTCCCGCTCCCTCTCCGCTGCCTCCTTCTGCCCCATCACTGTTTATATACCTAGTCAGGTCATAAATTCTGTCACATGTTTAATATAAAATAATTGTAACAAGTTTATTCGTTATGTAACCATTTAAATACCAAAATGAACTAAACAAAACATAGATTCTTATGACAATAAAGTTTATTCAAAATGACCTCCGAGATTTTGAATACGGGCCTTCAATCTGCGCGGCCAGTCGTCTATCGCAGCACGAACGAGGTCCATGTCAATATCGGCGGCTGCCTTAATCAAGGATGTTTAGAGTGACACCAAATTGGGATGAGGCTTTGAGTACGCCTTTTCCTCTAAGTGTTGCCATATCTTGTAATCTAACGGATTCAAATCTGGACTGGAGAAGGGCCAGTCTTCGTGCCGGATGAAGTTGATTTCACGCGCCGCCAGCTAGTCTTGTGTGCTCTTCGCTCTATGAGCTGGCGCCGAATCTTGTTGGAATACCCAGTGCCTGTTATTGAACATGGTATGAGAAATAGGTTCCACAAGGTTCGTCAGGACTGTATTTTGATACACAACTGCATTCGTTTTTACACCTTTCCCTTTCTTTCTCAATTTTTTCATCCGAAAAAAGAATTTACCGCCATTTTTTTCCCGCGTACCGCTTCAACAAAGCGCGGCATCTCTTCAGTCTCAGGTCCATTAGACGAGCATTCAAACGATGTCCTCATTTTATTCGATATGCCGGAAGCCCTAAGTCTTAATTTAACACCCTTTTCACCGTGGTTCTGCTTAACTCCATCAGAGGGCCAAAAGTTTCTGCTTACGTTTGGGATTTCTTTGAATTCGCTCCTTCACAGCTTTTATCACTGCTGGAGTCCTAACAGACCGAGGGCGACCACTTCTTGACCTGTCATCTACACTAGAGTCTTCATTGTATCGTTTGATGGTACGATAAACGAATTTTTTGGTTATATTCAAATTTTGCAGTATGTCAAAATTTTGAATTGGCGTGTAACCGCAACGATGCAACGCAATAACTGCAACACGGTCTTCTTTAAGCGTCCACTCCATATTTAAAAATGAGTAAAATTCCACATTTTTATTTTCGTTCGGGTGCGTACCCGCACCGCATCCGATAATGGTGTCGATTCTGTCATGACTCTCCAAACCCAAGGCCAAACCCAACACTAGTCCCCCCCCCTATCATTTTGTATAGAGAATGACAAGGATACATAATAAGAAGAAGGACAACTGACTCTAAGCGAAATCATCGGAAACCGCTACCGCTTGTGGTTTGCCACGCCTAGACTTATTATTATTTCGTTCGCCCTTCAAATGAGAAAAACATAATGGTTTATTTGCCGCCTTAAAACATTCCGATTATGGCGTCCGTCATAATTAAAATAAACAAGGAGCAAGAAAAATGCTAAAAACATTCCACTTTTTTGCGTGGAAAATTTAACGAATTCAAGCGACACCTGTTTTTTTAATATTCACTTTCTTTAAGGTTGCGTTGGGGACAGTTAGAAGCTTTCTCTTTCCTAATTTGATTTTCTCCATTAAGCCTGTGAGATATTTTTTGTTAATTATACGAATTATTATTTAATTTAGCGTGTCATTATTGTTAGGAAAGTAATTAGGTACAGAAAAATGTTTTAACTACACATTGGTGTTATATTCGACGGTCTCGGTGGTCGAGTCCTGTGTACGCCGGATTTTGTAATAAAACTGTGATAAAGTTGTTTCTAATTTAATGACGAACAATAAATTTTCATGATAGGTGTTTATGATTGGCTCTTGAATCTTGAATTGGCGCTTGAATTGGCTACTATCTATTTTTCATACGCCTAAGTGATACTGGTTGTCCACAACTAAATTTTTATTTTTATTTGGGAGAAAGTGCTTTATTTTATTTATTTTTTAAATCTAAAGAAAATTTTACTGCTGGATAGCGGAATATGCGGGTTCGAATCCCGTCTGAAACCTATAGCAAGTGGATTTTTTCTAGTAAAATTTTCTTTACATTTAAGCATCTAGCAGTTAGGTAGGACACAAACGAAGCACCCTGGCCTTGCCTCTACCATAGCCATATATATAGTGATGAACATATAGCGCAGAAGAAAAAAAAATCCATGAACTGCCACGACTTTTGCTCGCGTCCAAATCGTCTTTTGAATAGGAGGTATCAGAGGGTTCACGTAACATCCCCTCTCAATATCTGATGCACTTGAATATTTATTTTTCGTAGATTCTACCCCTTCGTTCGACCAGCTCCACATCATGCAAACCAGCAGATTAATATTTTTCTGTCCTCAGAAACGTTACGTGAACCCTCCAGTACCTCCTATTCAAAAGACTGACGATTTGGACGCGAGCAAAAGTCGTGGCAGTTCATTGAATTTTTTTTTCTTCTGCGCCATATGTTCATCACTATACAGGGTGTAAAAAAACCTATGACAAAGACTTAAACTACGCATTC